GGATGATTGGTGATGGCGCGAGTGTAATGCTGGGAGAATCAAAAAAAACCCAAAAACCACATTACACATATGTCAAAGTTAATCAATACACATAGGGTGGTTTTCTATATCCTAGAAGACAAGTAAGCAAAATACATATAGAGAATATACAGAGCTATAAGAGTGAACAGCAAACAGTCAGTTAAACAATTAGATTAGAGGGAAAAAGAGAAAGAAATTTTCTTAAATATTTGTATAACGGATCAAAATAACCTGGTTATTGCATTGAAGGGTGTCGTAGTTGGATAGAATGGTAAAAAACAATTTGCTGGATTGAAATCAGGACATTTTCTTTTGAATTTCTTTCTAAGGATAAAAATTACAATATAAAACATCAATTTGTCTTGTAATACAGAAATAACGAAATTTGAAATAATGATACACAAAGATTAATGTCAGGTTCACTGTTTATATTTTTATTTTGTTTTACGTTCTGCCGCTTACTTCTGCTTACATTGTATTGTATCAAAAAACCAAAACATATTTGCTTGCCACTTCAGAATTTTTAAGAAGAAAATTTTGAATTTACAATATTCTAATTTTGCAAGTTTGTGATGGCTTTGCATTTTTCTTTCTTTTATTTACATTGCAAAAGAAAAAAAAAACACTGAAACAGAAAATTAATATTAACTACATTTTTTATTTGTAAGACAATTGTCAAGTTTGAAAGAAAATGCCACTGATCAAAAAGCCAGTGTTACAAAATGTGACACTGAGTAAGTTTTTTTTTTCTTCCCTTGTAGGCTAACAAGCAGGCGCTAGTAGCTTTGTCTGGGTCAACCAATCAGATGGCTTCAACATCTTCCCAGTCAACCAATCAGATGGCTGGAAGCATCATCCTGTTACCAATCAATGCTGGATCTTCAACTTTGGTACATTCAGTTGATTTGAATGATAGCAGAAGCTGGTGATCCGTGTCCTACGAAATGATATAGTACAATGATCGTCGTTGGGTAATCCAACCTACCAGTATACATTGACCCAGTGTTATACACCACATAAAAAACTACAGAAAAAACATGGTAGTAGATTCAGCAGACTGATCTGTACTTGTGACAAAAAGAGACCAGGTAAATATCCATACATTATTCAATAGTTATTGCATTATTATATCTGTAAATATTTATAATATTTTTTATTGCAGATAACTTTGATTTTTACATGACATCTTTATTTCTTTAGTGAAGGGAACAAACTTGTTTATGTTGCCCAATATACCACAATAGAAGAGGTATCCTTAAAATTTGGATTGCTTCATTTAGTTATTCATATATTTCATAGTTTATTTTACCCCAACCACAGAATTGGGGGGGGGGCGGCTATAATGGATTAGCTTTGTCGCTTCGGTCGGTCTGTCTGTCTCCATTGTCGTGTCCACTCTATAAATCCTATACCAATTGAAGGATTTCTTCACACTTGGCTCAAATGTTCACCTCAACAAGGGGATATGCAGAACCCATGTTGCCCATGTACCACCTCAAGGTCAAGGTCACAATTGAAGGTCAAATATCAAACAATCAAATATTAGACAGTATGTCGTGTCCGCTCTGTAAGTCCTACACAAATTGAAAGATTTTCTTCAATATTGGGTCAAATATTCACCTCAACAAGGTAATGTGCAGAACCCATGTTACTCATTTGCCGGCTTAAGGTCAAGGTCACACTTGAAGGTCAAAAATTGGCTTAGAAAATATTCTTAAATTTCAACATGTATTTGAATATTTCTGAAACTGGAAAAGGTTTATGCTTTAAACTTAAAATGTATATTAAGATATGCAGGTCAAGGGTCAAGTTATGCTCCCTTTTTAAGTCTTCAAATTTACATACAATCAAATATTAGACAATATGTCATGTCTCCACTCTATAAATCCTATACTAATGGAAGAATTTTTTTCAAATGTTCACCTCAACAAGGTTATGTGTAGAACCCATGTTACCTTTGTGCCGGCTTAAGGTCAAGGTCACACTTGAAGGTCAAAAATTGACTTAGAAAATGTTCTTAAATTTTACCATGTACTTGAATATTTCTGAAACTAGCACAGGTATTTGCTTGAAACTTAAAAGATATATGAGGTGTCACAAATAAGATATGCAGGTCAAGTTTCATAACTCTGTATTGCATTTTGACAAAGTTATGCCCCTTTTTAAGTCTTTAAATTTACATTCAATCAATATTAGACAATATGTTGTGTCTCCGCTCTATAAATCCTATACTAATGGAAGGATTTTCTTCAAACTTGACTCAAATGTTCACCCCAACTTGGCAATGTGCAGAACCTATCTTACCCTTGTTCCAGCTTAAGGTTAAGGCCACACTTGAAGGTCAAAAATTGACTTAGAAAATGTTCTTAAATTTTAACATGTACTTGAATATTTCTAAAACTAGAACAGATAATCATTTGAACTTCAAATATATACGGTGTGTCGCAAGTAAGATATGCAGGTCAAGTTTCATAACTAAAAAAAGTGTGGGGGGGGGGGGATACATTTGTATTGTATTTTGACAAAGTTAAGTCCATTTTTATGTCTTTAAATTTATTTACTATAATATTTCTTATACCAGAACAGATATTTACTAGAAACTTAAAATTTATATGAATGGTTACAAGCAAGCTCAGATGACAAAAATTCTACAATTCCATTGAATTATGACACAAGTTATACCCCTTTTAGACTTAGAAAATGTTCTGATATAACCATTAATACTTAAATGTTTCTGAAAGTAGAACAGATATTCACTTGAAACTATATAATATATGAAGGGTCACAAGTAAGCTCAGTATGCAAAGTTTTTCCACTCTTAGTTACATTTTGACATAATTATGCTATTTTCTCAACTTCACTGTCTGCTTTTGTTTGTTTTAGTACTGTTACTAGTACATTGGGAAAATGAATGGTTATTTGTAACTGTTTCGAACATGATTTGACAATATATATTCATACTATTACCTGTACAATTTGTCTTTTTTTTCACCAGAGATAATTTCTTTTTATGTATTGTATTTGTGCCTCTAAAGTTATTCCCTTAACCACCTTTCCAAGTCGTCTTCTGTCAAGGACATTGGTGGGGGTATGAATCGCATTCAGAGATAGTTCTAGTTAATGTTAGCACTGACTAGCTGATATTAAAGGAGTGTACAATTCAATACTGAATTTATCAAACAAGTTGAATAGCATTATATTATATGAGCCTCTGGTAAGCATAATATTATTGTATTCAACAAGTTTAAAAAATTAACTTATGAATTTACATGTATATAATATTCCTTATATCACATGCCTAAAAAAGAACTCTTTACAGTGAAAATGATCAATTCTATAACTGATGCGCCTAAAGTGTAAGGCTAACATTTAGCACATCTTTACATTATGTTTGTATAACACAAATGACGTCACTCAAAATATATGCATGGCCATGCAATATCATTTTTACAAAATTTGCAAAAGTGGCACGGATATGTAATAAAACCAATTATTTGAAACAGACTAGTATTTGTATAAAAGTGGTGTATGAGGTAGAGGTGTATGATTGAATTGATGACCAATGTTTTGTTACTTACATGCTTGTTACACTGCTAGTGTTGATACAGTATAAACACCAGCCATTTGAATCCTGAAATTCATAAATGACAATATAAACTATGGATACACAAGTCATTGTATAATTTGAATATTGTTAACTACTGTAACTTCTCTGCTCTGGTGAATTCAAAGTGGCTTTAACTGCTGTTATTCCAAGGATAAACTACCAACACCGCAACTGTCACTTTTGTATAACAAGTCTTTGGTATGAAAATGATACAGGTTCTATGGTTAACTGTCCAACTTACTGCTTTTCATGTCTGCATAATTTTGATATTCTAAAAATATGCTTATTTTGCGTGTATCTGAATTATTGTATGGAAGGGCATATTAGATCACTGTCAATTGTTAAGTATTTAAATGGCAGTTATGAATGAATCAATAAAGATAAATAAAAATTGTAATAACGTAAAAACTTTAAAAGGAGCATCAAATGTAAACTACCATCACAGTGATGGATACTGCAAATTCACTTATATTCGTGGGCATGAAATTTTGTGGTTTTATCAAAACGGGCATTTTCATGGGTTCTTAAATTCGTGGATTTTCAATTTCTTTTAAAGGAATAAAATAAATAACCTAATGCAAAGTAATCTTACACTTAATCGCAGCGCATTTTACTTACCGCATGTACATATCTTAATCACACAGCACTTGTCAATAAATTTAATCCTTGCCTCTTGGCATTCATTACACAAAAATCGGCGGAAAAGCGCCGATGCATGTTTGTAATGTATAGAATAGAGACATGGCAAGAAATATTTGTTGGATAAAATTTTCCTTGATCTTAAATTCGTGTATTGACCTACCCACAAAAACCACGAAAATTTGTGCCCCACGAATAATAAATGATTTTACAGTAATTACTTAAGGTAAATAAGAAATAAACATTTTAAACAGTGCTGTAATGTTTACATGTATATTTCAGAGGCTCGTCTTTACTTTCTTGTGGAGGATTATATGGTGAGAGGATTTGCACAGTGTAAGGAAAAGATTGAAAGATGGCCACAGGATTGTAAAGTTATAATGAAACCATTGATCACACAACTGGAGAAGTATGACAAATCTGAAGTGTGGCACAGTCTCTTCAAGTTTGTCTTCTACTTCAACTCGGTGGATGCCAATCTATTGAACGTGTTTGACGTGGGTCACAAACTGCCAGGAGAATGCTCCACCTATATTCCACGACAGGAGAAACGTATGTGATTTATTATGTTGTTGTACTGTGCAAATAACCTGTGCCTTGATGTAGTATATAGTTTGGATATGCCATTCTATGGATTCATTTGCTACAAAGATAATAGACTGAAAATGAAACTTGTTGTTGGCATAAATATAAAATAAAATTAAGCAGGGCTTATAGATTCTGTTGTATAAATTCAACAAAATGTTATCATTGTACACATTTTACTTTCAAACCATAGAGTTAATATAACTTACTTTGGAACATTTGTGGTTGATTGGTTAAGGTCATTAGCTTCAAACCACTTGCCTCTCACCGCTGTAGGTTCAAGCCGCCCATGAATTTTTTGATTCTTCTTGTGATAAAGCTATGCAGCTAGCTTACAGGGTGCCGGTAGTTCTACTCTGTTTGTGCTTGAAAAATGTACAGAGGGGTATCTGAGGTCTTCCTCGACAAGTTAAGCCGGAAAGTCGCTATATGACCTTACAAAAAAAATCAACTTTTGTTGGTCTTGCTGGTATTCCTTATTGTTTGATCTAACAGTAGATTTAAACAGGTTAACTTTAAGGCATTTATGGTGAATACTACCTTATATGTATTAATCAATATTCTCTAAGAATTTAAAATTACTTCGGTGGAGTTGATTCATATATATCAACCAGCAATTGATGCCACCATTTCCATTTATTGTATCAGGGGTTCCACTAACACTCAAAATTCATGGGTCAAAACGAAGCACCAATGACGTTTTTGAAGGGTCAAAAGAATTTTATATATAAAATTTGACCCTTGGATGGAAATTCTCAAGGGTCAAAATGAACATTTTTGAAATTTCAGGGGTCAAAACCCTGTTTCAAGGGTCAAATGAAACCCGTTTATAATTTTCCAGCTTTAAAGAACATCAGTGAATGAGATGATGTAATTACATCGTCACCTACGTGCAGTAACAGGTTAACTCTTTATATTATTATACCCCCGCACAACAAAGTTGTAAGGGGGGTATACTGAAATCAGGTTGTCCGTCGGTTTTTTCTTGTCCGCCCAATAACTTAAGATTCCTTTGACCCTTAGTCTTCATATTTGGCATGGAGGTTAGTCATGATTAGTAGATGACCCCTATTGATTTTGAGGTCACCAGGTCAAAGGTCAAGGTCACAGGGGCCTTGACTTCAAAAAGCTTGTCCGCCCAATAACTTAAGATTCCTTTGACCTACAGTCTTCATATTTGGCATGGAGGTTAGTCATGATTAGTAGATGACCCCTATTGATTTTGAGGTCAAAGGTCAAGGTCACAGGGGCCTTGACTTCAAAAAAGCTTGTCCGCCCAATAACTTAAGATTGCTTTGACCCTTAGTCTTCATATTTGGCATTGAGGTTAGTCATGATTAGTAGATGATCCCTATTGACTTTGAGGTCACCAGGTCAAAGGTCAAGATCACAGGGGCCTTGACTTCAAAAAGCTTGTCCGCTCAATAACTTAAGATTCCTTTGACCCACAGTCTTCATATTTGGCATGGAGGTTAGTCATGATTAGTAGATGACCCCTATTGACTTTGAGGTCACCAGGTCAAAGGACAAGGTCACAAGGGCCTTGACTTCAAAAAGCTTGTCCGCCCAATAACTTAAGATTCCTTTGACCCACAGTCTTCATATTTGGCATGGAGGTTAGTCATGATTAGTAGATGACCCCTATTGATTTTCAGGTCAAAGGTCAAGGTCACAGGGGCCTTGACTTCAAAAAGCTTGTCCGCCCAATAACTTTAGATTCCTTTGACCCACAGTCTTCATATTTGGCATGGAGGTTAGTCATGATTAGTAGATGACCCCTATTGACTTTGAGGTCACCAGGTCAAAGGTCAAGGTCACAGGGGCCTTGACTATAAAAAGCTTGTCCGCCCAACAACTTTAGATTCCTTTGACCCACAGTCTTCATATTTGGAATGGAAGTTAGTCATGATTAGTAGATGACCCCTTTTGATTTTGAGGTCACTGGATCAAAGGTCAAGGTCACAGGGACTTTGACTTCAAAAGGTCGTCCACCCATTAACTTAAGATTCCTTTGACCCATAGTCTTCATATTTGGCATGGATGTTGATCATGACCATAAGGTGACCCCTATTGATTTTGAGGTCACTGAGTCAAAGGTCAAGGTCACAGGGACCTTGACAAAAAAAAAAGCTTTTCTTCTCAATTGCTAAAGAATGCCTGTCCGCAGTGTATTGATTTTGACATTTTCACATTTGAAGCATGTAGAATACATAACTTAGCAATGCACTGGCTTAGTAACCTCAGATTTGGCAGGGAGGTTGTCCTTGAGCTCTAAATGGCCACTGTTGATTCTGACAAAGTGGTATGCGGGGGTATTCACGCCATGATAGTGGCAGTTCTAGTTAATAATTGGAGTTAAGAATGGATGATATAATTATTTCAGCTTACCTGTATCAAGCAAGCGTCCCATTTACAATTGTTCGCCCTCCACCGACAACAACTGTTACAGCATCAAGTGCCGGTGCTTCTGGGACATCAACAACTCCATCTGGCATTGGAGCTTCTAGTTTCCAGGGCAGTATTTCAGTATCGAGTGTTTCAACCTCAACACCTCCTGCTAAGGTAATGCTGTTTAAGTAAAGTTCATGTCATATGCTTCAACTATACAGTGTATAATAATATTACTTGTCAGAGCAGCAAGATATTATACAATCCAGCTTGTTTTTGGAAGTCAAAAAGCTTTTCTGTGCTTGAAAAGATCAGACTAAAAGTTATAGAAGGAAATCTGTAATGAAATTCACAGCATCTTTGTGATATATATAACCTTATCCTTATTTATACCAGTAGCTGTATTTGTCAAACTGAAGAAGCCAGCCCAGATAGTGAAATATGTACAGTGTGAGATCTACATACTGATGAATCTTGTTTTCATATTCGAGATACAATTTTGTTTTATTCTTATTCATTTGAAGACAGCTTATACATCTCCATATCACCATTTGTCTTTCATTCCTGTAAACATAAAGTTTTTCATATTGAGGTGTTTGTTGATACTGAGTGCAAAGTTTACATTAATGCATGTACAGAATACAGTTTTAGGTTTATTACCTATTCTGAAGGTACATGAATGAGTGATGCTTTGGTAACATGGATTCATTAATTGAGCCGCGTCATGACAAAACCAACATAGTGCGTTTGCGACCAGCATGTATTCAGACCAGCCTGCGCAGTCTGATCAGGATCCAATCCTATTATAAGTAGAGAAACTGATAGCGAACAGTAAAACTGATAGCGAACAGTATGGATCCTGATCAGACTGCGCAGATGCACAGGCTGGTCTGGATCCATGCTGGTCGCAAACGCACTATGTTGGTTTTGTCGTGACGCAGCTCAAATGATGATTAAAAAATAATGTGATATCATTCTTGCTAGCAGACTTTAGAATTAAAACCATTAAAAGTAATGGAAGCCAAGAATCAGTGTGTGAAAAATAATGTTACATCACAGTAATGACTCTTATTATATGATCTGATATTTTTTGTAAAATTTTAGCCAGAGAAAAAGAAAGCAACATTAAAGAGACTGTGTCCGGACGATTGGTCAGATGATTGCTATTATCACGGGAAGAAGAAGAAGTTTGTGTTTCAATGCGTGGTTAACTACCTTCATAAAAATGGTGGACTACCTATCAAGCTGAATATACCATTTTCAATGGCAGTCTGTGCTTGTAATGAAACTGTTGGTAAGTTCCTTAATAAATGTAATTTAGAAAACACAGATTCTGCTCAATCAGTTTAAAGTGACATTATGCCCAGCTACGTGTAAATGGTGAGTGCACAGGTAAAAGTAATAAAAAAAGTAAAAAAAAAACAAGATTGCATTTGTGAAAAATGCTATGCCACCACATTAATACAACACTAAATAGTAATGTAGGAACAGAATTTTTTCAGATAAGTGGTTAAATCTAATGTTATTCAAATAAAAGATCAGAGTAGGAATCTATCAATGCAGTTGAGTCTAGTGAATTTGGTGGTGAAAGTCATATTTCACATGGCAAAAATTCCATGACTGTACATTAAAGGACAACATAGTAAGACACTTTGTCAAATTCTAGGCCAGCTGATATCATAGTTAATTTTACATCTTAAATCTGTGCACATGGTTCAAATTTCATAGCTGCACATTAAAGGACAAAAAAGTAGGTCACATCATCAAAATCTAGGTCACCTGATATCAAAATTCAATTTTACAAATAAAAATGTGCACATAGTCCAAATTTATTGGTTTATATTTGTAACTTCCCCTCTGAATGAAAAATGTACAGTGACCCAGTCTAATACACTGACCTGGCGGTATGTTTACATGTTTATCAACTGATAAATATGACACTAATTGGTGTGAAAATACAGATTGTTGAATATACACTCTTAATATACAATATGAAACAAAAACTAGCGGCATCTCATGATTATCGCTAATCAAATCAACAGTTGTCTATGAATTAGCGACAAATTATGTTCTGCAGTTGGTGACTTGACCAGTAAATTTTATAGTTTTTGATAAACAGATCAAAGGCATTTTGAGTTTGTTTTATTTTTATTTTTATTTTTTCCGGGGGGGGGGTTATTGTCAATAAAACCTGACCTAATCATGGCTCCAAAAACATACCATTGAGAAGGAATTTATTTGACATTTGAAGCTTTACAGAGTATTCTTGAAAAAAATGAATAAGATTGACCTTATTGTGATTGTCATAGATTTAAAGGGAACCTTGCTGCCTAACTTTAGGCAAGTGTTATAGTTACTGACCTCTAAGCTTTTATATGATTACTGACTGTAAATTATATATGTAAGATTTGTTAATATGATAAAAATGTAGCTACCAAAATAAAGTTGGATATAGTTTATGTTTTTCTAAATATCTCATGCGGTATCATTGCCTGATTTGAAAATAAAATACAGGCAGGCAATTTTCGCCGCGAAAAATTGGCTCAAAGAAAAAATTTGCCAGTGCTAGCCCTGGCAAGGCAAAATTTTGACCCAAGGGTTTAATTCAAACAATCTTGATACAGGTCCACCAAACAACATTTCATGTCAAATATCTAAGCTGTAGACCCCAGGGCTATAATTTGAACAATCTTGGTAGAGGTTCACTACACAAAGTCTCATGCCAAATATCTAACCTCTAGCCTTTGTCAATTCAGAGGAGATGATTTTTCAAGTTATTACTATATACATTTAAGGAAAACTATCGCCTCTGGGGCAGGGCAATTTTAACACTTAGAGAGGCATAATTTAAACAACTTTGGTAGAGTACCTATAGATGATATCATATACGAAATATCAAAGCTCTAAGCCTTGTACCTTCAGACAATAAGATTTTTAATTTTTTTACTATATGTTCATGTACATAGTGAAAATCAATGACCCCCGGGGCGTGGCCAATTTTGACACCAGGGCTATAATTTGAACAATCTTGCTAGAGGTTTACCACACAATGTTTCATGCAAAATATCTTACCTCTAGCCTTTGTCAATTTAGAGAAGATGATTTTTATAAAGTTTTTACTATATACATGTAAGAAAAACCTATGACCCCCGGGGCGGGGCTAATTTTGACACTAGAGGCAAAATTTGAACAACTTCTGTAGAGTACCTATAGATGATATCATATACCAAATATCAAAGCTCTAAGCCTTGTACCTTCAAACAAGAAGGTACAGTCAATTATCGTTATCTCGACATCGCTTTTCTCGATATTTCGTTATCTCGATGAAATTTTGAAAGTCCCGATTTCCTTCCTTCTTTATCTATATTGGAAATATTTGTTTATCTCGATATTTTTATTTTGATTTTTTCAGTATCTCGATGTAAAATTTCAGTCCCAACAGTTATTTTCACACTATTATCCTTTGTTTATCTCGACTTATAATTTTTCGCAGAGATGTGAAAAACACAAACCAGACGATGATCGCTCAAGAGCGCATGTCATAATGATAATTGTATTTGTAACAAGTCGAGCTGTTTTAATAAAAGTTAATCTAATTATTGTGTTCATTGACTTTTTGTGTCGCCTTGAAAAGGTGACATATAGGGGTTACTTTAGTCGGCAGCGGCGTCTGTGTCGGCGGCGTCGTTGTCTGTTTCCCCTAAAGCTTGTCCGGAGCATAACTCAGTCACTATAAGTCTGATTGACTTCAAACTTGGTATGCATGCTTCTTTCAATAACCCGAAGCGCAGTGCACAAGGACCGGTACTCTGCAGTTCTTAATTTTTGAGTTATTGCCCTTTGTTAATTTTCATACTTTAATTTTGTCCGGGCCATTTCCCTTCAACTAAAAAAGCTATGGACTTGAAACTTCATAGGATGATAGATCTCATTAAGAAGAAGTGCAGTGAACAAGAACAGATACTCTGCATTTCTTATTTTTTGAGTTATTGCCCTTTGTTTATTTTCATACTTTAATTTTGTCCGGGCCATTTCTTCTTAAGTATAAAAGCTATGGACTTGAAACTTCATAGGATGATAGATCTTATTAACCCATTACTTCATGAGCATTTTGTAAAAAATGGCTGTTTTCATAGAAAAGTCTCCCGTTACAAGTTCAAATTGCTATAATACTATAAAAACTGCTTCAACACTAATCAAACTTGGTACAAATGTTGACTGGACCATTGCCCTTGCAACAAAATGCTCAGGCTTGAATTTTCTGTTACCATGGCAACGAGGGACATCTCAAAATTGCCAAAAATCACTATTTTGCGTTGATTTTTTCCATCAAAATTGATTTTAAAGTGCTGCAATTTCTCAATGGATTGAGATAGAGTCAAATGCTTTTCAGCGTTGGTCACACGTTACCTTATGATCAATCTGGGGTCATTTACAGCCTCTCACAAGTCCAAAATTTTCTTGGCGATGAGGGGGACTTCGCCCCCCTTCAAACCCCCCAAACAGAAGGGGGCACATCCCCCTTTTGGCAACCCCCAGATGTATCTTTTGGATGGGGGGCCGCGCCGAAAAAGAGGTCATTTTTTTAACAACATTTCTCAAAACAAAAACAAGTGTTTGGGCCTAAATAAGGCATTTTTTTCATCATTTGAGACAACAAAAAGGGGGGGGGGGTGAAAAGGGCGTTAAAAGGCGTGTATATGAAGTAATGGGTTAACAGAAAATGATGAAAATACTTGAAATTACCCTAAATCGCGTTTTTTCATGTTTAAACATGGCCTTGTCATATAAATTTGAAGAAAAATTGTTGTTTTGTAGATTTTTTATTTTTTTTCATTAACCCATTACTTCATGAGCATTTTGTGAAAAATGGCTGTTTTCATTGAAAAGTCTCCCGTTACAAGTTCAAATTGCTATAATACTATTAAAAACTGCTTCAACACTAATCAAACTTGGTACAAATGTTGACTGGACCATTGCCCTTGCAACAAAATGCTCAGGCTTAAATTTTCTGTTACCATGGCAACGAGGGGACATCTCAAAATTGCCAAAAATCACTATTTTGCGTTGATTTTTTCCATCAAAATTGATTTCAAAGTGCTGCAATTTCTCAATGGATTGAGATAGAGTCAAATGCTTTTCAGCGTTGGTCACACGTTACCTTATGATCAATCTGGGGTCATTTACAGCCTCTCACAAGTCCAAAATTTTCTTGGCGATGAGGGGGACTCCGCCCCCTTCAAACCCCCAAACAGAAGGGGGCACATCCCCTTTTGGCAACCCCCAGATGTATCTTTTGGATGGGGGGCCGCGCCGAAAAAGAGGTCATTTTTTTTAACAACATTTCTCAAACAAAAACAAGTGTTTGGGGCCTAAATAAGGCATTTTTTCATCATTTAGACAACAAAAAGGGGGGGGGGGTGAAAAGGGCGTTAAAAGGCGTGTATATGAAGTAATGGTTAACAGAAAAATGATGAAAATACTTGAAATTACCCTAAATCGCGTTTTTTCATGTTTAAACATGGCCTGTCATATAAATTTGAAGAAAAATTGTTGTTTTGTAGATTTTTTTATTTTTTTCATTAACCCATTACTTCATGAGCATTTTGTGAAAAATGGCTGTTTTTCATTGAAAAGTCTCCCGTTACAAGTTCAAATTGCTATAATACTATTAAAACTGCTTCAACACTAATCAAACTTGGCACAAATGTTGACTGGACCATTGCCCTTGCAACAAAAATGCTCAGGCTTAAATTTTCTGTTACCATGGCAACGAGGGACATCTCAAAATTGCCAAAAAATCACTATTTGCGTTGATTTTTTCCATCAAAATTGATTTCAAAGTGCTGCAATTTCTCAATGGATTGAGATAGAGTCAAATGCTTTTCAGCGTTGGTCACACGTTACCTTATGATCAATCTGGGGTCATTTACAGCCTCTCACAAGTCCAAAATTTTCTTGGCGATGAGGGGGACTTCGCCCCCCTTCAAACCCCCCAAACAGAAGGGGGCACATCCCCCTTTTGGCAACCCCCAGATGTATCTTTTGGATGGGGGGCCGCGCCGAAAAAGAGGTCATTTTTTTTAACAACATTTCTCAAACAAAAACAAGTGTTTGGGGCCTAAATAAGGCATTTTTTCATCATTTGAGACAACAAAAAGGGGGGGGGGTGAAAAGGGCGTTAAAAGGCGTGTATATGAAGTAATGGGTTAAGAAGAAGTGCAGTGCACAAGAATCGGTACTCTGCATTTCTTATTTTTTGAGTTATGGCCCTTTGTTAATTTTCATACTTAATTTTTGTCTAGGCCATTTCTCCGAAAGTATAAAAGTTATGGACTTGAAACTTCATAGGATGATGGATCTCATTAAGAAAAAGTGCAGTGCATAAGAACTGATACTCTACATTTCTTATTTTTTGAGTTATTGCCCTTTGTTGATTTTCTTACTTTATTTTTGTCCTGGTCATTTCTCCTCAAGTATGAAAGCTATGGACTAGGATGATAGATTTCATTAAGAAAAAGTGCAGTGTACAAGAACCGGTACTCTGCACTTCTTATTTGTGAGTGATTACCCTTTATTAATTTTCATACTTTATTTTTGTCCAGGCTATTTCTCATAAATTATAAAAAATATGGACTTGAAACATCATAGAATGATAGATCTTATTGATAAGAAGTGCAGTGCACAGAAACTGCTGCTCTGCACTTATTAATTTATTAGTTATTGCCCTTTGTTATTTCTCATATTTCATTTTTGTCCTGGCCATTTCTCCTAAACTATATTGTTCACAAGGCGACACATCCGACTCGCAGAGTTCTAGTTTCTAAAACGAGTGAATTTTCCGTTTTTTATCAAATATTCGAATGTTGTATTGAATCTATTATGACTTAAAATGAAATAGTGGAAGTATAGAAACATTATCATTGCAATATTGTTTCAAAACATCAAAAAATCAGAAAGCGATGGAATAATCTCAAGAAGGGCCTGATAACCAAACATGAGGATGTCTGCATCGACCAGGTTTTCACTTTACACGTAGTAGTGTATTACTGAGTAAATCTCGCCATGTGTTTTTATCTCAGACTCCCGTACTTCCGCTAGGAAACATCCGCTAATGTAGTTTTGTGAAATATTGACCGCAATATAAGGCTCAAGAAAACAAGACATTGAGATACCATTCATAGTTTATTTGACTTAAGAAATGCGCATGTCTTTTGTAAAAATCAGTTTCTGCCTTGATCAAACCCTTATACTTTTATCTCGACATTTCGTTATCTCGATATTTTTTGATGGTCCCGATGACTTCGAGATAACGAGAGTCTACTGTATTTTAGTTTTTATGCCCCCACAAAGTGGGGAGAATATAGCGTTGCACTTGTCCGTCCGTCCGTACATCTGTCCGTACGTCCCCAAATCTTGAGAAGCAACTCCTCTCAAACCGGATGGCAGATTTTGCTTAAACTTCCAGGGATGAACAACCTTAATGTGTAGATGGTAGTAAAGGAAGGAATTTTCGCTGCGACTAAATTTAACAGAATTATGGCCCTTTGTTGATTTTTTCACTATATACTATGTAGAAATTTTGTGAACGCAACTCCTCTTAAACTGGATGGCAGATTTTGCTTAAACTTCCAGGGATGAACAACCTTAATGTGTAGATGGAAGTAAAGGAAGGAATTTATGCTGTGACCAAAATTAACAGAATTATGGCCCTTTGTTGATTTTTTCACTATAATAATACCATATAGAAATTTTGTGAACGCAACTCCTCTTAAACTGGATAGCAGATTTTGCTTAAACTTCCAGGGATGAACAGCTTCAATGTGTAGATAGTAGTAAAGGAAGGAATTTTTGCTGTGACCAAATTTAACAGAATTATGGCCCTTTGTTGATTTTTTCACTATATACCATATAAATAATTGAACATATAAATTTTACATTTGTAATTTAATTTAACATGTACATAAGGTTACCTGTAGATCATTTTAGGTATATGTACAGAAATGAAACAGTGGAATGAAAAAGTTCGACATAAATCATACATACAGATATGCATGCTCTTGTTTACGAGCACATCTGCACAGTGGGGGCATCTGTGTCCTTTGGACACAGTTCTTTTTACTATATGTACATACATGTATAGTGAGAATCAATGACCCCCGAGGCGGGCCAATTTTGACCCAGGGCTATAATTTGAATAATCTGGGTAGAGGCCTACCAGACAATGCCTTATGCAAAATATCTATACTCTAGGCCTTGGGGGTCTTTACAAGAAGATTTTTTAAATTTATTCTTATAATTCCTTTTGGTTGCCATGGCAACCAGATTTCTGCATGGAATGAAATTCTTTGAACAACTTTGGAAGCCCTTCACCCATGGATCAATCCTGCCAAGTTTGGTTGAAATTGGACAAGTGGTTTTTCACAAGAAGATTTTTTAATTTCACTATATAATCTTTAGAACACACGTACAAACACACACACATGTGAATCGCTATATGCCATCGCATCGCAGATGCTGCGATGGCATAAAAAAGATTTTTGTTTTTAAATTTGTATTCTACTCCACCAAAATAATCATTAAATGAAGTGACTTAAGGAAAATGTCCATCAGAATGTATGTGTACAGTATTGTTCAAATCATAAAAAGAGTTGGGAAGCCGTTTGGTATTCTGCAGCAGTTTTTATTAGCTCACCTTGCACAAAGTGCAGGTGAGCTTTTAGGATGGCCAACCAAATGGCGTCCGTCGTCTGTCGTCCGTCCACATTTTAAATATTCTAAGGACATCTTCTATGATACCGCAAGGCCAATGTTAATGAAACTTGGCAGGAATACTCTTTGTATGAAGCTCTATCAAGATTGTTCAAAGAATTCCATTTCATGCAGAACTCTGGTTGCCATGGCAACCGAAAGAAAAATCTTTAAATATCTTCTTTTAAAGAACCGTAAGAGCTAGAGCTTAGATATTTGGCATGAAACATCTTCTAATGAGTGTCTACCAAGTTTGTTCAAATAAAAGCCCTAGGGTCAAAATTGGCCCCGCCACAGGGGGTCATTGATTTTCCCTATATGCATATAGTAAAAACTTAAAAAATCTTCTTTTAAAGAACCCAAAGAGCTAGAGCTAAGATATTTGGCATGAAACATCTTCTAGTGAGTGTCTACCAAGTTTGTTCAAATAAAAGCCCTGGGGTCAAAATTGGCCCCGGCCCGGGGGGTCATTGATTTTCCCTATATGCATATAGTAAAAACTTAAAAAATCTTCTTTTAAAGAACTGTAAAAGCTAGAGCCTAGATATTTGGCATTAAACATCTTCTAGTGAATGTCTACCAAGTTTGTTCAAATAAAAGCCCTGGGGTCAAAATTGGCCCCGCCCCAGGGGGTCATTGATTTTCCCTATATGCATATAGTAAAAACTTAAAAAATCTTCTTTTAAAGAACCCAAAGAGCTAGAGCTAAGATATTTAGCATGAAACATCTTCTAATGAGTGTCTACCAAGTTTGTTCAAATAAAAGCCCTGAGGTCAAAATTGGCCCTGCCCCAGGGGATCATAGATTTTCCCTATATGCATATAGTAAAAACTTAAAAAATCTTCTTTTAAAGAACCCAAATAGCTTGAGTTTAGATATTATACATGAAACATCTTTAAGTAAATATCTACAAAGTTTGTTCAAATAAAAGCTCGGGGGTCAAAACTGGCCCTGCCCCAGGGGTGTCATTGTTTTTAACTATATGTGTATAGTAAAAACTTAAAAAATCTTCTTTTAAAAAACCCAATGAGCTAGAACTTAGATGTTTAGCATGAAACATCTTCTTATGGGTGTCTACCAAGTCTGTTCAAATAAAAGCCCTTGGGTAAAAATTGGCCCGGGGGGGGGGGGGGCTAAATACAGGTGAGCGACCTCAGGGCCATCATGGCCCTCTTGTATTTTATCCTAAACAGTTTTATTCATTTTAGTAATACATTGAAGTAAATCTTTCAAATGGCCCAAATGCCAAAGTCCTTACTTAACCACTTGGCATACATGATTCATTATTGCCTTTACTAGCAATGGATCCCAGAATGTGTGAATTATGGACATCATGGTCTCTTGTTTGATTTTCAATCTAATTACAGTGGATATTTACCACCTTCAAAGAGATCATCTGTCAACAATCACTTTTTTTAGCTCGACTATTCGATAAGAATAAGTAGAGCTATTGCAGTCACCCGAGCGTCGGTGTCGGCGTAACCACTAATGTTAAAGTTTTTGTAATAGTTCAAATATTTTCAAAGTCCATTGACATATGGCTTTGAAACTTTGCACACTTGTTCACCATCATGACCCCAACCTGTAAACAGGAGGAGGTAACTCTATCAAGCATTTTTTTTACTATCAAGCACTAAGAATAGTCGAGCGTTGCTGTCCTACCGACAGCTCTTGTTTTATTTTCAAATTGTAGTTCTGAAAAATGTCATTTTTTGTTAGGGATATCAACCAGTTATCAGGATGAATAGAAAATTTTATTATGGCTGTATATTATAGATTTCAACGATTTTTACAAAACTGAGGATGAGTGTGAGACCGATTGTCGTACCATGAAGATCAAATTGGCGCTATGGCGAGGGGACAGCAAGGCGAGCATTCAGCCCTATATCGAACTTCTAGAGGAGTATACCCGGAACAAGAAAATCACCGATGGTTTCTTGAAACTGGTTTACCACTTCAACCAGGTATATCGGCGAGACCTTGCTTACTACGAAGAATTACATACCCTCGTTAAAAAACAGAGGAACATGAAACAGAAATAGACTGGACAACACAGTTATGTGCATTGAGTGAACATATGGTAGAGATTGCAAGTTTGGTCCATGAATTTAATAACAGTATAAATGATTTTGTATATGTCCTATATGATAATATATTATAGTCTATTTCAAATGTATATGTATTATTCTGTGTCTTGCTTTGAATGGTTAGGCATTTATAATTTAGTTACAATTTTAAGATTTTTGTGTTACATATCGAAGAACTTTTTGTATAAGATATTGATTGGGTTTCACTGATCCCACAATAACATAGTAATCATTGCATTTATTTTGGTGAATTGATTAAAACTTTCAATAAAGAGATAGTCCCTTACTTCTGTGTGGATATGACTTAAACATAATATGCTAATAAGTGAATTATAGGGAAGCTAAATTCTTGCAAAATGAGTGAATAATTTGAGTCATTTGATAATTCAGGTTGCAAATAGAATGTATTTATCATTTAACTTCTGTAAGAAAGCTATCATTTAAATGTTCCTGTAATATTTCATTTTGAAAGAGTTTAATATTCTATCCTTTATCTATTTAAAGGCCCAATATGCCTTGCAAATGCTATCATTTTATTTCTCAAAACTTTTTTATTTCTGGTATCATGTCAGAGTTTCCTAAAAAAATACTTTTTTTGCCATATAGATGAATAGACTACTTCTTTTGCTTTGTTGGCAATTGCTATAGTAATAGTGAATTACTATTTTGTATGGAAGTAAAAAAAACTACCTTGATTACATTTTGCTACCTTTATGACACATTACTGCTAACTCAGCACTACTTTCTTCAGCTGTTAAACATCTAATGTGCGGTAAATCCATTATTAAAACATTATTAAACACTTGTTTGACATTTCTAAAGAAATTTGTATATGTGGATTTCTGAGGCATAATGTGCCTTTAAAGGTTGATATTATGTTAGCATTGTTTTGTACATTTTGTATATGCCTAAAATTAATGTGCATTTTCTAGGGAAAACTGCCACTGGAGTATCTTTGTTGAATTTAAATTGAAATAATGTATGTAAATTTTGTTAACTGTTACAATGACTGATCCATGGTATGAGCTAGGGATATGGAAGAATGAAGTTATTTTTTATTGTATTTACTGATTACTGATCATGTACATGTATTTTCATTTTTGAATTCATTGTTAATTTTGATGTTTTGCATTTTTCATTTACTTGCATTATTGTTTCATACATGCTATTTTGATATTGAAATGTTTTATTATTTCTTATTTTCCCAAGATTACATATGTCATCGTTTACATTGTTAAGAAAAGTGCTAGAATACAAAGTTTTTCATTCTTAGGATACCATCTCTGTCGTAACTTTGAATTACCCAGTTTGAATTTTGCATTGAAGTTTGATTCATCAATTGTGACCTTTTGTTGTAGGCACTTAAAACAACATGGAATATTTGATATATGAATGATTGGTTTTACTTCAAACAAAATTTATCTTAAATTACTTTCTATATTCATATATATGTACATGTATGTATACATGTATATGGTTTTACTTCAAACAAAGTTTATCTTAAATTACTTTTGTATACATGTATATACAAATGGATGGTTTTTCTTGAAACATACATAAATTGCCATGTATGGAGTTTCAACAAGTATGTAGTCTTTTTAAATGAAAAAAAAAAACATGGAAAATAGGAGCGCTTATAATCGATTGTATCAAAGGCTCACAAAAAAATTTGAGTAAATAATTGCCAATTTAGCTTTGTTTATTTGTTTGCATATTCATGTTATACAATTGTATGCTGCTTGTCTTCTCAGTTTTGTCATACCTATTTAGATAACTTAACTGTCAACTTATAGGAATATCAATTCAATTCAATATATTTTATTGCATAAAACATAATATATTCTTTATATGACTTTATGTTTTTGTGATGTGAATTTCTTACTGTTTTATTGCATTGATGTGTGTATGAAAAGTATAAATGGAATAAAACAAGTTAACAGAGTCTGTATTTTCTTTTTAACTATTTAGTGTAAACACTACATATTTCAGTCACTTAGATGCAATAAAGAATATTGGACTACACTGCCATTTTTAGCTCATTTATAGTTTTGAGACATTTACATTTGTTAGGGATGGTATAAAAATTAAGTTTTTGTTCATTTTCCTCAAGGAAAGGTAAATGACAAATCATAATTCTTTAGAGTTGCGGTATGGCCAAGTGGTTAACACGTCGGACTAGTTATCTAATGATCGCTAGCCACATGGGTTCAAACCCTGTCAGGGACCAGCCGTTGTTTCCTTGAGCACGAAACTTTACACTCATTGCTCAGTACTGGTTGGTTCCAGGAGCGGATTCAAAAGTGTGTCTATAAGCATATAGCTTCCTACACAATCGAAGTAAAATAAATTCTGTAAACGCCAATTCTTTAGCTAATTTCAACTTGGATCAGATTTTCCTTGATTTATGTCGTACCATGTACATATGTCCAGACTCTACAATACCATTTGTTCAATGTTAGCATTTTTAATTGATAAATCTCCAACACTAATAAATAATTCTAAAATCAAGACAAGACCAATCCATTTAATAGAATACAGATGGTTAACTTGGAGTAAGTCATTCAGAAGTTAAATTAATATTGATGTATACATATAACAGTGTGTTCATGGATCATTTTCCAGTAGTACACTTATCCTAGTAATTTTTTAGATAGAAGTTTGTACTTCATTACAGCATTAGGACAGCTTGCTGTACTGTATAGTAGATATACCATAAGACTTTTTTTTTTTTCAAGATAGCTTTTAACCAGCAACTAGACACAAGATGCACTTCTATACATTATTTCAAGCTTGGTCAAACACATTTAGTAGAAAATACATAATTTATGAATTTACTTCATAAGCCAAATTTAAATTTACTATGTAAGCCTAACTGATGTCTGCCTAAGTTACATGAAACACATGTTCAATGTTTTCTACAGAAATATGTTTAGGTCGTATTGGCCTTTCTGAAATATACATTACTTGCTGACACCAAAAGGCATCCTTTGGACTGTATAGAAATTTTTTTTGTCACTTATCAAGATCAGTGGTTTTGTTTAAATAAATGAAATAACACCCATGATTCATCTCTACGTTTACATACGATTTAGTAATAGAAAGAGCATCGAAACACGAGGTTAACTGATTTGTACGAGGGGGCATAGCCCCCGAGTATAAATCAGATTGCCGAGTGTTTTGATGTTCTTTCTCTTTTGTATCATAGTCCAACATAAAAACACATTCCCTTTTGTCACAATATGAAACCCCGGGAAAAAGTAACCAATGAACGAGCATCTGAATATGATATTTCTGTCGCTTTCCCTTTCTCTTCCGCCACAATAAGTAAACCCCAGCAAAAATGAGCCAATCAATGGGCATGCTCTGGAGTGCAGGTAACTAATACCTGCACTCCTGTTAACACACTGTGCATGTATATGTATACGATTTAACTCTGACACATTTTCAACAGAAAGGTTTCCAAACTATGATACAAGTATTGTATAGCAATTTGTAGAACCAATAAATTTTTTTTATAAAGATAAGTCAGGAGGACACATAAAATGTTATCACCTAAACACACAGCAATACAGGACATAATGTTAATCTGTACTTTGCATTTTACATATTAAAATAATTCTCAATGTGGTTCTTATTCTGTAAACACCATTGAACTGACACTTAAATTTAACCAGAACTAGAAATATGTCAGTAGGACACAAATGTCCTACTTTATTTGTCTGTCATAGTGGTATGAATACATACTTATATATATTTCAGTAAGGCCAAGTTTTATATTAAGAGGTAATATATATAATACATGTATTATTAGTCCCCTACCGGTTTAACCGAAGGAACATTTGGGATGTGGAGCTTAAAACGCCTTTAAAATCCAAGTAAAATGTATATTTGTCAATCCCAGCACATGTACTGATCATATACATCAAAAACACTTAATATAAGCTGTTCTGAAAAAAAAACATATTTCAACGTCTATATTGAAATTTTATTTGGATTTTAAATGATAAATTCAGAGGTCAATACAGAAAAATATATATTCCTACATATCAACCAGTTATGACAGTACTGAGGTAAGATCTGGTTATAATGTAGTACATGATAATTTTTAGTATATCATATAAAATGCCTTCCCATGACATCATTTTGTATTTAAATTAAAGGTATTCATTTATTATAAAGCTTTACACTGTTAAATCACTATTAAGTTCTGTTGAAACATGACTCAAATTTCATGAGGAAATCGCATTGTCATGGCAAAAGTATACAAGTAGACAGGCAAACAGTTGTTCAAATATTTTTGATTAAATGTCTTCCAAAAATATTCTGAAGATATCATAGGAGTGCTATTATTGTGTCTGTGACAAATGATGACATGGTGTGGAAGCTCTTTACTCAGTCATACTCAGAACCTATAGTAATACTGATGTCTTTACCAACATTCAAGGTGGAGTGATACCAAATATCTGTGTCCAGCACAACTGAAATCAGAAAGAAAATAGTTCCTTAAGATATAAACAGATGGAGTCATCTTGTTTTGATTCATTACAGATAGAAGCAGATGCAGTCATCTTGTTTTGATTCATTACAGATAGAAACAAATACAGGCATTTTGTTTTGATTTATTACAGATACAAACAGATGCAATCATCTTGTTTTGATTTATTACAGATACAAACAGATGCAATTATCTTGCTTTGATTTATTGCAGATACAAACGTCTTGTTTTGATTTACTGCAGATACAAACATATGCAATCAACTTGTTTTGATTTATTACAGATATTAACAGGTGCAAATTGTCTCATTTTGATTCATTACAGATACAAACAGGTGCAATCATCTTGTTTTGATTTATTACAGATACAAACATCTCATTTCAAGTATAATGGCACAAAATAAATAAACCACTCACAAATGAGTTGTACAAGTGAACGATGATAATGAAACAAGCTTACTTATTTGTCCCGGATGGACAGTGACTTCAATTCTATTTTTACATACATAGTAGCATTCTGGTGGTGGTTCCAGGGTCCATCGCTTGGTTCCTGTAATCTGAGCCTGCCATGATGGGTTTCCTACATTGTCAATCTAATAGGAAGAAACATATACAGCATTATATGAGATAGCAAGATTTGTGCATAAAATATAAATAGTCACAGGCATCAAGGGTCACAGCATATAATATTTTAAGCTGACAGCAACTTTCGTTAAGGCCTACTTAACAAAGACTTTTTTCTCTGTTTTTGTAATATCAAGATTTCTCATATTATTGGAACATGCTTAAAAGTGATGGAATTGGCACTTGCTGCTTTCATCAATTCCCAAAATGAAAATAAAATGTGGAATAAAACAACAGACATAAACTTTTTTTTTATAAATATCAGTAAATCTAGTAATTTCAATTTTAATTATAATAATATTTTTGTTAGGTTTTATTGAATCATAAAACACAAATATTTTCTATGATGACCCATCTTAACCCATTACTTCATGAGCATTTGGTGAAAAATGGCTGTTTTCATTTAAAAGGCTCGTGTTACAAAGACAAATTGCTATAAAACTATAAAAACTGTTTCAATACTAATCAAACTTGGCACAAATGTTGACTGGACCATTGCCTTTGTAACAACATGCCCAGGCTTAAATTTCCTGTTACAATGGCAACGAGGGGACATCTCAAAATTGCCAAAAATCACTATATTCTGTTGATTTCAAAGTGCTGCAACTTCTCAATGGATTGAGATAGAGTCAAATGCTTTTCACCGTTGGTTACATGTTACCTTATGATCGATCTGGGGTCATTTAGCCTCTCACACGTCCAAAATTTTCAAAACCCCCCAAACAGAAGGGGGCACATCCCGCGCCGAAAAAGCGGACACTTTTTTAAACAACATTTCTCAAACAAAAACAAGTGTTGAGGGCCTAAATAAGGCATTTTTTCATCATTTGAGACAACAAAAAGGGGGGGGGGAGGTGAAAAAGGCGTGTTTATCTGGAAATGGGTTAAACACTTAATTAACAGTGACATTAATGATTTAAAGAAATGTGTAATTAATATTACTTACATGCAAGTTTGCCCCATACCCAGGGCTGCCCATGAACATCCAGTCTGTTTTACTGGACTCAGACAGTTTAGGTAGGAAATATGGTCTTGTATAGTGCTTCCGCAATAAATTAGCCGCAGAAAAATCACAGTTACTCCTGAAATAGAACATAAATTCACTTAATTGCAAGGAGTTAACATACAGTTACATACTTATCATATTATGCACTACACACAGCCACTGTCTGATTAGAACTTTTACTTAGAACTTTGTATATCAGTAAGTTTGTCAGAATTTTTAATTTTTCTTATTGGTGAAGTTCATGAAGAAAAATTAAATTTCTACATCAAGTTAGGAATGGTACTGTACAGCACATTCAGTTTCAGTATCTTGGATATGTTATATTAAAGAAAATAATATATTAATCAGACAGTTAAGTTAAGTGTATCAGTACATGTATAATGGAAATTATAGCCAAATCATTTTAGAGGATTTTATGCATATAAGCGTGAAAAAAGTTATCTTACAAGCGTGAAAAAATCTTTTTTTTTAAATAAAAAAATTGTTAATGTCTGAATTTTCTTTATTTCTTTTTTTTTATTCATTATATTTTATCAATAATCAAGGAAAGAAATTTTAATTACCTTTCTCATTAAAATATCATATACATGTGTTAAAAGTTGTTTTTATAATGTTATCAAGAAAAACCCCAGGAAACATCATACATTATATAAAGAATGAATTAACTTGAATCTGACTACCAGCCAGTAATATAGAATTTCTTTTTTATTTCATTACATAAAATATCAAGCTTCTAAAAAATAAAGTCTATTGCAAGCTTTGAGAATATCTACTATGGCAGAAATAAAATCATGTTAAATTAAACTTCTTTTTATCAATAAAATATTTCAAATTAATCAATATAAATGGTAATGTTATATGTCAATCTATCAGTTCTTACCAGCCGATGTACCAGGGCTCGGAGCCATCCTCCATCTTGGCTCTCTCTGGGCTCATACTCATTACCTCGCCAAGACTGCTAAAACTGGTCTTATACGGAAAAAATTGACATTTGTTTTCCTGGTTATCGAGAGCCTGACTCCCTTCTTTATAAATCTCTTTAAAAAATTCAAAACTGAAATATTTCGGGGCAGTCCAGTTCTGTGTACCGTCACCTACAACTACTGGGACCCCAGTGTATGCATACAACTCTTCAAACTCCTCTTGTGATATATTGTATACTGTGTTTACCTCTGTCATATTTTCACAGAATGAACATTCCACTGGTGGTCTAAACATGTTAGACACATACTCGGGCATATTGACAATGCACGGCTCAAATTCTATATCAGCATTATGAAGACCCATCCAGGCTCGAACTACTGTCTCTCTACTCACAGGCCAGTCCAGCAAGCATGTGAACAGCACAGCAAAATATAACACAGCAAAAGCAATGAATATAATGATTAAACCGTTCACAAATATTCTCGTATATGACCCTTTCCACGAGATATCGTGCAGGATAGTCAGTCTCGACAAATCATCATCAGTCATACCCAACTTGACTGCCTGTTCATACAGTTTTTGAAATTCTTCATCAACATTAAACTCTTTGGTATGTTTACCTTCATCATTATTAAGTCTTTTCTCTTGTAACTTCTTTTCTGTCACTTCTGTGTCAGCCTGATTTACGGTAGCTACACCATCTGTTCCATTTACCTTCCTTCTTCCCATCTTAATATTTGTAGTTCTTTCTTATCTAATTATCAGAGTTTTTCGTCCAATCATCAAATTTTATTACATTAATTACATTCTGTATTTTTCGTAGTTCCTTTTTTTTAATAATGAAAACAAAAAGATCGATAATCACTCACATTTCAGTTTTCACTTAATCAGAACACTGTCTGGAGCTTAAGTATACACTGTGACTGGGTAGAACTTTCAAATGATTTTAAAATCAAATTTTATTTTGTCAAATTTTACTTAATTGCCCCCCGAATCATGGACATTCTATTCAGCTGTAAAGCTTGCAGTAAATCCAAGTTCCAAGAAATGGTATGGCATTGGTTCATATGACAGTCGGGCCCCAAAATGTATCTGAAGAAATAAAGAATGAGATAATTAACATAATCAATCAAACAAGGGCAATTCAATCAGCAAAATGAAATTAATGCCATCAGTCTCTGATTAACTGATTAAAGACAATTTCATCTGTAAATTGGAAATTTCCACACCAATAAACAATAAATATTTAGCAAGGGAGCATTAAACAGAGAAAACAGTAAAGATGTTAAAAATAGTAGACATAGATACTGCACACTTTCCAGAAATATAAACAGAACGAAAACTGTTTCATAGAATTTTTTTAAAACTTTGCATGGTTTTAGAATACCAAAATCAAAAAATAAAGGTTGGAATAACTCAAAATAAAGATTCCAATTTCTTTTCCTGGTAAAAAATGTGAATTTTATCAACATGTTTTGTGATCATGCAAAGTTTTAATATAGTATAACTAACATGAAATAACACTACTAAATAGCCATACTAATTTGTTTGGTATTTAAATACCTACTGAAGATATCTAGGGGCCACAATTATCAAAAAATTATAATTTCTTGTTTTTTTATTCAAATATATAATTATATTACTATTTAATATTTAGAGTTTTTTATCTTAATTATCAATATAAAACAGAATTTTTTATTGGCATTCTATTTTTTGCACTTTCATTTTATGGGTAAATGATTTTGATATATTCCTTCTGCGTCATAAAAATGCAGTTCACAGTTTCCCAGCCTTTTTTTCACAGTTCTGACACGCATATTAGTCAATACAGATCTATTTTTTTGTTATTAAATTTACCTTGAATTTAATTTATGGTATTCAAAATTTATTTCTAAATTATCAAGTTTTTACCATTTTTGTGATTAATGAGTGCACTCAAAATTCTGTTTATGGTATGCAATATTTAACTGTTTTAAAAATAATAAACAAAAAAATATTGATAATTGTAGAATTGTATACTAATTGTACCAATACAGTTTGTCGATGGTGACCTGTTTTTTTTTGTTTTTGTTTTTTTTGCAAAGTAAGAGTATGATGAAATGGGTCTTTGTTGAAATATCATAGTAAAAAGTGTATGTACAGTGCATAATTGATTTTCCACAATGCAAATTTTATTTATAATGTAAGGCAGCAAATATTATCAACTACTGATATTGGTTATGGTGGACAGTGCACCACAATATGAGTGAAAACACAATGACTGTCAAACCAGTCTAAAATTTGTATTGTCAATGAGGTTGCTGTTCTTAACAGTCTAATACATGTATCTTTAGAAACTGGATAAACTCCCCTTTTTCCTGGTATATATAGGAAAAGGAGTATATGGGCATATCAGTTCTTCTCTCATCACCTCAGTGCATGCCTGTTGCAGAGAAGGCACAGGGCATTGCCAGAAAATTTGCGACTTGGCGGGTAAACAACTATAAACTACCAAATACTTCACTACACATCTTCTTTGTCTACAACTGGTGTCTGGAGTTTATTCATACTCGCCACTGGGTGTGTTCTTCAGAACAGTATTAGTCTTTTTAGATTTTGGAGGATAGTGCCAGATACAGAATGATGCCCCAATTCTAGCTTCTCCTTTTTCTTCAGCATGCCAAGTGTTTAAGCACTCCTACAAGGGACATCAATTTGAGGTCTCATCTGAAAGACTGCTTTGTAATTTTTAAGTGCGACAACCAAAAATTGAACCCACAATATTGAGATTATGTCTCACACTCTAACCAATTAAGCTGGCACACAACACTCTTAACCAATTAAGCTGGCACACAAGTAGATAAGTAATTATTTTGCTTTTTATATACTTTATGGTAATTTACAGTTAGGCCAAAACCACATTTACATTGTGTACTGCTGTGTTTCATGATAACTGTTGCGGCTCTATTGTTTGGTATGAATAATCAAACTAGTTTAGTTACAAATTATTGATATTTAGATGACTGAATTGTATGAATGCTACTTTTAGCAGATTTGATTATCAGGACTGTCATCCCATTGTGTAACATTCTTTAGAATTGCCACTCCTTCAGTTACTGTCAAAGAGTAAATTGCTTTCTACATGTTGGGGTAGGATATATTAGGCTGATTGTTTTACTAGTTTTTCTTTTATTTTATATATACTGTACAAGTGTTTTTCTTCTATAGCCTTGTATGTAGAAAGTAGTTTTAATGTAGAATTTATATAATTTGTTAAGTGAATAAATTTTGTGATTCATTACCTTTGGTGAATTGTATTTCTTTAGATCATTTATATTGTCCTGTCAATGTGTAATTATTGTTTCTATCTATTATCTGCTATGTTTATTCATTACTGAATACACAGATAATACAGAACAAGAGGGCCATGATGCTCACCTGTATTTAGGCCCCCGGGGCGGGGCCAATTTTAACCCAGGGGCTTTTATTTGAACAAACTTGGTAGTCACCCATTTGAAGATGTTTCATGATAAATATCTAAGCTCTAGATTTAAGTTTTTACTATACACATATAAGGAAAAACAATGACCTCCCCTCTGGGCGGGGCCAATTTTGTCCCCAGGGCTTTTATTTGAACAAACTTGGTAGACACTCACTGGAAGATAATTCATGCTTAATATCTAAGCTCTAGCTCTTTGTGTTTTTTAACAGAAGATTTTTTAAGTTTTTACTATATACATATAAGGAAATTCAATGATCCCCAGGGCGGGGCCAATTTTTTCCCAAGGGCCCTTATTTGAACAAAAATGGTAGACACCCATTGGAAGATGTTTCATGCTTAATATCTTAGCTCTAGCTCTAAAGGTTTTTTTAAAAGAATATTTTTTAAGATTTTACTTTATACATAAAGGGAAAAAACAATGACCCCCTGGGGTGGGGCCAATTTTGACCCCAGGGCTTTTATTTGAACAAACTTGGTAGACACCCACTAGAAGATATTTCATGCTTAATAGCTAAGCTCTAGCTATTTGCGTTTTTTAAAAGAAGATTTTTTAAGTTTTTACTATATACTGTATAATACAAATAAGGAAAATCAATGACCCCCCCCCACCCCACAGGGCATTTATTTGAACAAACTTGGTAGACACTGACTAAATGATGTTTCATGCCAAATATTTAAGCTCTAGCTCATGTGGTTTTCCAAAGGAAGATATTTTAAGTTTTTTCTTTCGGTTGCCATGGCAACCAGAGTTCTGGTTGGAATTAAATTCTTTGAACAATTTTTAAAGTTGGCTACCAAAGGAACATTCCTGTGAAGTTTGGATGAAATTGGCTTTGTGGTTTATGAGGAGATGTCATTCAAAGTAAAAGTTTACGGACGGACGGATGACGGACGGACGCCGAACGAAAAGCGATCACAAAAGCTCACCATGTCACTTTGTGACAGGTGAGCTAAAAAAACCATGTTGGATTTTGGAAGACAAACCCTATTACATGATGATTTGGGCAAAAAAAATATATATAAATAAAATCAAAAACAGTACACAGTTAATGTATTATTTTGTAAAGAATTACCACAAAGAGCTGTCTGTTGTTTAAGTGTATGAGCCAATGTTTTTATTGGTATCCTATCGCTAACTAGAGTAATTTCAATACATGTACCACAGTTATGGAACCCCTCCCTCACTCTCAGAAAAAATTTAGGGTTTATTAATTACTAACTGTATAATTGTCATAAACAAAGGAACATGTTCCCATACAGTAAATTTTACAGTAACTAGATCATGCTGACTTTAAAAGGAGAGGAACAGCAGACAAATTACATGTAGCATTACTCTGTTACTGGTGAATCAAGAGGAACTGTTCTTGATTCTAAAATAGACTAAATTTTGATATTAGAACATTTAACCTGCTTGATATTAAACCTTAATCTGTAAAAGATAAAAAAAAGTTCAAACACAGTTCTAGTGTAGCTGTGTTGCTTTGGGATCATTTAAAGTGTTCAAGGAGATTTCAAAGGGCTTACAATGTAATCCTATTTACATGTAATCCTTGTCACACTATACCTGGTTTCCACCATATTGGCACAGCAGAGGCCATTTTCTTCATAGACATCAAACAAAGTTTTTTCATACATAAAGATTTCATATGGCTTTAGGCTCATTTTAAGTGTTCAAGAAGATTTCAAAAGGCATACCCTGTCACACTATACCTGGTTTCCCCCTTATTGGCACAGCATTGTTGAGTGGGGAAAGGCTACCGCCATTTTATTAATAGACAGCAAAAAATATTTTTCATGAAAATTTCATGGCATTGTCACAGTGACCAAGACAAAGCTTCCATGGTGTTTGTTATTATTTCTATTGAGTTTTAGCTGGCATTTGTCTGCTCTTGCAGCATCCACTTGAATTCTTTGTAATTTCACAGCAATTACATTGCTCATTCTCAGCAGTAAAAAGAGGGTTAGAGACTCAATGACATCTTACTGAATGCTGTACAATCTCTGTGAAAGAGCAATTGACAACCACATCCTGTGTGCACATTTGTTGAGCTTCTATGGTGCTGCAGAATATACTAAGGCATCCTTACACTAATCCTATTTTTTTCTTACACTAATTCTATTTTCTTCTTATCTGACCACATTTGTTTTTTAGCATTCAAATCCTAGTTAGCGTAGTATGCATTCCCAACACATCTACTTGCCATGCCACTGCACAATGCTTGTTATCATACTATGCTGACTTTGACATTCTGAATTTTTCTTGGACACTGCCAGAATACCATCCCTAGGCTGAGTTCTGGCTTCCATAACTTTATATGTCGCTTTTATTTTGACGTTGTGCGACAGTAAACAGGTCTAGCAGTACTATAAAACCTGTTCGCTGAAGTCTCTTTAGCTACCCTGGTATATGCTCTGGATTTCCTCTTGTTCAAATAATTAGACTTGTATGTAAAAGTGACATTGGGATAATTTGTAACGGTTTGACAGCATGCAGAAAAACAGTCTGCAAAATGGGTTGAAACATTCACAACAAATTAATTAGGCTAGATTACACCCAAAAATCTATTATAGATCTATGTATTGTACATAATACAGTATTCAAGTAAAAATCATTTATTAAATTATTGCATATTAGGAATATCAAATGTATGAAATAGTTACAATCAATATAAAACAATCAAACCACCTCTGAATTTTCTACGACTGTTCACTGATTGTAATCACCATACAACCAACTTATGTTTACACATTTTCTGAAGTTTGGTTACTTTCACTTTGTTGCCAGTCGCTTATATACATGAAAACTATAAACAAATACAAAAAGTTATTGGTGAATAATGATTTAATTTGTGAATTTGCTTGCTTTGCATTTTATTTAGAACATATATTTCATGTTTTATCTACCTTAATAAATATCAATGTCTCTATCATTTAGCTTATTTACAATGTTGTGAGCATTTTTCAAGATGGCAGCCTCCATGCGAAGGTGGATTTTGATCCCTGCTCTCATTATAATTTTACTGTTTATTTTCAATCGATGGGGTGTCAATCAAATGTTGGATGATCGATGGCGATCAAAAGTTATGAGATTCCAAATTTCTTGTGTAAATCAAACGTTTGCTATTTTTATGGCGTTATTCAACTGGTTCAACCTGGCCTCATTGTTTGACACATCCAATGTCAATGCCAGAACTGGAGATGAAATAAAACAAAACCGCTTTAAGTTACATTTTGAGATTCAGTGGAGGGAAATAGCTAATTGGAAACAGTATTCAGTGAAATCAGCACTTTGGAGAGGATTTCTAATGACTGTTTTGATATTATCACAATTTGTCTATACTTCATTTTCTTTCCTTATATCATCAAACCCATATGTTTTAACATATATATTCTTTCTTTGTCTGGCATTGTCCATACAATTGTTTGCTGCTCTAGTCGTTTATCATACGATAAATTCTTTATATAAATTAGCTACAAGGAAGTCATCACATCTTCGTAGACCATCAAGATTTCCTAAGATAGCTATAGTGTTATATGCCCTGTGTATTATTATGGTTGGATTCAACAACACATTTAAATTACCAGAAATTAAGAAGGTGAACATTCCAATCAAAGAACTACCTAGACATTTAGATAAAATGACAATAACTTTTGTAAGTGATATTCACTTAGGACCAACAGTTGGGCAGCGAAGTCTGGAACAGGTTGTTCACATGATCAATTATTTACAGTCAGGTAAAATACAGCTCTTGATTATTACACACGTATACAATTTATATGCACAGCTAACCCATTATAATGCTAACTTCATAAAAATGCTCATGGGTCTTGGCTCATCAAAAAATAAAAAGTGTTTTCACTAAATAATCAAGCAAAGTGCGTAATTATATGGCACAAAGCAATGTGTTATGACATATCTAGCAAACTATACGCACATGTTTTAGGCTATACCCACTTTTTTCAAAACTTATCTGTACAGTACCCACTTGAAAAAAAATCCAGTGGGCATACTGGTCTGATTTTAATGAAATAACTGTCAGCAATTTGTCTTCAAAACTTTGTTGTGCATATCATTTGCAGGTTTCATTTTAATTTGAACTTTTAGATTTTTGAACCTTTGAATTTTATATAACCCTATATAAAGGTGCAATTAAATCTTAATTCTCTAGAGCATTTATTTTCTGCTGTTTTTGTATTGTCTTCAACCTTTATTATCATAGAAATTTTAAAGAGGGAATCATAACCATCTGGTTTCCCTTCATTTCAATCTCTGTTTTACTTATTTGCCAATGCTTGAGTATATTCAATTAAATATGTATGCCAAATAAAATTCAAAGCCACATGCACATTTTGGGGGCTTAAGTCTTAGTGATTGCTTGTTATATTCTAATTTATTAAATTTTTTCATGAAAATTTTTGTAAACATGATATTCAATCTTTAAAAAATTTTCAGATAACAGGGGTTTTTTTTTGGGGTTTCGTAAAACATTTTAAAAAGTTTTTAACTTATTTTTCACTTGGTTGAATATTTTGATTGGGGGGTTTTAGTTTGGAAAGTTAATAGTTACACGCATGATCCTTTTGAATGGTTTAAACAAAAAGGGTTTTTTTTGAAGGGTTTGGGGTTTATTACCACATTAAAATATTTTTTTATTTTTTAGGTTTTTACGTCACTCGACACTTTAAAGGTCATATGGCGACATTCCAGCTTTACTGGTGGAGGAAGACCTCGGGTGCCCTCTCGTGCATTTTTTCAGTCATGAACGGGCACCCAAGTAGAACCACCAATGTTCTGTAAGCTAGCTGGATAGCTTCCTCACAGGAAAGAATCCAAAGTCCCTGTGGAACCCACAGCGGTGAGGGGCAAGTGGTTTGAAGTCAACGACCTTAACCACTCGGCCACAGACACCCCTACATTGAAATATTGACTGGCTTTCGGTTCTCCTGTAGAGACATGTTATTTCTGATTGTACAGTCTGAATGGACTTTCTACTGATCTTAATTAACTGATTACTTAATAACTTAACTTGTTTTCTGTCTTTTGAAAGTAAAATTTCACCAGTATTGAAAGTTCTGGATTTTCTATTTGTTGGTCAACCAACATCTTTCTATTGTCAGGATATATTCATAAGCTTTGTTTAGATTTTGACCCGCATCAACTCAGTTAAGTTTACAGTGTTTTACATACCAATATAATCTGGAGTCAACTTACTTGAGTATTTTAATTATCAGATATGGAATAACTAATGGATTGAATTCCATATGAAGTATTTATGTAGGAAATAGATATCAATTTTGAGTGCATTGCTGAAGAACAATGCATGGTTTGAGTTAGAATGGCCAGGAACATAATCACAATAGGCAAAAGCGATTAATTACGAAGCATTTGAATGATAAACCGTATAATACTATACATCATTATGTAATAATGCATGACTGTTCTGTCTGTTTGAAAGGGAAAAAAGGTGGAGCATGTTAGAATGAAACACATAGTTGTATTTATTTATGGTTTACAGTATTTTTTCCTTTCTCATTCAAGGAAATCATGAATACTACACAACTGATGCCCAGAACTGGCTTGAAAAACTAGAATCCCTGGGTGTGAAGGTATTACACAATTCTAATGTAATTTTAAATGGTAAAGGAGATACAGGGATATGTCTAGCAGGGGTTGATGATCCAACAGCTGATGCATTTAGGTAAGTCAGCTTGTAACAAACACATAGATTGTAAAACTCTTAAAACTGCAAATGATATAGGTATATCCTGCTTGAGAGTATATGGTTCTTTATGAAGATTGTCAAGATAAACTCTTGAGTATTTTTAAGCTATACGTTGTATTTTAATAGAAAAACAATTTACAAGTTTATAACCACCATGAAATAGAAGGTAGTGAAATTAAAATGCTGACTTTTTTATGCAACAATTTGTTACCAGTATGATATGTATTTACACTTTGGTTGTTAAGTCTGATGTTAAATCTTTAATCTGCAGCAATAGAGTTGTTGGATTAAGACTTCACATGTATATACACTTCATGTATTTATTGTATTGCATTCCCAGTTCTTTGTCTCATTTCTTTCTGGTTGGACTAATTGGGTTCATTGACAATTTTAAAATATTTCTGTGTTTTTGTTGCAATTTCAGATATATGGATCATACAATGGACATAGATGGCGCTTTACAGTCATGTGATAAAAGCAGTCCTGTGATACTGGTGGCTCATCAACCAAAGGCAGCTAGAGCAGCACTTCAATCAAACTACAGGCTGGATCTTGTGCTCTCGGGTTAGTGTTAAGTTAAATCCAAAATCAACACCAAATAAATATATTTCACTTTAATGTATGTTCACAACAGATAAAGTTACAGATTATTTTCAACTCAGACGTTGTCAAGGAAGTTGATGACATAGTAACGTCATGATGTTATAATAACGTTACATAAAATTTAATTTAATTAAATTTAAGATTAGATGAAATTAACATTAATTACACTTTCTTGTCTTCTTTCCTGTGATCTTTCCAGTCATATTAAGAAAACTGTATGATTTAAAATGTTAAAATTGTACAGTTAGCACTGTGATTTTGTAACTTAAATTTGTAATACAACACTGTAGGCAGTATCAGCTTTCATTTTATATGTAAATGTTTGTGTTAAATTTCTGTAACTGTAGTTAGTTAAGTCAGGATTATATATTACATATGATGTAACTTTTTTAATTTTTATCTTTGAGTTTAGGCATACATGTAATTTTGCTACATTCAAGTTCTGCATTTCATGAACATCCATTATATTGTGTCACCTGCTAGAGAATAGTGGAGACATATAGGAATCATTTCTCTGTACATCTGACCATCCATCACAAAACTTGTCCCGACTACTTCTCCAAAACTACTGGCACAATTTCATCTAAACTATACAGGAATCATCTATATGAGATCACTTCTCCATCTTGTGTTTGTTCGTCTGTCCACCATAGAACTTATCTGGACAACTCAAAACCTACTGGTGCAATTTCATTGTGCATATTATCAGCATTTACCAGTACTGTTCAAGATTTTTGTCAGTGCCTTTTAAGATTATTTTTTAAAAGTTTGTCTGGACTATTTCTCTTATACTACTAATGCAATATTGATAAAATTTGAACTGTCCTATTACCCCTCAATACAACTGCTAAATTGGCTATCATCAGGCGATACATTTGATCACTGATCACTCTTGTTAATATATATTGCTGTAATCAAAATGGTATCTTTATATACTTTTAACATTTATTCAGTCTTACTTTATGTAAACTCTATTATAAATTTGCCACTGATCAAGTTGACTGTATATCTTAATTCAGTCTTATAATTTCTCTTTATGTTTACAGGACATACACATGGTGGACAAATGTTTCCATTAACTATAGGAGCCTACTTGATGAATCCATTTTATGCAGGACTTTACAAGTATAGAGAAAATAGCCATGTTTATGTTTCCATGGGAACCATGTACTGGGGAATACCAGTTCGCTTTGGAACCAATAAAGAAATCACCAAAATAACACTTGTGACCAAAGATTAAATTTATTACTTGTATCTTAGTCAAACAGACTCTGGGAGTTCACTAGAGTTTTTCAAACCAAAGATTTTAAATGTTTTTTTGTTTTTTTTTATAAAAACACAACAAGTAGGAAAGACTTCAAGTATATTAATCAAATGTTTATATAATTGTTGTTGAAACAATTATATGTTTTGTAATGAATGAGAAGAAGGATGATTAGTGCAATATGATTTTATTAGCCATTGCTAAAAATATAAAACAATACTGAAATACTGGTATATCATGCAAAATATAAGATGAATGAACTGTTTTTACCTGTAACCTGCTGTAACCAAAAGTGATTACGAGAGGTGCCCAACTTATTTTTGAACAAAAATAAAACTGTAACCAATTCTAAGGAAACACTCATTTATTGTAGTAAATATCCAATATGAAATCCATGACAGTTGTAAATCATCCTACAATGCTTTGGACACGATTTTAAAGTCTTTTTTATAGTTTCTTGAATGAGTTTGCGCCACTCGTCCTTCAGTGCCCTTTTTAGACTGACAATCGTGTTTATTTGCCGCTTCTGCAGCTGACTTTTTAGAACACCCCAGATACCAAAGTCCATCGGTGCAGCATCAGGTGATTTTGGCATCCACTCCTCAGTGGTAATAAAGTGAAATTTGACGGTCTTTCAGAAATGAAAGCGTTTTTTAGATGTGTGACTAGATGCACTGTCCTGGTTGAATGTCATTGATTTTGCCCCACAGAAAAAAGTCTTGGAAAATCTTTCTCCTAAAATGGCTTTAGCACTTTGTTGATATAGTACTCAGAGTTCACCTTTGTACCTTTATTGATGATCCGAATCTCCGTTTCCCCTCTAGAAGACACACCAGTCCATGCCATGAAACTGCTGGCAAAAGCATCGCGTTTGACAAACTTCAATTTCTAACCAAGGACATCCCCTTTTCTAATATAACATACCTTTCTTCGCCCATAACTTCCGCCTAAGTAAAACATAGCCTCATCCAAAGTGACAAAGTTTTTCCACTGGTTTCACTGTAACTTCAGATAAAGCTTCCAAGATCTGGCCCTGCGCGTCTTAATTTGTGCCATGTTATGTTGATGAACTTTGCACTTCTTTTATCATAATTTTGCTTTCAGAATTTTATTTATAATGTTATAGATAGTTCTCTTTGTCGCTTATTTTAGTACATACCAATTTTTCGATCAAGTTTAAGTACATGTAAATGTATACATAGGTTATAACAAAACCAATAATACACAACAGCCACAATAAACTCGTGCATGTGTCTTACAATGCACAAATTTCTTATGTTCAAAAATAAGTTGGGCACCTCTCGTAGCATTGCCACCAGGGGAGAGTGAGGCCAGTCTGTCCAGAAATGCAGTATAATTAGGCTCTTACACTGTTTGTTAATTCATGTTTTGATAATAATTGAAGACCCTTACACTTGGAATGGACTGTTCCAATTTCAAAGCAGAGCAAATCCATTACATAAATTTGGCAGGTTAAGGATTAAGGTTATATTATACTAGAGGTGTTATTGACATGTCTGTGTCACCAGTATTATAATGCTAGGGTATCCTGTACACCTGTGATATCTTACCTGCTACTATAATGTTGACTGCTTAAATTTTATTGATTTATATAAAAATTGTCAAAGATTGTTATCAGTTGAGAATTCAAAGCTTAATCAGTCCATTATTAATATGTAACACTGTGAGGGTTAGTATGTAATAGTTCAGTCTATTTGCTGTACATATATTTGGAAAGTCTGATCAAAGATTTAGTGTGTTTATATATGAGAAAAAAAAAATAATAGTGGTATTTGTTTAAAGTCAGACCAAAGATTCTAAGTATTCATTTATGTATAGGGAAAGATTAAATAATAGATGTATTAATGTCAACTGAGACCAAAGTTACTATGTATTCATGTATTAGTTTGAGGTAATACCAAAGATTTTATTTATCTATAGGCCAGAATACATATTAGTTTTCAGCTTTAAGGAATTTGTGATTTTTAGCCTGACTGTTTCTAAGAAAAAGTTAAATTAATATTATTATTGAAACATTTTCAAAGTTACTGACATGAAACTTGCTTATCATTATTTTGTTTTCTCAGTATGACTTGTCTCCATTTATTTTATTTATACATCATAGATTATCATTTTTTTTCTTATTTGATAGAGCGAGAGTGAAATACATTGATTTAATATTTTGTTAAGTATTTGTATATTTAAAGTGGAAAAGTTGGGTGAGTGTATATAATGTTATAGTATGATTTTTTATATTTAAAATCTAATGCTGATCTCTAATTGATATAAGTATTCAAGTAGTATATGGGTCTCTTTAGCGCCAAACAAACAGGCATCCTTTTGTTGAGCTATTTTTTATTTTTAGTAACAAGCGGCTATATTTGAACTGTTTATAGTAATTAATTTACATATAAAATAAGCAAGGCGTCGGCCTCGTCATTTAGAATGACATCATCGTGCTAGTTTAAGAAAATACTTTCATGTTATTTTTTTCTCCGGCAAGTGAACATCAGGTCCTCTGCCTTTCCTCATTTTAAACTCAGATATCCAAGCCTCCATCGGGACCATCTCATTGACTCAACCCCCCACGGGAGCTCCAGTATATGATCAAAAAGAAGTCAGAGCTGACTTTACGCGAAAATGCAACATTGAACAGTACTCATCCGGCGAAATTGATGAACAGCACTAAAAACTCTGATTACAAGATGTGAAGCACAGGCTGCATCGCATGTTTCACGATGTTTTAGACCAAACCCGGGATAATTTAGCAGGAAACAACTTGGGCCATAATGCATTACCAAGGATTTCACGACCCCTTCATAGTTCACCTCCAACCCTGAGACCTTTTGATTGCTAACAAAATAATGGAAAGAATTGAAAAAGTACTAAACAGCAAACCAAAACGTATCTATTGACAAAAGAGTTTACATTTAAATAGTCATTATTGACTTACTCAAAGGAAGCACCAGGCGGAGAATCACAAAACTTAAAGGGAAAAATAATTCATTAAAATTGAAAACGCATCTAATGATGATTAAAAAAGAAGATCAGTTATGCATGGCGAGATCAGTCAAGGATAGATGGGCGAAATTAAACAAATGTACATATATGTCCAAGAAATAGAAAGAAGTAACTAAAAAACATCAAAAGAATTTTAATCTACAACTTGTACTAGAAAACTTAACTACAAACATTTTAAAAATAACAGAAAGTCAAACAAAGACAATTAGCGGCAGCAATCAAGTCAATTAGCCAGAGTACACTCGGATCGTCTCACCAGTTTAAATGATGTAGAGGCATTCAAAGAAGTGTTTGGAATGTATTATGGTGGACAGCACCGGACTGGGTAACTTTTTCATCACAAGCAGCAGAAGTGCCAAGTGTGTAAATGTGTATTTACTTCAAGGATGAATAACACTTTAACACCATTTCCATTATTACAGGCTTTTTCTTCTGTATTGTTATGGAAAACATTAACACAAAAAACAAACAGAAAGGTAAAATTAGGCGGCACTCCCAGTGCTAAAAATATTTGGAGTGCCTTCAGTGTTATAGAATTATTAGAACAGACAAAAGGGAGAATGAAGGTCATCCTTGTGGGGAATATCAGTGAACCTCTTGCAAGGGACATTTGTGCTATTTAATAGCAACTGAAAATTATTTTTTTTTTATTTCGAATGTAGTTTGGATGATGTTTCGGTTTGAAATGAATAAACCTGGGAGGAAGAATGGATGTAAACAAGATATGTAAATCTTATTTTACATGTAGCCACTGTAAAATGTCTTGGTGCGGAAGAGCGACAAATTGTCCCAATTTCATTAGAGCTCATTCAGTCTGTCCAAAATGTACCAATAAACCATTAAACCCCTAATATTTGTGCACAATATGGTACACGCTGCAACAAATGTGATAAGTCTGACTTGTACAACAACTGACGATAGAGCGAGATCTACATATCAAAGTGATTAACAGTCTCAACTTTATACCTATGAAACTGTCCGCCCTCCCGAAAGCTTTTGGTCAGAATGAATTAAAAAAAGGGTGGTTTCCACATTTCTTTAACACTAGAGAAAATCAGAATTTTGCAGGTCTCTCTCCGGAAACTAAATACTACAGTCACAATTTTATGAGTGAAAAAGAGAGAGCCTTTTTGTGAAAATGGTTGAATAAGAGAAATAGTGAAGTGTTTGATTTTAGAAAAGAAACATTATTGTAGGAGTGATGAGGATATTTTGAGGTAAGTGACTGTTTAAAATTTAGAGAGTTGTTGATGAGTACTACAGGTGAAAGAAAAGCAGTAGTGAATGAAAAAGGAAAGAAAGAAAAAATGTGAGTTGGAAAATAAGAAGGTTGTGATGTATGGATACCTTCAAAATTTATAGACAGAAAGCTTTATTTGCAACACAGAAACAAAGGGATAGGCATAAGAGGAGAAAATATCTACACCTAGGAAAACATGGTAACTGTTACTTAAGTTGCGTGACTTTGCAGTGTTTAGCAGGACCGGTTATTTACAAATCGATCACATGAACCAAATGGGAGGCTTACAATGTTTGGAGTGTAATTCCAATGATTGTTAAAACTGGCAAATTTTCATGACAAGCCTGCTATAAATAGACATCCAGTCAGAATCAAAATTTTACCTATATAACCAATAAAACCCTGGCATTTACAAATTGAACTTCACTGACTGTTGATCTTTCAATATGGAATATTACAAAAATCTTTTAAAAACATTTGACACTTATCCTAAACAAAATGTTATCCAATAACTAAGTTGGCTAGTTTGTTGTCTCGCGCCATGGCTAATGTTAAGTCTTAGTTGGCTGTTCCATTCCTTAACTTGCATGTATCTCTGAAGTTGCATCTAATGCTTGCCATGTTGTTTGAATAGATAAGGGACAAGATTTCGCCATCTTCTATACTCCAACAGCTAGTCTATTCTCATCGTTGAAAAATGCTCAAATCAGATTACTTGTTAAGATTGTGGATTGTTTGCTATATTAGAATGATGTCAGTCTAAATATAGATGCTGCTGCCGTGCATGTTTTGTATGTAAATTAGTTACTATAAATAGTAAACAATATGGCGGCTTGTTACTAAATATAGAAAGAAGAGCTGTTTCTTTGTTGCTTAAGAGACCCATTTTGTACTACAGTAAAACTTGTCATATGTGACTTTCCATGGGACCATATCAAAAAAGTCACATATGACAGGGAGTCTTTTAATCCAGGTTCCCCCCAAAAAAATCAGTTGTTTCAAAATGCTATTTTTACTTGTTTGTCTTTTCTTTGATTGTGTTTTCTTTGTGTTACATATATGTAATGTTTAAATATGGTTTGTTGAAGATATAAGATAATTTTTATTTAAATAGATCTACTTTATTATAGTTAAAATAACTTTAAAAATAAAAATGTTTACACGCATAATTATACAAATACAATGTATTATAGATATAAAATTTTAAAAGGAGAGTTTTTAATTTTTATTTCCAGTCTTCCACAGTTTTAACATTCACATCTCCACTTTCGCCACTCATGGTCCCATATGATATACTGTTTCTTAATTTGAAAGAGTCAAGCCAACCAATGGTGATAAACATTCGAGATTATGGCGCTAAATTTTGACGGACAAATCAGTGTAAATGTCAATTGAAAGCGAGAAGTGTGAAAAACATAATTCTTGTGAAAATGAAAAAGTCGTTTAATTTGGTCGTAGAAATGTAACGGGATGTTAAATTTAAGGTCGTTAGTCGCGTCAGACAGGGAGTCGTTTAATTCAGTGACTTTATATAGTGATTTACGTTGGGCGGTCTAAAATAAGGTCGTATACGACAGGAAGTCGTTTAAATCAGTGAGTCGCTATGGCAAGTTTGACTGTATTTAATTCATATGCGGTTATTTATTTAATTATAATTGATGCTCATTATAAGGCGATCTCATGTGTGTTTGTCAATTATTTATTAATTCTAAGTCAAATAATGTAATGAAGTAATCAAATATTCCATAATGCATTTTAATTATAATTATTACACTTATTTTACAGTGGGGTACAGTTTTAATATCAATTTATGTCTCTATGTTACATAATAAAACAATTACTATTGTCTACACTGTAGATGGGCGCATAGTTTTATATTAATTATTGTGTAAATGATGCACACCTAAGTGAAAGATATGTCTATTTTGGCTAATTTTTTTCCTGAAATATGCATAATGTATTGATCACTAATTCATAAAATGTACACAGGTTATTGATGGTAAATTTTCTCATTGGTTTAAGTTTATTTACTGCTATTTTCTTCATAGTGTAATGTAAAATGATATTTTTATTAACTATACTGATGTATTTTTGCACCACTGTCTCAAAAATTTAAACAATTGTAATCAATTTTGAATTGTTAAAACATTAGTTTTAAGAGATTCTGTTACAGTGTTTATGGAATGGTATAGATAATCTTAATTCTGGTGTTTATCACTTTTAACCAATATCTAGAATTTATATCTTGCATAAATTAATATCTTCACATCATTCTTTATTATACCCCCACCACAAAAGGTGGGGGGGGCTATAATGGATTCGCTTTGTCGCGTTGGTTGGTCGGTCCGTCGGTCGGTCCGTCTCCATTTTCATGTCCGCTCTATAACTCCTATACCAATTGAAGGATTTTCTTCAAACTTGGCTCAAATGTTTATCTCAACAAGGCGATGTGAAGAACCCATGTTGCCCATGTGTCAGCTCAAGGTCAAGGTCACAATTGAAGGTCAAATATCAAACACAATCAAATATTAGACAGTATGTCGTGTCCGCTCTGTAAGTCCTACACTAACTGAAAGATTTTCTTCAAACTTGGCTCAAATGTTCACCTCAACAAGGGGATGTGCAGAACCTATGTTGCCCATGTCACAGCTCAAGGTCACAATTGAAGGTCGAATATCAAACAATCAAATATTACACAGTTTGTCGTGTCCGCTCTGTAAGTCCTACACTAATTGAAGGATTTTCTTCAAACTTGGCTCAAATGTTCACCTCAACAAGGGGATGTGCAGAACCCATGTTGCCCATGTGTCAGCTCAAGGTCAAGCTCACAATTGAAGGTCAAATATCAAACAATCAAATATTACACAGTATGTCGTGTCCGCTCTGTAAGTCCTACACTAATTGAAAGATTTTCTTCAATCTTGGCTCAAATGTTCACCTCAACAAGGGGATGTGCAGAACACATGTCACCCATTTTCCGGCTTAAGGTCAAGGTAACACTTGAAGGTCAAAAATTGACTTAGAAAATATTTTTTTAACATTTATTTGAATATTTCTGAATCTAGAAAAGGTATTTGCTTGAAACTTCAAATATATAAAAATATAATAGAAGTGTCACAATTAAGATATCCTGTTCAAGTTTCATAACTCTGTAATTCATTTTAACAAAGTTATGCCCCTGTTTAAGTCTTCAAATTTACATACAATCAAATATTAGACAATATGTCGTGTCCGCTCTATAAATCCTATACTAATGGAAGAATTTTCTTCAAACTTTACTCAAATGTTCACCTCAATAAGGGGATGTGCAGAATCCATGTCACCTTTGTGCCGGCTAAAGGTCAAGGTCACACTTGAAGGTCAAAAATTGACTTAGAAAATGTTCTTAAATTTTAACATGTACTTGAATATTTCTGAAATTAGCACAGGTATTTGCTTGAAACTTAAAAGATATATGAGGTGTCGCAAATAAGATATGCAGGTCAAGTTTCATTACTCTGTATTGCATTTTGACAAAGTTATGCCCCTTTTTAAGTCTTCAAATTTACATACAATCAATACTAGACAATATGTTGTGTCCGCACTATAAATTCTATACTAATTGAAGGATTTTCTTCAAACTTTACTCAAATGTTCACCCCAACTGGGCGATGTGCAAAACCCATCTTAACCCTTGTGCCAGATTAAGGTCAAGGCCACACTTTAAGGTCAAAAATTGACTTATAAATGAAATGTTTAGTACATCGGGAAAATAAAAGGTTATTTGTAACTGTTTCGAACATGATTTGATAATATATATTTTTATACTATTACCTGTACAATTAGTCTTTTTTTCACCAGAGATAATTTCTTTTTATGTATTTGTGTCACTTAAGTTATTCCCTTAATCACCTTTCCAAGTCTTCTTCTGTCAAGGACATTGGTGGGGGTATGAATCGTGCATTCAGCGATAGTTCTAGTTTAATATACCCCCAAAACAAGAGTTTGTAAGGGTATACTGGCTGACTAGTGTGTCTATACTGTGAATGCTTCTCTTCCTACAGTACAAGATGGATTTCCTTAAAACTTTTGTCAGTTGTTTGTAATTTGGGTCAACTTGGCCCTAAAAAATACCCCCCGCCCACCCCAAGACATCTGGGCAAAGGTAAACTTTTCAATGTTGATCCAAGATTTTCTTTTGTAGAGGACCACAAAATGATGCTACGAGCGTAGGGTAGTGGAGCAACAGTTAGGATATGATTTTAATGAGATCGAGTCTCTTGTAATATTGGATCATCTTCCCCAAAGCTCTGCACAAATCTCAAATTGGTCTTAATTTGTTGACTGCGATAACATACTCTTGACTTCCTCTATCATGTCATAAAATCTATCCAATATGTCTCTGCTGACAGGATTTCTAGAAAGTGTGTCAGGTACATACTGACTATCAAAATATACCTATGATTAGCATCATGAAGCTGACATCTTAATGGTGTTTAATCTAAATCCTAACTGTTTATGAGTAGAAGTAATGGTTTATGGTCAGCGAGTATTCTTAATGTGTCTAAACCTACTAGATAACGTGAAAACTTTTCACAAGTTTAAGTTTAAGCTAAACATTTAAACTTTTCACAAGTTTAAGTTTAAGCGAAACATTATCATCCAGAAATAACGCCGCCCCTGAACGGTACTACTCGGATCAGCACTTTGTCTCATCATTAAATGTTAATGTGGGTGCTTCAGTTATAATATCCTTTACCATGTTGAACACAATTTCTTGAGCTGAATCCCATACCATTACTAGTTTGATCCTTTTGGTAGATCTGTCAGTGGGTTGATTATACATTGTCCAGGTTTGAAATAAATCTTCCTAGGTAATTCACCATCCCACAGGTCTCATAATTCTGAGTTACCCTTTTACAGAGTTATACCCCTTTTGCTTACTGCCAAGTACTGAGAATAGTTGAGTCTTATGGACAGCTCTTGTTTGAAAATGGTTGTGGTAATATTGTTAAGAAGTGTAAATAAATATTAATGCATTAAATTATTTGTTTAAACTTTAATGGTTATTGTTTTATTACTAGTTGTTCTGATGTAAGAAGTGCAGAGAAGTATTATTGTATATATTCAATTTTTGAAATTTGTTACACAAGTCTTGTTGAAAATAAAAATTTGCTGCACAGTAGAATTGTCTTTATTTTAACTCCTGAATGTTATTATGACAGACCAGATTAGCCAGCACATGTGTGTTGTTACCATTTACATTCTGTTAGCTGATATCATATTAACAATAGAAAATATCTATAAAAACATAATCAACTGGAATAAAGTTTAAAGTCATCAAGATTACATTGTCACTTTAATGGCACATTATGCCTGAAAAATCCATGTTTATTAAATTCTTTAAAAATGTGTTTAATAATGTGTTTTAATAATGGATTAAGAGCATGTTGGATGTTTAACAGCAGAGGAAAGTAGTGCTGAATGTGCAGTAATGTCATACAGGTAGCAAAAAGTAAACAAAGCAGAATTTTAAGTTCCATACAAAGTACTAATTAAATATAATTATACCAATGGCCAACAAAACAAAAGGAGCAAAGATAATTCCTCTATATGGCAAATAAGTTTTTTAAGGAACTCAAAGATACCAAAAATAAAACGTTTTTGCGATAGAAAAATGATAGCAATTTTGGGGCATAATTAGCCTTTAAAGGTATGTTTACTTAAAGCTCATGTCAGCTTTATTTGTTAGTGTCATTTTAGTGGCCAATTCCTTGAGTGATTGAAACAGGATGACAGACCAACACTACCATTTTAAAGCTGGGCCAAAGTTGGGTAAGTCTCACTATCTCTTACTAAATTTTAGCCAAAACATAATTATGAGAGGGAATAAGTCTGTATTTGAGAAATTTGGTTGGGACAGTTCCCATGGCCAGTAGATGACCCTTATTGATTTTGAGATGAAAAGTTCAAAGGTCAAGGTCACAGTGTAAACCCTTTATCTGCCCATTAACTTGAGAAGGAATAAGCCTTGGTTTGTGAATCTTGGATTGGACATTACCCATGTAAAGAAGGTAACATCAAAAGTCATTTGGTCAAAATTCACAGCGACAATGAAAAATCCTTGTCTGATCAATGATAGCCTGGTTGATTTCTTTTAAGTTTTCAACTGAGTCCTATCACACTATGATAGTTTACATCTTCTGACAGCACATACTTACAAGTATGTAATGCTCAAACATGTGGAGCTCTTTTTATACTTTTGGAGCTATTGCCCTTTTTATTTGTTCATACATATTTTTTGTCATGAGTGTAACTCAAAAAGTATTAGCTTGAAATTATTGATAATCACAGAAAGGAGAAGTGCATTGCTAAATTCTCACCCAGCTGGAACCAAGTGATTAGCCTTTGTCACCAGTACAAACTGTATAATGTTAGTAGCTCATTACAATGTCAATTGGCATCCTTTGTCTTAACAACTTCTTTTCTGAAACCACTGGGTCAAATTTGATGAAATTTTTCTGGGATGTTAATATAGCATGAAGATCTGCTAAAATTGTTCAAATGGTTCTGCTCCATTGAGTATGTGGTCAGAAGGGCTAAAAGAAGACTTACTTGATTCGAAAACAAAGGAAAATCCCAGCTGAATGTGCCAACTGGTCATTGAGAAATACATTGTAGTCCGGGCAAAAAAAATTGGAAGAAAGCTCAACATATGAAATAACAACAAGAGTACAATCATTCTCCAAGTAAGTTTTTATTGGATATAATTCAACAACTCAAAAAGATAAAATCTGTTAACAAATGATTTAATATTTTCTACATAAACAAAGTAATCGTGGTTATCATGATTGTTCAACAAAATTAGATAATTATGAACCTGTCTGAAATCCACAATTTGACAGGTTTCAAACCTAAACCAGTCCGAAACCTGCAATGTCACTGAAAAAGCAACCAGTCTATATCGGTGATTGGTTAAGTAAAAGAAATCAGCAAATACAAAGAAGGTAAAAAGTTAAAGAAATAATGAATATTGAAAATCAAGAACCAGGCATAAGATATGATCAAAATGAAATTGATTTAATATCATACCTTGATTTAATATCATAACTTTGATTTAACTTGGAACAAAACATGAATCTTGTTTTCTCTAAAATGAAACAACATCTTTTTCCAACACATTTTTTTCCTAAAAACTAAAGTAAATACATTTCAAAATGCTAAATGGAAAAAAAAAGATTCAATTCAACTTTTTTTCAAAATATCAAGTTCTTATGTGTCAAAATTGAGTAAAATTTTTAAAAGATAATGACTTGTAAACTTATTATATACATACTTGTAAACTTATTATATACATACTTGTAAACTTATTATATACATGTACATGTCTGTTAAAAATGAACAACTTATTATCATCAACAAGATATATCATTTGGAAGAAAATAAGGTTAAGGATTTTATTGTTCATAACAATTATACAATATTGTATATACATAAGTTATAGTATATTTATTATAAAAATGGCTCAAATAACAGATACCAAAATGTGTTAATATTTAAATTTAAAGTACACATCATGAATACCCTGAAGTCCACTTCAAGCTGTCACATATATATCTTTGAGATCCTTGTAAATATTTGGTTTAAATAAAACTAAGTAATGTCATGATATAAATATATATATAAAGAAGTCACAGCTGCCTTTAAGTTCCAATAAAGTCTTACTTGTGTTTAGGTATCTATACCAATGTATTCATTCTGCTTATCTAGGTATATATATTAAACATGTAAGAAAACATTTCCGGTTAAACAAAAAAAAATTAGGTATGACCACCCTAATGGGCACTATAAGGAACTTAAAATTGACAGAATAGGTCAGATATATGCTTTAAAGGTCACCTGCATACAAAATTTAAGCAAAATTGACAGTACAATAAACAAGTTGTGCACATTTTTCTGAACCTAAGCTCAGGTATTGGAAGTGCTCTTTTTCAGAAATGAGGAGACATTAAATAAACTATAATACCATCCTTATGAAAAATGGTTTCCCATTACTAAGAAACAAAATCTTAATAATATTTACAAATAAAGTTGACACTTCTGGGGTTTGAACCCAAGCCTCTAAGTTTCAATGCATTATACAGTAATTCTAGCCTATTTGAATAATCTTCAAAGCAGAGGTAATGCATTAGGATGGTCATACCTTAATAGCAACCAAAACAAAGCTTATAACTACAGATACAAAGTTCTTTTCCAAGCATATTTTTTCAAGCATTTTTGTGTTTACTTTCTTTGCTGATAATAATTAAAAATGTATGTACATTTCACTGGAGAAAGCCTCGATCAGTCTTAATAAAATTCTAATAATAAAAATTGAGCTCTAAAACCAGGTTTCACTTATAGAGAAATATCATAAATAAAGATATGTGTAACTGAATTATGAAGCCAGACTTTGGCACTTTTTCATCAAAGATTCAGAGATTTACTGTAAATTGTAGAATTTCATTGACAGTTTTGAAAATGAAACAATAACATTAAAATGTGGCCCAGTCTTGGTCATGATGCTATCTATGGAAGATACAAACATAAATCTTAAAAAAAAAATTCTCAGTTTTTTTTTGTTTTTTTTAAATAATCGAACAAGCAATGTTTAAATAAAGTAAAAACTTTAAGTAAATAAGTTTGGGAATGACCATTGTATAGATTTGTTACATGTAAATTGTACCGATTGAAAAGAAAAGCAAATGCTACCTTTAACAACCAAGCAATTGTTGGCTTGTTTAGCTATGCAAAGTTCAAGTATGAACATATTTGTTTGTTGACTAAGTTAATTATTGACTGACAGTATGCTTTTTCACATTATTTTGTTCTTATATTATATATAATAATAATGGTTATGCGGTAAATACATATTTAAAGCTAATTTTGATAATAAACATATAAAAAAATACACAGGTGAAAATATGACTTTTTATGTCTTGTGTGGTACTTTTATGTTTAGTAATAATTATCAAACATAAAAACACCAGAATTAAAAGCTTCAAGAAAGTAAATAAAATTGAGATATTGTTCAAAATGAATAAAAATGGAGATTTATTAGTACGTCTGAGATTCAGTACTTATGTAAAACATTAAAATATAATGTAAAACTTACATATTTAATGTAAAACTTTCATAATTATTTAATGTAAACATTTATAAATAAACAGAATAAAATGCAATATGTATAATCTTATTAAAAGATGACTTAGTACACAACAATTTGGATGGAATTGGACAATACATGACTTACATGACTACATGTATTGGTCCTTTACTATAATCCCTGGTCTAATATATATCACTAAATGTCACACCAACACCACAGGTGTTCAGCATGTTGATTGGTAACCAATCAACGCGACAAACACCTGCGACTTACACAACATAACACTAAACATATAGAGGGAGGTTCAGTACTGAATTTATTGAATGTGTTGAATAACATTGTATTATGGGAGCCTCTGGCAAGCATAATATTATTTTAATCATAGAGTTCAATAAACTTAGTTATGAAGCTAAACAAATGTAATATTCTTTTTATCACATATCCAAAATAACTTTTTATGGTAAAAAAAAGGTGTCATTTTTCATTGATGCGCTTATAGTGTCACGCCAACATTTAGTGCATCTTTACCTATGTAAATATAATACAAATGATGTTAAATCAAAATAAATGCATGGAAGTTTAGTTCTGTTTATATGAGGTGGCAAAAGCAGCATGGGTATGTGATAATTAACAAATGAGCCGTGTCACGACAAAACCAACATAATGGCTTTGCGACCAGCTAGATCCAGACTAGCCTGGGCATCTGTGTAGTCTGATCAGGATCCATGCTGTTCGCTTACCAACTCTATTACAAGTAGAGAAACTGATAGCGAACAGCATGGATCCTGATCAGACTACGCGGATGCGCAGGCTGGTCTGGATCCATGCTGGTCGCAAACCCACTATGTTGATTTTGTCGTGACGCGGCTCAAATATTGTTCTTTACAAAACATCATTAACATTCAATAATTTATACAATATCTTTAACTATACAATTTGAATTTAATGGCAATTTACCTCTACAATTCTTATTCAACAGAAAATGTTTAACTTTACAGCATAATTTGGTCATTTAATCATTAAAAAAAAAAAAAGTGTTTAAATAAATTCCTTTCCGTAAGGAAAACAGCAACTAACAAAAAAAAAATACATGTCAATCTAAAATATTGTCTAGATTTTCACAAGTTCAAAATGTCCTTTTTGAGGTTTATTTAATTTCACTCTTCTTGTAAGTGATTAGTTATATCTTTGAATTAAATACCAGTACCAGTTTTGCAGTATTTATAAATATATTTAAAATTTAAACTGATCAGTAATCTAATCCAAGATTGCTTTCCAGTATCTATGCCATAGCAGTTTAATTCTGCCATGTTTTTATCAAAGACTCTTGTACAGGGTAATTGCCATTAGATTTGACAAGTAATAAAAATTATAGCTACACTTAAAATTCATAATCAAAACATGTATCAGCATTTGCATAATTGGTTGACAGTAAAAGATTGTCAAGAAGTGATTACCGTACATTATTTGTTCATTTTCTGCATAGCTGAATGGCTGTTGCAGTGTAGTTCAAACATGTTCCTGGAAAAACTTGTATGTCTAAGCAAGTACATGTACTCTCATTTATCTGAAATTCTGTCTTTGTATCTTTAGTAGGGCCTAAAACCTCTCACTAAAGTAAAACAAACTTTCATATTACACATAGGTAATGTAAGTAAGTAAAAAATGATAATTTGCTTTAAAGTAAATACAAAAAAAATGATATGTAGCATCCAAAATATAACCAAAATTAAATGCATATATGAAACAAAATCTGAAAACGGACCCTAAGATCTTAAAACAAATTGAAACTTAAAAAAAAGAAATTAAGAATAAAAATAAACAAAAATATCATGCACCTAACATTACTGCTGTGCATACTTGTACATACATAAATGCATATTTTTTGTTGATAAAAAGGATATTTCTTTTTAATTTGTTAATTTACAGACAGCTTGAAAAAAAAACACCAACAACATAAATTTATTCATGGAAGGCTTTTTGTTCTTATGTCTTTCTATTATATACATTTTTTGTAAACTTTTTACTATATAGCCTAATGTGATGTCACATGGTGTTATTTTGATCTATCATCCTGGAAATGAATATCACCCGATCAATTATTTTTTGCAATATTCCCCAGGGGCAAGAAGTCTATACTGACTTAAGAAAATGTAATGTTCTAGTTCTCTCCCCTGGCCTCTGTGCTCTGTGTGCCTCAGACACTTGCAATGTGCACCAGTGTAAAAAGCTCAAGTAATAATGCATAGCAGTGAAATATTACATTAAAATGTTGGTTTGGTATAATAATAATAAAATAACACATCTCTCAGTGTAATAGTGCATATTAGCAACCCAAGAACTGAAATAACACCCTCGACTCCGAGTATAATAGTATGAAATATTCAAATTATTTATATTTCTTTCATTTTTGCTGCTATATAAATTACTCTTAATGTTTATCAAAAACAGTTTTAACTTCAAAAATAAGACATTATAACACAAAGACTTAAACATATTCATGTGTGATGTAACTTGATGATGTAACCCTATATACAATTAGAGGCATACTTTAGATTACCATCATTAATATATCATGTAAATAACAAACAAAATTTTGTGTATTGAATGCTTAAGTCAGTCTTTATCACAACAACAACAATATTCATTCTATCCATTTATCGTCATACCCACCATGCAAATGTTTTCCATTTGATTTTGGATGTTCTTGGAAATGCTGTTCACAAAACTCTTTGATTCTGTCACATGCTTCAATCAACTTTTCCTGCGGAACTGTGAGCACTACTCGGAAAAAGTTTGGGAAGTCAAAACACTGAAAAAGTAATTTAAAAAGACATGATTAAAGAAACAAAATCAAACTAAGATTCACCAAGGCATATTATTTTCACCTTAACATTAATTTAATCAAGTGGGAAGGCATAACAATTATACACAGCAAAGACTCATATTCTAAAGGTTAGTTATACAGTAATTCAAAATTTCATTCATTTGATTTTTTTTTTCAGGGTGAAAAAGTTTCTTGTTACTCAGGTAATTTTACAAAGTATTACAGCAATTTCAACTGACACAAATAAAAGGTCTGGTCAGAGATTATTGGCTTAGAGTAATAGAGTAATAGTAATTTAGGCAGATTAATTACACTGTTTCTATCACTATAAATACTTGTCATACAACTTTCTGTGACACGACATAGTTTGTTCGTTTTGTTTCGGTTTTAAGTAACACAGATACTGAAATAGTCATATGGCGACTTTCCAGCTTAATAGGTGGAGGAAAACCTCAGATGCCCTTCTTTGCATTATTTCAGGCACAAGAGCACTTGAGTAGAACTACCAGCATTCCGCAATCTAGCTGGATAGCTTCCTCATGCGAAATACCCAAGTAGAGCAGTGAGTGGCAAAAGGTTTGTACTCTGCAGAGCCTGATGTAACTCAAGTAACTTATAAAAGCAATTAAGACATGGTTGTTTAAAACTCTGTAAATCATATGAGATACAATTTCTGCAGAGAAATCAAATATAAATTTCATGCAAGAATTTTTTATCAAACTTGGTCTAATGTTGAAAGGATATGTTAATATTGTCAATTAAATCATGACTGTAAGTTACAGATATATATACCTGTGCAGGAAGACAAAAAACACTTTGCTCTGTAACCAAAGCCTCGGTAAATTCTACATCATTTAGGTACTCCGTAAAATGTTCCATCTTGATACCAATCTGTAAATGAAAATAATTTTCTTTTGTAATGCCTTTACTTATAACTGAAATAATAACTAGAAATGTGTCCATAGGACACGGATGCCCCCACACGCCACTGTTCTGTCAATCTTATGACTCTAGGTCAAATATTTTTTGGACTACATGTGCCACAAGTTGAAAACTAAAAATCAACAAAGGGCCATAATTCTGTTAAATTTGGTCGCAGCAAAAATTCCTTCCTTACTACCATGTACACATTAAGGTTGTTCATCCCTGGAAGTTTAAGCAAAATCTGCCATCCAGTTTAACATGAGTTGCATTCACAAAATTTCTACATAGTATATAGTGAAAAAATCAACAAAGGGCCATAATTCTGTTAAATTTGGTCGCAGCAAAAATTCCTTCCTTGACTACCATCTACACATTAAGGTTGTTCATCCCTGGAAGTTTAAGCAAAATCTGCCATCCGGTTTAAGAGGAGTTGCGTACATAGTATATAGTGAAAAAAATCAACAAAGGGCCATAATTCTGTTAAATTTGGTCACAGCAAAAATTCCTCCCTTTACTACCATCTACACATTAAGGTTGTTCATCCCTGGAAGTTTAAGCAAAATCTGCCATCCGGTTTAAGAGATGTGGCGTTCACAAGATTTCGGGACGTACGTACGGACGGACACTCGGACGGACAAGTGCAACGCTATATGCTCCCACTCTGTGGGGGCATAAAAATGGGAGATCCCTAGAATGCAATTAAAGCCATCAGTGAAATAAAGTAGCCCAGTTTAATTTTGACCATGACTTATTTCTGTTTATTTCTTTACTAGTTAATTAAAGATGTTAATGTGATGGGTTTTTTTTTTCAAGTCAAGCTTTAAAATGCTTTTTTTTTATAAACTAAAGGGTTCAAGAGACCAGACTGTTGTACAATTAGTTTTCTGTATATTCATATATAATCTTTTAAAGCCTGACATTATACATATAAAAACATCACTCTGAATTTGTATTAGATATACTATCAGGACAATAGACACATGTAAGATAAATTTCAAGTCTAAAAGGCTATAATGGTTGGGAAACCATGTTTGAAGCATTATCACTTTTGACTGGAAGTTTTATTTCAACATATCTACGGGTATTTAAGTTTGATCGTCAGGAAAGCTTGAAGCTGATTCTAACTAATCACAAATCTCGTTTCATAGAACAAAACAACACTGATGTAACATTAGGAATCATACTGTATTGTTTCTATTTAATGCCCCTGGGGGTTTGCATTTTTCAAAAGGGGGTCAGTAATTAGAATTATAAAAATGTGCTTTAAAATATGTTTAATAAAGATGCAATTTATTATAAAAATCATTATTCATGATTATGATTTAATATAATACAGGCTTTAAAAAAAAAAAAGATTTTACATTACTGGAGGGTCATCATCTTTTTCACTAATTAGAGGGGTGAATTTTATGGAAACAATATGGTAGTTGTGACTCCCTAATTCATCTCTCTTTATTATGCTTTATACTTACCATCATATACATAGCTCCCTGTGGCATGACTGGTGTAAGACCTGGAATCTTTGAAATCTTTTCATAGAATAATTTGGCGTTTGACTCGATAAATGTAAGAGTGTCTGTGTAGAATGATTTTGGTGTGTCTTTAAGTATTTCTGGTAGTGCTGCCTGTATTAGAGTATTTGGACCCAAAATCTTCTGTGACAGACACATTAAACCTTTACGAACCTGAAAAATAAAACAGCACAGTCATGAATTTCGTGCTAGCCACTGGCTTTCTGTAGAGGTAATTATAAACTGTCCTATTGTACTCAATGTTGCAGACATAAACTTAACAATGGATGTTTCTCTACATTCAAAAGAAAACAAGTGAATACAAACAAATTAAAGCATCATATGCAGTGTTAACCCTTATCTGTCACAACTTACTGTTAACGCCTATCCATAACCAATTTTTACAAAATTTAAGGTTTTAAGTTAATAAAAGGACATAACTCCAAAAAAATATTGCCTTCATGATAGTGCCCTTATCTTACGCTGATAAGCAAATATTCCAAGGTTCCTGTTGATATCTTTCAAAGTGTTTTAATAATGAAAGTTTTGCATGACGATAATAACAATGATGATGACACGGCAGCGGTCAAATATAGAAGGACTTTTTTTTTTAAACAGACAATCTAAAGAAAGTTAGGTAAGGTTTAATCTTTAATAAACATGTTTACTTCTTCTTGGAAGATATCCTGTCTGTCATAGATTACAATCCACCCCAATCTCCAGCCAGGAATCAGAAATCTGTAACATAAAAATTGTGTTTTTACCTGCTGTTAATATTGATCAAAAAGATAAATATGCTTCTTTACAATAAAATACAAGTAAATACTTAATTAACAAAGGTAACTTTCTAGCTCTAAAGTGACAGAGATTGGTTTACAGCTTTTACAAGTGTTACACTTATGCATTTTCGCATATACAATTCAAAATATGAGATGTTAGTTCTTATTTATTACTGTAACCTTAAATCTTTGTCTTTTTTATCAACAATGATATATAAAAGCAACTAAAAGTTTTGGATTCTAAATAAACACCAAAATAGCCGTTATTTAAGTCATATATAAAGCAATACCTTTTTGTGAGCCCACTGCAGGATAATATTGGGACAGTCTCTGTCAAGGATGCCAGTGGATGGTAAGCACAGCCACTAAACACCTGAAATTATATAAAAGTAACAATAAGTGCTCATTGGAAATAAACACATTTGATTCAGTTACAAAACAAGTTTTTTGTTTTTAAATCTATAATAGTACAATGTCATACAATAACAAACAATGACAAAGAGTACTTGAGACTTGATAAAATTCCACACTTTAGGCTTAATGATATTAACCTTTTACCCCATGAGCATATTGTGAAAAATGGCCGTTTTCATTGAAAAGCCTCCTGTTACAAGTTCAAACTGCTATGAAACTATGGAAAATGCTTCAATACTGATGAAACTTGGCAAAAATGTTGACTGGACCCTAGCCACTGTAACAGCATGCTCAATCGTAAATTTCCTGTTACCATGGCAACGAGGGACATCTCAAAATTGCGAAAAATCACTATTTTGCACTGTTTTTTCCATCAAAACTGATTTGAAAGTGCTACAACTTCTCAATGAATTGAGATAGAGTAAAAGGCTTTTCAGCGTCGGTTACGAGTTACCCTAAGATTGATCAGAGGCCTTTTGAAACCTGTCACATGTCCAAAATTTTCTTGGCAATGAAGGGGACTACTGCCCCCCCCCCTCAAATCCCCCCAACAGAAGGGGGCACATCCCCCTTCTGGCAATCCCCTGATGTACCATTTTGATGGGTGGCAGCGCCGAAAAAGTTGTCACTTTTTTAAACAACATTTCTTAAACGAAAAACAGCGTTTGGGGTCTAAATAGGGCATTTTTTCACTGTTTGAGGCCTCAAAAAAAAGGGGGGGGGGGGGGCAAAAAGCCATAAAAACACGTCTATGTGAGGTAAAAGGTTAATATGATCATAGGCTGGCATTTATCTTATAACACTGATTTAAGTGATAAATGGAAAACAATTCTTTTACATAAATCATAAGTTTAAATAATATACAAAATTGAAAGGTAACTTTTTACATTCTTTGTCAGCCATTACATGATAAAATAGTTCTGTTGAATACCCTAACAAGATAAAAGTTAAGCTAATACTTTCCAATGAAAAGGGGGACAACTATACCTATAATCTAAACTTAGCTAAATAGAGTTATATGTAACATTGATTAAATAGGTCATTTCTGCAAAAGTACATAATACTACATTATGAATTCATCTTTAAACTGGGGCATAAACTTGTACAAGGTTGTTTAAATAATATGTTTACCTGGATTACCAGGCCAGACATTATTGTTTTATTAGCAGAACAGTAGTTTATATACCTGGCACTTAACCAAAGATTTTACAAACAGGTCAACATCGTCATATTGGTATAAAAACATTAAGGCAAAATATACAGTTAACCTTGAATGTAAAATTCCTTAGCCCAGATAAAACATAATTCACTTATAAGACCACCCTTCCATTAAGACCATTTTAATCAAGAACCATTTGTGGTCTTAACACATGGACAAGAGAGTATAAATATGTATAAAAACTTACAAAATGTTCATATATTTCATCAGCTATGACTGGAACTTTGTATGTTTCACAGATCTGTAGGAAGTCCTTCAAATGTTGTTTAGAGAATACACTTCCACAGGGGTTTGATGGGTTGTTGAGAATAATAGCTGCCGTGTGGTCATCTATCAGAGATTCCAGGTGGTTCAAATCTATCTCCCAAGATTTCTCTGGCTGTAAGAAACAAGCTTATTTCCTATAGTTTCAACTTTTTACATTGTTAATTAAACATTAAAGACAATTTGTCATTTTTAAGCCAAAAAAAAAACTCTTTTCAAAATAAATCACAAACTGGTCCATCAATTTTTAGCAGAAATTAAATTACAAATTTTGAACAAAAATATTTTTTTTATACAAAATATGTGTTTGCAAATGATTACTCTTACAATAAATGATATAGAATGTGAGACTATATAAAAAAGTCCATTTACCATATGGAAAAGTAATGACCTCTGTCAAGGTCATGTTATTTTAATGACCTTGATAAAGATCATTTTGATGACCTTTGTCAAGGTCATGTTGTAGTTATTAAAAGTGTACTCATACATACCAGAAGACTGTAGTGTTTGACTTGAATACCCAATGACTCTGCTAGTGTTTTATATATAGAAAATCCAGGTCTTGGTATTAAAATATTCTGTCCCGGGTTTGCGAGGCAAGTTATGCATAAATCCAGTGCCCCTGAACACCCACTTGTCAACACTATGTCCTGTAAGGAAGAAAACACAATAGGTAAAAATAAGTCCTTACTAGACACAATTTTCATTTAATATAATTATGTAAATTACAAATTATAACACTTATAGATCTAATAGCAGTTTCTTATATCATGAATGATTGCAATGCTTTGTCACAAAACTTACACATAAAAGTAAAAATTTTTTTTTACAGTTTAACAATAACATCATTTACAGCACTACATTAATAATCTTAAAGAGTTTCATAGCTGAATTCTAAATATATTATCTAATTGTCTCAGGAATGAACTAGAGATGCAGTAAAGTTTTTTGTTTTTTTCCAAGCAGTTTGTTTGCAATGGACTGGTGCTGCTTCGAACTTGGACCAGTCTTTGTAAATGCTAGGAATATCACTAGCAAAATATCAATGAATGTGCAAATTGGCTCTGACTTTATACTTTAGTCCAAAGAATTTTTAGACAATCAATGATTTAAGGAAACAGCTAAATATTTTACATATTAAATAACTGTCAGAAAGTACACCATAAAGAACCTTAAATCTGACAAAAATGCACTTTATAACATTTAGTAAATTCTTCAAAATGTCATGTTTGAAATACCACTGACATCTGACACTGTGATATATAAACACAGTTCTAAATAAAGAAATCTTTTCTGAACTTAAAATTATATGCTTCAGTGTCCCGTGCAAAGAACTGGCATTAAAAATTTGATAACATTTACCAGTAATTTTTACTGTCTCTCTGTTTCGTGTAAAACAACTACAACTTTGAAATGCAAAGTAATATTCACCCGTTTGATGATTATAACTAGAACTGTGTGAGCAGGAAAAGCTGAAAAGAACACTTTAAAAAATTACAGTGCCCTGGCCAGGCATCAAACCTGGGATGTTTGGTTGGTCCGTTTTTGCTTTTTTTAAATTACACAGACACTGTTTTAAAAGGTCATAATGTTGACTTTTAAAGACCACATATGTCCTTTTAAAGCATTTTTTTAGGCACAGCTGGGCGGGCAACTAAGGTAGAACCATCTACTGTCTGTTAGTAAGATGAAATGAATTACTTGAGGGACTAAAACTGTAACTACTATTAATGTCTTCAGGTACAGTAGGGTTATTTTCCCCCGGCTTGATTTATTAATAAAGTTGTATGAAGATGTCAGTATGGTATTTACCATTAATTTAAATGGGCTGGTAAACAAATGACTGTAAATTATAGACCAATGTCATATACACATTTAATATGAGCCGCGTCATGACAAAACCAACAAAATGAGTTTGCGACCAGCATGGATCCAGACCAGCCTGCGCATCCGTGCAGTCTGATCAGGATCCATGCTGTTGGCTTACAAACCCTATAACAAGTAGAGAAACTGATATCGTACAGCATGGATCCTGATCAGACTGCGCGGATGCGCATGCTGGTCTGGATCCATGCTGATCGCAAACGCACTTTGTTGTTTTTTGTAGTGACACCAATGTCATATACACATTTAATATATACTTTAAACATAAATATTTTATTCAGCAAATTTTCATATTATACAGAAAAGCTAAATTAAAATACAACATTACTGCTATAAAGTCTGGCTGTATTATACTGGACGAAACACTGCAGAGAAACTAAACCTTAATTATGCCCAGTGTTTTTCTACATATTTATCCAGTTTGTTCTCATGTAATACTATGATATCAAACAACTAGTGATTCAGAACAATTAGGAAAATAACGAAAGTTGGATTCTTCAACATGCTCAAGAATCAAACCTTTTCTTTAATACAGTGATCACAATTTCCTTCATAATTTTCATTATTTAATAAAATATTCAATAAAATACAAACAAGCGATACTCTCTTGTTTTCAATAAAATAAATATGATTGAACTGTGATGCTCATAATTATACATGCATGTAGTTGAAGGATGGTTTCAATTCAAGGGAAATATTTTAAATTCACTGAACTCATGAGATTCACTGATTTTTATCTGTGTATTGTTATTTCCTATTAACCCACTATACATACTATACATATATTACAGACTTCACAACCAAACCAAAGTCAAGAATAAATATTCATGTTTTATCTCAAATACAGTATGAAAAGCAAAAATTGAGCAAATATTTAGTATCAAATGCTATATTTTGGACATGCCACTGCATTTGACAAACCATTGATAGCCTGGTAATTTTCTATCAATCTTGAATTCTTGAGGAATCTGAGAATTCTTAATGGCATGAGATTATTGATACATCTAAAATAGTAATTTGTATATCTGACCTTCAGTAAATGTGTTGTATATCTGACCTTCAGTAAATGTGTTGTACCTTTGGCATATATGGAATAAATGTCCATATAAAACTCTTGCCTTTCATAAGTTATACTGTAGTTTATCTCAAGGGATAATTTTGAATATTCAAGAATAAATAGATCTCTTCATTTAGGACATGAACTCATGTATGTCAATGGTAAAATACTTTCATTTGTGTGAGTCAGTGAATAATAATTTCATTTTCTGAATATTGCTATAAAAGTATATATATTATACCTTTGACTCCACTTGACTGGTTTCCTCAGACACATACTCAGCTACAGCTTTCCGTGCATCTTCATAACCTTGAAAAATATATATTTAACTATATATATATTTAGTAAAACTTTATTCTTAAACTCAGGCAACATATCATTACTTTCAAGAGTCTAAGAGACCAGGCTTCAATGTTCAACCAGGATAGAAGATTAGCGCCAAGTCAATGAGCCATGAGTTACAGAGCCAGCAACACCAGAGACCTGAGGATAGATTCAGGCGCAAAAGTACAATTCCACACTAGTATAAGAGCATCATAGTCCGGCCATTCTACATTAAAGCCTTGGTCTGTCTGACCAGACACTTAACTGTTGACTTTTTTAATTTGATATCATAAAATACCTATGATAGACATTAATAGTTTTAAATTCAAGTGATACAAGACAATCATTCAAGTTATTATTGGCATTGTAACTATGTTTTTATTTCTATTAAAAAGTCTTCCATGGCGAAAGCTTTTTCATTTTAATTTTGAATTAATGAGCCTAAAATAAGTTGGTTGTTACCAAGGGTAATAGACAGTTTATTACAAGATAATATTTAATACAATTAATTGCATATAATGAAGGACAACCTATATGCAAGGACTCCTGTTTATGATTTATTAACGCTATCCTGTTCTAGACAAGTGAGATAATTTAACCCATAACCGAGTTTCTAGATTTTAAGTGCAATGCAGACACTTTAAACTTTACACATTTTTTCCACCTTTTCTGAACTAGTTTTGGGACACAGACTTGTTATATATCTATTCCTATTAATTTCAGTAATTTTTAAATTAAATGTCTTGAAGTGTTGAAGCTTAAATTTACTGAAATAAGTTGTGATTATGTTACACTAAGGGGATGTGAAGACTTATCAGGCTCTATTTTTTGTGACAAAGTCAGTCATTATTATGCAAGAGTTAAATAATTGTTAAACTAAAAACACATTTAAGAGGGAAAAATACACAGAATAAAACATTTGTGAACAAAGATTTGTAACCATTTTAGAATAAATTAAACAGTTAATGCATTACAGCATATAAATTGGTATTCATAGCAAACAATGAATACCTGAAAAAGGCTGTTATAATCTATGAATTTTAACATACATAAAGTGATCGTTTTGGAACATTGCCAGCAATTCACCAATACCTGTATCTTTATCTGATATTGAAACACTGTTTACTATTAAAGTCAATATGGTACTGTATTTGTTTCATAAAAATAATAACGCTATATTCTTAAACAATTTGTTTGACGAGTATATTTTTTGTTTTACAATCAAGTAGACCTATATACATGTATACTGGGACAGTGCTCTATACAGAACTGTTCAAATCCTGGACAAAATAATTGGCAATACAGAACTTATTTATGAATTGTGACAGTTTACCAGACATATAATATCATAATTACAATGTATTCATATTACCATTAAGATAAACTAGCCGACAGATTTATTGCAAATAAATATTAGAAATTTCAAAAACATTTACATATCCCTATAAAATGGTTGCTTTAATTATATTGAGAGTAAGTTAGAGAGTAAGATAATGAGAAATAAAATTAATAGTAAACCAAATACAGAATGTTTTCTATCATTTCAGAAGTGTTTCAACCATTAAAATTTTACAAACATGATAACAATATTTGTAGAAAATAAAGTGGAATAATATTATAAAATTAAATCATTATTTTAAGAGAAAGAGAGAAATCATCTACAAATGAAGGTGTCACTTTAAATCCCTTACAGAGTTTAATGTATGTTTATTCATACTTCAATGCTACCATAACCCCTATGGGAGACTATATCCAGAGCAGGGATTTTTGTTGGGGCTCATTTTATAGCCGTTTAATATTGGATCATATTCCCAATTGAAAATAGTATGTTATTTTCCCAATCCACAGGAAAAATTCCTAATTGAAAGTTACAAAAAATAAAAACAATTTTTAACAAAGCATCGCTAAAATTCCCAAATCCATGGGTATGGGTCTTATTCCCAAAATATGGGTCTTCTTCCAAAGAAAAAGTCCCTGCAGAGAAATGTCAAGTTAGAATTTCACTTTTTGGAAGCTATTGCTTTTGTTTGTTTCGGTTTTTATGCAGATTTAACACATTCTTGATCATATCTTGGCTTTCGCTCTGCCTGACCGGCTCTCCTGGGTAAATATCCAGTATAACCAGTTTCTCTGCAAGTGACCGTCTGCATATCCCACATGATTTTTTAATAAAATATGAGAGACAAATAACCATAAGACTCAATTGCTGAGGTTAAATGTCACAAACAAATTACGCCCCGCCCAAGGATTAAGCCAGCAACCTTTCAATTACAAATCATATGCTCTCCATATTGAGCTAAGCGAACACACTCGTCCAACTAATAAAGAAATACCACCCAGTAATTTTTCTCACTTAATTGGGTAGAAGCCTTAGCCACTTGATTTTGGGAAAAATTATGTAAAATTGCTGCTTTGGGAAGTAAAAAAGCAGGTTTAAGTTCAGTTTGCCAGATGTCATATATAAATTACAAATTAATAACCTGTAGATAATGAAGAAAAACAATTGGGGACAAAACATAACATCCCCTCCCCAAACTATGTTGGTTGGAGTATAACAAGTACCAGAGTAAATTACCTGTGGATGGCCCATAACCATTATATTTGTGCTGCTTGATTGATTTAATTACCGAGGTCTCAACTTCTTCTGGTACTTTAAGATTTCCAAACACTGTGGGATCACCTGAAACAAAACAATTACATGTATTTATATATGTATATATAAGTCTTCAGCCACAAAATTTTGATCAAATATTTATTGCACACTAACAATCAAATAAGGGAAACATATAAAATTAATTTCAATTCCTTTAACTTTTTTATGTATATTTCAACCATATTCAATAAAGGGGAGCGGTGGCCTAGTGGTTAAGGTGCTTGCCTCTCAACCCAGAGATCATGGGTTCGAGCCCTACTTGGGTCACGACCATGTTTCTTCATATGACACCAGTACTGGTTGGTTCCAGGAAGCGGACTCGAAAGTGATTAATCTACGTTGCAAGAACTTGTTTCGCAATCGAGCTTAAATAAATATGTTTAAACCAACCATAATCAATCAATTTTTACCACATTAGTATGCTTAATCATGAAATCAAACTGATGTGAAATTCAAATTTAAGAGATTATTTTAAAATTTGTTAAACCAAGCTGGAATAGCATATTTATTCAGGTACAAAAATGTCCAACATAATAAAGATTAAAGTTCATCTGTTTTCAAAGTACATGTACAAGTAAAACATAAAAACTTTCAGTGTCAGAAATATAATTTCAAATAAGAAAAACCAAACATTAAAAATAAAAGCAAATTTAATGTCAATATAAAAGGAAGATATTTCATCATGAAGTCTTACCAATTGAGAGAGCAATCATGTCCTTCTTTGGATTAGGTGTTAGTTTCATTCCATCAACGATACTCCTAATTGGGTTAAAGGTATTCCGTGCAATATCTGAAGACTGCACCTTCCAGCTTGAGCTAACTCTTTTACGTTTTGCCGGTGGCTCCATTTTTGCAGCACCTCCTTTCACTACAAAATCAAATATTCTTATGAAATACCATTAGGTTAAGGTCGGCTACTACATAAGACAGATTAATGCTAGAGGATTAACTTCATTAACAATGACCTAAGGTCAATCTCAGTTATTGTACTGATTTGTTTGACTTTTACTGAAAGAGTATTTATCATAAAGATATTCATTAAACATTATAATCTTTGACCATTTCTCCCTGAACTAAAATAAACCTTAAAGTGTATAAAGTTATATATCTGATGTAAAAATTATTGCTTGAATTTTAAAAAAGTTTACTTCCAAAATGCTTGTATGAAATAAATATGGTAATTCATTCCCTTAAAAGTGAATGATGCATGCACAAAATCATTGATAAACAGATAAAACCCTACTTAAAATAGCAAAATAATATTTTGTTCCGGAATATTTTATTCTGTTTCAACGTACATTATTCATGTGTATTAAATAACAGAGACATTCTATGTTACAACCTTTTCGAGAATCATTCATATAAATAATAATGGAACCAATATAATTTTACTGTTAATAAATTTTATAAAAATATTTCATATAATATAGATTTATACCCTTTAATACAAATTCAACTAATAAAAATATTTCTTCAATTTTTAGCCTCTTTTTATAACTGCCTTCTATCTAGGGTTCTTAGCAACACATTCACAAGCATAATTTTATCATTGTTGTTTAAATTGCCATGTAAAGCTGTCAAAAACTTAAGAACAGTAAATTAAAATAATTTAAAAAGATCTTTGCATATTTCTGTAAAATTAACATGTATTTCATACCTTTTCCAAAGCCTTTTTATTCCAGTATATTAAACAGAATGTGAATCTATCTCTCTGAGTAATAATGTAACGAGAATTTATATTTTGTAAATACAACCTAAACTGACCTAAATCAAAGACTTACTGCTACTTCCATAAAAATTGCTGTTTTTAATTTGTTTTTACTTTTGTTAATTTGTTCTTTCATTTAAAATAGTATTAATCAGGATCCTTTACCTGTACTTACCTTCAAGCACAATAGAATATCTTGATGAAAGAATTAAGATACTAGTAATAGCATTAAGATAATCTTAATTATCTAAGAAAAGTTAAATGTTATTTTTAAAAAGACCTCTCTTCAAATAACACTTTAAATGCAAAAACAATTGATAAGCTAAAGCCTAAACCTATCATACAGGTATTATGATTTTATCTCTGATAATCAAAGAAGCCAATTTTACAAATTGTCTCCTATATCTGTGTGATAATGATTAATCTTCTAAACACATCCTATATCTCTTGATAAAATATTCATACTTTAATCAGTTATGTTAATTTTATACAATTTTCTTTTGATATCAAATGATAGATAACATAACATTATAGACACATGCATATCGTTAGTGGGATTGGCCATATCTTTTACATATTTATAAAATTAAAAGCAACTTATAAATATAATAAAAATACAATTTAAATTGATGATGTTTGTTTATTTCTTTGGAAGATTATAATTTATGTCATCAAGTGAGTGCCATTTCAATATTTTCATGAGTGGTGCAGCCACGAGTGAAAACATGGACATAATGTGCTCTTGAGATTATATAAATTATAATCTTCCACAGAAATAAACAAATTTTCTTTTTACTTTATGCTCACTTTAAAAAAATGGTAATTCAATTAAAAATTAGTTCCGTTAAACAGTGAAATATGACAAAATGGTACTTTAAATGTTTTGAAATAGTGAATTATTAATTTTAAATCACCAATAAATTTCTATAATTAATTAGTAAGCATAAAATAAATATTTACTACTCATCAAAGCAAGGGTCAGGCTTACAAAATTCTTAAAGCCAATTAAACTTGTAATAAATATGAAATTAATTTAAAGTTAACAAGAATTTAAGAGCCTGTATTTGTATCAGTCGCAAGTAAATAATAGGTGCTTTAGAAAAATAAATAAACAATAAAATAATGATTTTGTATGTTTCTGTCTGGAGATACATAAAGTGCTTACTGAAAGCAGTAGCAGAATAAAAAGAATTATCCATTCACTGTTTTTCCCAGGAATATTCCTTTAACATACTTTAGGTCCATGCATGGCAAAATTAATCAATCTTCCTTTTTGTGAATATAGAAATATAAAGGAAAAATAAAAAAATCTAAAAGTAAATAATAAAATTAGTTTGAATAATGCACAAGAGTCAAGAAAACAATATAATCATATCCTTAAAATATTAACTGTTAACAATTATTGATAGAAAAATAGAATACTTAACATTTCAGATTAGACATTTTAACAGATCAAAATTAATTTAATTAAAACAATTAAGAAAAAAACAACAATAATAATTCATCATAACATAAACATAAGTAAATGATACAATAAGCAAAATAAACAAAATTGAAGAAATCTTACTATGATGCAAGATATGGTGACCATGGCATCCATCACCATTTCCATTTTCACAACAAACTTCTGTATTATTTTCCATTTTCCAATTAATAACTCTTCAAATTCAATTAGCTATGTGAAATATGTATACGATTTCAACTGTTATTGTAGCCTAACCTAAACTGACTGACTTACTTATTTATATACACTATTAAGCAGGTAAACATCCCCTTATGTGATACCGTAAAGTCAATAATATTTGTGAGGTATTTATTTTTCATGACCCAGTTTACAGGAATTGAATCATTATTTTTCTTTGCATTCTTTATAAATCAATGCATATAAATTCAGTAGTAGATTTATTGTCGCCTAAATTTAAATAATGATTTATAAACTTTAATAAAATGTTTGTTCAAGTCAGATTTCACAAAAATAAAGAAAGAGAAATGATCTGTCATAAATATAGTACTTGAGAAGAATTAACAAGAATAAATAGCAGCTGCTACTTTTTTTCAACTACAAATTGTGTAAACACCCTTGAATATATGATATGAAATTATCTCATTATGATGTGCATTTGCAAGACAATTACCATAAACTCATTTGAAACAAATAAATTTAATGGCACTCAAATTAAATGATTTTATAGCATTTGTAGTGCAATGAACTTATCTGTAATCTAGATCAAGTTAGCCCAGCTTGTCAGTGGAATTTTCCCATTTGGTCTTTATTTAGTCTTTATTTACAGTAAATGTTAGGGTTGACTATTGGTGTATAAATAGGTTAAAGTATTTCATCATATAAACAAAACCTACTGGACTTATTTGTTGTTGACTATCTAAAATGTATTGACACAATAACACTTTGAATGCTAGCCAGAATTATAAAGTCTGAATGGATGTTAATCTAGATGCAATAGAAACAAGATCATGATAACTTTAATGATAAACAGAGAGGTTTGAAAAATGTAGCCTTAAATACCTACAGGTACCAAACTTGGATATTACAACAAAATATAGCTCATCTTAATTATTTATTTTCTAAAATTTAATGATAATTATATAGATATGCATTCAAATATTCAGAATGAGAGGTCTTCACACAATTTTGCACAAAGAGCTGGTGCTGATTCTAGGATGGCGCACTTATTGATGACATGGTATTGCATCATCACATTTAGGCATAAACTAGTATATAAGATTACCCTTAAGTAAGTTTCATTCTGGCAGGCATCTGTGTCCAAATTTAGAAAGTTTTCCACATGTAATAATCATCAATCACATATAAAAAAAACCTACATGTGATGATGCAATACCATGCAATAACACTAATTAATGACGTTTAGGACTTTGGGTATCGTGTTCAGAGATGTAGATAATATGGTATCTATGCCTCTGCACTGTTCTAATGAATAAACATGTTCAGTATTAAAACGTAATATGAATTTGACCTCTAACTATAGGATAAGCCTATATTTTATATGCAAAACAAAGTCTAATTAACAAGCAAATTTAGAAACAAAACGGGCACCTTAGACAAAATGTAACTGCTCGTTGTACTACTGCTTCCTTATACCGCTGACATTCACTGCTTCCTGAAAGCTGCTTCGGTTAATATAGGTCTGTTTGTTTATTATTAATTGTGCCAGTTAAATTTCATTAACAAAAACGATTATATAACGTCGATTTTAACTGGTTACTGAGGGTCACACCTCCAAATCATCTGACAACTCGTCATGCGTCAATAAATATTGTGGCCTGGCTCAATGTATGATTTCTAATATTACACACTGATGCGCTCGGAAACAAGTTTTAATCTTTATTCGGCTTCTTCGCAATTTATCCAAGCTAAGATATCGGATTTAGGACGACGTAGGACTTCAAAAATGGGAGAAAGAGGATTTCTGTTTCTTTTTGCGACTTTTTATACATTCTTCATTGTCAGCGCTAAGCCAGATCTTAACCCGGTGGTTTTGAGTATGCTTATTTTACTATGTTATTTCCAGTTTTTTAAACTCCGTGTTAAAAATGAGGTGAACACGAATTTCATTGTAAAATTACTCAACTTCACCCGTCATTGACATCTGTCTCATCGTTAAATTTGGTTTGATTTATTTTCCATCAATCCATGTGGAATTGACCATCAAGAGGTTATAGGGAATTGAAGCCCCCGAATGGTTATGTTACTAATATTAATTATTTAACAGCCAAATTTTACTATCGAAATAGCCATACTGTAGTACAATACAGTAACTAGGTTTTATGTGATATCTAAATTGAATCGGTAGTCAGACTATTCTCTCCCTTACCAGTTCCTCCCCTGACGTTTCCTCCCTGACGGTTCTCTCCCTATTTTGGGAGAGAACTGTCTGCATATTTGCAAATTAGAAGACAGTTCCTCCCCATTCTTATTTTTATAATTACATTATTATTAAAGTATTTAGATGATAAATAAATGGGTAAGTTTATTATCAATTGATATAAATTAGAAAAAAAAGAAGATTTTATTGAAGTGTTAATTTAGATGTTAAATAAATGGGTAGGTTTATTACTTTATTATCAATTGATATAAATTGAATTAGAAAAACTTTTTTTTAACATATAACAATAACTGATCAATGATGATATTAGTTAATTATTCTGATTTTTTAATTAGATGTAATGTATACTTTTTAATGTGTTTAGTCATTAAAAATAATTAATGAATAATTTACTTGATTAGGATAATCATAAGATATTATTAATTTTTTTTAACAAATAAAAATGAAATTTATAGACAAAAAATGATTAATAAATATTAATTGCGAAACTTTTGTATAATGAAAAAAGGATTTCAATACACACATTTCTGCAGTGATAATTGAGGTGTTTATTAATTCATTACTCAAGAATCAAGGTGTTAATTAGATTAAAATAGCTGTGAAAAGGTGTTGATGAATAAGTATTATATTTGTTATTTGGTATTATATATTGTTTCAAGTTAATGACTACATGTTTTTAAATCAATTTCGTAAAAAAGTAAATGTGGAATGTGTTTGCATACCAGTTGTTGTTTATTTATTTTCTAGAACATACTTGTTTCCACCTTATTCACTATTTAACAAATGAATGAACATCACAAGCTAGACCTTAATATAATTACAGGTGTATATCAATCACTGTCCAATGATCTATATCTCTCACAATAAAGGTGTTGATAGGATTAAAATACTGAAAAAAGGTGTTAAATTTACAAACACTTTTCAGCTGATAAACATAAAACATAAAATGCAGTTAATATCAAACACATTCTTTTAATAATCTTCATTAAGAAATATTATTAGATTAAGTTAAAACTAAATTGATAACTTATAAAAATAAAATTGGGGGAGAACTGTCTGCATATTTCAAATTTGGGAGAGAACCGTCAGGGGAGGAAATGGTTAGGGAGAGAACCGTCAGGGGGAGGAACTGGTAAGGGAGAGAATAGTCTGTCATTCGATTGAATCCATCATAGAAGAACATAAATTATTTAAAATCGAGTATCGGGGTTACTAATTACATTTTGGGAAAAGTGTATCGTGAAACAGGAACCTACTTGCTGTTATTGACTCCTGCCTATTTATTCAGTATTTTATGAATAAGTTGAGTATAAATGTAATTATTTTGACCGTAATTTATCAAAAATAGTACAGTATACGTAAATCAATCAAAATTAGGCCCATTCCGGGAAAAGTGCTTTCGCGAAACTTCGTATCTGGATTTATGGTAATCGGCAAGGGAATTTGAATGTAATTTTGAATGGAAACCATAATGAGACAGGAAACCAGAAAAACTGATTCCAAGCATGCTTGGATAAATAATAGTGCTGGTAACTGGCAGGTACTGATCAAAGTACTCAAAGTATTATAGGACATGGAATCAAAATAACCTCTGATGAAGGGCAATCAAACTTATTTTAAGTTATTACCCATAATATGCTGTACTTCCAGCAAAACTTTTCAAAACCATCATCACTTTGACGTTACTCATGTTACCATAATGCTCGCTTTGCTAGCAGGCTCATTAATAAGCAAAACATGTTTTTCTAATTTGTGTCGGGTTTGATTCCTGGATGGTGCAGGTCACTTTCGTTGTGTTTGATCATAAAATCTTTTCTACGGTCATTCGCACTGTACCTCTGCTATGGCATGTACAGAAGTTTCAGTTCCTTGCAGAAGTGAAGGCAACTAGTCCTGGTAAACTGCTTGACAGCCTGCCCAAGAAGAACTGTACTTTGGTAAATTCAATGTGGCTAACTGCTTTGATCCAGAGTTAAAACTACTGACACCAAGTGACCAACACTTGGTGTGAATTAGATGATTAGTATTGATTCGCTTCACTTTAAAATACAATAATCATACAAATATCTTAAAATAAATTCTCAGTTCAAAGATGATGTGTCTCATTTTATTAATTATCATGACATTGACAAAAATCATTTACTTTCAAGAATATCTATGTAAAAACCTGACACTAAATTGGTGCTATTCAGTGATTAGATAATAAACATAATTGTGTAAGCAGCATAATTATGTCTGTTAAATGTTTGGTGCTACATGTAGGTAAGATTACAATTGTATTTTGTGTGATTTTTTAGAGGATGACCTCTTTTTATACATGTATGCCCGAAAGAATTTCGGGCATATTATGTTATACCCCCTGGTGTCTGTCCGTCCGTCAGTACGTCAGTCCGCACTCACAGGAGGGTAATTATGTGGCTAGAGGGACAATAGGTAACTGTTCTTTCTCTTTGATGTCATTCATTCCGTAATGCTTTTATGTGGCTATTTTCTTTTGTGTGGCTAAAAAGAACAATAGAGTAGCCACATAATTACTGTCCTGTGAGAACGTCCGTCCGTCCGTCTGTCCGTGTGCCGTTAGCAATTTGGTTTCCAGAAATAAAATAAGTTCCATTTGGCCCACAATATTCAAACTTCATAGGATGATTGTCCATATTGGGTAGAAGATCCCTATTGATTTTAGGGTCACATGGTCAAAGGTCAAGGTCACTATCACCTTAAAACTGGAAACAGTTTCCGGAGCATAACTTTAGTTCCATTTGGCCCACAGTGTTCAAACTTCATAGGATGATTGTCCATATTGGATAGAAGACCCCTATTGATTTTGGGGTCACAAGGTCAAAGGTCAAGGTCATTATTACTTTAAAACTGAAAACAGTTTCCGGAGCATTACTTAAGTTGCATGTGGCCCACAATATTCAAACTTCATAGGATGATTGTCCATATTGGGTAGAAGACCCCTATTGATTTTGGTGTCACAAGGTCAAAGGTCAAGGTCACTATTACCTTAAAACTGAAAACAAAACAGTTTCCGGAACATAACTTAAGTTCCATTTGGCCCAGAATATTCAAACTTCATAGGATGATTGTCCATATTGGGTAGAAGACCCCTATTGATTTTGGGGTCACAATGTCAAAGGTCAAGGTCACTATTACCTTAAAACTGAAAACAGTTTCTAGAGCATAACTTAAGGTCTATTTTGCCCACAATATTCAAACTTCATAGGATGATTTTCCATATTGGGAAGAATACCCCTATTGATTTTGGGGTCACAAGGTCAAAGATCAAGGTCACTATTACCTCAAACACTATTACTTCAAAAGGTCAAGGTCACTATTACCTTAAAACTGAAAAAGTTTCCAGAGCATAACTTAAGTTCCATTTGGCCCACAATATTCAAACTTTATAGGAGGATTGCCATTTGAAGGAGGTAATACTTTATCTAATTTATGTAATGCCTTACAAATGCTTCATCCTTACAAAAAAAAAACACTTTCGGGCATAATTATAATGCTCAGCCTAGTGGTGCTCTTGTTAGCTCACCTGTCACAAAGTGACAGGGTGAGCTTTTGTGATCACTTTTCGTCCGGCGTCCGTCCGGCGTCCAACCGTAAACTTTTACTTTAAATGACATCTCCTCATTAACCACTAAGCCAATTTCATCCAAACTTCACAGGAATGTTCCTTTGGTGGTCACCTTTAAAAATTGTTCAAAGAATTTAATTCCATGCAGAACTCTGGTTGCCATGGCAACCGACAGAAAAAACTTTAAATATCTTCTTTTAAAAAACCCAAAGAGCTAGAGATTAGATATTTGGCATGAAACATCTTCTAGTGAGTGTCTACCAAGTTTGTTCAAATAAAAGACCTGGGGTCAAAATTGGCCCTGCCCCAGGGGGTCATTGATTTTCCCTATATGCATATAGTAAAAACTTAAAAAATCTTCTTTTAAAGAACCCAAAGAGCTAGAGCTAAGATATTTAGCATGAAACATTTTGTAATGAGTGTCTACCAAGTTTGTTCAAATAAAAGCCCTGGGGTCAAAATTGGCCCCTCCCCAGGGGGTCATTGATTTTCCCTATATGCATATAGTAAAAACTTTAAAAAATCTTCTTACAAAGAACTCAAAGAGCTAGAGCTAAATTATTTAGCATGAAACATGTTCTAATGGGTGTCTACCAAGTTTGTTCAAATAAAAGCCCTGGGGTCAAAATTGGCCCCGCCCCGGGGGTCATTGATTTTCCTTATATGTGTATAGCAAAAACTAAAAAAAAAAACAAATAGCTAGAGTTTAGATATTAAGCATGAAACATCTTCTAGTGAGTGTCTACAAAGTTTGTTCAAATAAAAGCCCTGGGATCAAAATTTGCCCCGCCCTGGGGGTCATTGATTTTCCTTATATGTGTTTAGCAAAATCTTAAAATCTTCTTTGAAATAACCCAAATAGCTAGAGTTTAGATATTAAGCATGAAACATCTTCTAGTGAGTGTCTACAAAGTTTGTTCAAATAAAAGCCCTGGGGTCAAAACTGGCCCGCCCCAGGGGTGTCATTGTTTTTAACTATATGTGTATAGTAAAAATTTATAAAATCTTCTTTTAAAAAACCCAATGAGCTAGAGCTTAGATGTTTAGCATGAAACATCTTATGGGTGTCTACCAAGTTTGTTCAAATAAAAGCCCTTGGGTTAAAATTGGCCATTGTTTTTCATTATATGTGTGTATTAAAAACTTAACATCATGAAACATCTTCTAATGGGTGCCTTCCAAGCTTGTTCAAATAAAAACCCTGGGGTTTAAACTGGCCCTGCTCCGGGGGCCTATATACAGGTGAGCGACCTCAGGGCCATCATGGCCCTCTTGTTTTTATTGATACCTGAGGTTATTTTCTTCTTCTTTTTTCAGTTCCTGGAGATGGGGGGAGTCAATTTAAAGCAAAGTTAAACAAGACAACTACAGTAGCAAGCTATTGTATCAAGAAGACAAATTATTATTATGACTTGTGGCTTAACTTGGAACAACTTGTACCATTTCTTATTGACTGTTTTGTTGATAATATGAGGTAAGTCAGTGAAGATTAAAATATTACTGATCAGTGATTCAAATTATGCTGGCCTATGTGTAAAGTTAAAAATGATACCTTATATCTGTACTAAAAAGATATGGGCAATAATTTGCATAAATGCTATTTTGAATGCTATCATATTAGTTGGTGCTCAGTTTGAATTTGCATTATTTGAATGAATTAATTTGTGTAATTTTAGTGTGACAGACTGAATTTTTCTAAAATATGGTAGATAAGGTAGAACCTCTGACCATCTGTAATAGAAAGATTTCCGTGTAATAAGAGATTCTTTTTAATCTGAGGGAAGAAATCATATTTATGAGAAACAGGATGTAAAAGTTATATTTAACAAGATAGCTACCTGGTCATTCAAGAACTCAATAATAATGAAGAATGAAGGGAGCGGTAGCCTAGTGGTTAAGGTGTATGCCTCTCAAGCCATGGATCCATACATGTATCTTTTCGATGATCAAGTGGGAGATTTTTCTTCAAAAAGAGGGAGATTTTAGAATTTGCAATAAACGAAGAAGAAAGTTCTGACATCAAAAATAGGGAGATTTCTTAAATTTGTGAAAATACCCCTTATTTTAAGAAAAATCTTTGAAAACATGGCTGCAAAAAGTAGGAGTCTTCCGCTAAAAGTGGGAGAGTTCACATGTATGTGGATCATTGGTTGAGCCCTAATTGGGTCATGACCATGTTTCTTTATATGACACCAGCTCTGGTTGGTTTCAGGAAGTGGACTCAAAATTGATTAATATAAGGTGTAAGAACTTGTTTCGCAGTCAAGCTCATAAATGTTTAATGAAGACGAAAACACATTGATTTGCTCAAAAGCATTAAAGTTTGTGCAATAAGGAAACTGACAATAGATTTTTGAAAATATTGATATCTTTGTTTGTAAATAGGCTGGAGTATGACAATGTTACAAGAAAGACCCACAATTCACCTGGGGTAGACATAAAGATTCCTGGCTTTGGTGGGACTGACACAGTTGAATTCCTAGATCACTCCGAAATCTCCCTAAGTAAGTAAAAATGAAATCTTCCAGAGTAAGTACAGAATAAAAAGTAAATACAACAGATCTGTGTTTATAATAAGATATAATTAAAATACTAGGCAGGTCAATTTATTCAAATTAATGGGACGGAAATAATTATCGTGTATATTATCTTAAGAAAAGGTAGTTGTGAACTGTTAAGGAAATTTACATTGCACCAGGAAAACTGACATGTTTATATTTTGTAAATACAATCAATTTACATGTTTGAGTGTTAACTTCCTTGCTTTTGTTCTAGTTGTACTGAATGAACTAACATGATTAGTGTATCAATATTTACTTTTATATTTTCTTGATTTCACAGCAAGTTCTTTAATTGAATGTTTACTTCTACAATTTGAAAACAGTTATTATTGGATTGTATGATTTGTATTATTAATGTGGTTGACATGAATTGTGATTGTAATTCTTTTATCTATGACAGTCTGATTTAATTTTTCAGCTTTGCAATTATATACAAGTATTATATACAAAATGTGCAATATAAAATTCAATTAACTAGAGAATATAGATCTGTACATGAATCATTAATTTATTTAGCAAGACCTTGAATTTTCAGAACTTCTGTAGAATTATGACCCGGCTTGATGCTGTTGTTTGCTAAAATATGATAATTATAGCATTGTAGTTTCTAGATATGGTAATTTGATATTAAAACTGTTTAAGTTAAAAGTATACAAAAGTCAAATACAGAAAAGTTGTCAGGTTTAAGTGGCCAATCATGTTGCTTTTGGTTTATAGTGCCCATCTACAATGATAACTAACATCTTGTAACAGGAAATTATTTACACATTACATGTGTATGAACCACTGATAAAGAGATAGTAAATGACTGTAGAATTTGAAATAGGAAGTTTTTATGACGTACATTATTTACAAAATTAAACAATTTTAAAGTGTTTGATTTATAAAATAAGTAGAAAAATCAGTTTTAAGTTTTTGATTTAGAAGCTGAAATGTTACCCTGTATGTCTGTTGTGTGTACATGTATGCATTATCTTTGTCATTTATTTATGGATTTTGACAGTTTTATTCTAGGAACTCTTACCATCTTTAGACTTTACCTCAAAATAAGAAGTCAAAGGTCACTTGCCCCTTACTGTTGCGGCTTTAAATCCCAGTGACAAAGCTATCCAGTTAGCTTCGGGATGTTGCTGGTTCTTAGCTTCAACTCTGGTAAAGCTTGTGCCTGCAATAGAACACAGAGGTCTTCCCCAACAGTAAAGCTTAGCTATTAAGTCACCATAATTATGACCTTTAATGTGCCTTAATAACTTAAAACACACTCCAGAATGGAATCGTAAAATAATTTTGCACAAGTAATTATTACAGAAAGATAATTTTATCATATACTTTGATAAGAAGCTAGGAAATAAATTTTAAGGTGACAGTGTATACAGTATTCATTATTGTGTCCCAAACAATATAGATTTGAAGGGGTTATTGAACATGTGGAATATTGTGTATTTAAAGCTTTGATTCAAATGTTTATCATGTCAAAGTATATCAACATGTATAATTATCTTGCTATAGAATGTATGTATATCCCAATTTTGTTACATTTCATTGTATATTAATTATTTTATAAATTTATTTCAGCAACCTATTTCCATAACATTGTGAAGGCAATGGTTAGTTGGGGCTATGATAGGAATACAACCTTGAGAGGTGCACCATATGACTTTAGAAAAGCTCCAAGTAAGTATAGTTTCTGTAACATGTGACTGATTTATATAAAATGGGTCTGACTGGTTTTGATTATATTCCATGTCTCCTGACAGTATGACATTTCCTGGATACCTGCTCACTTTTAATATTCACTCCTAGTATTTAGAATTAAAGCATAAATGTTTTATTTAAAAGAGTACAATGTTAAAATTTTTACTTTCATTGATGATATTAGTTGAGGAAGATATCCAGATTTAAAATAGCCATTACATGGGTGGGTTCCTTCAGGATAGATATTCTGATCAGAACTGCAAACACATGTCAGATATTTCTTCTTGCATATTCTACCATATTCTATCATATGTTAAATTCTTAAAGTCAATAAAACAATTTTTCATGGAAATGAATGTCATTTCATCTGAAATACAATGTATTAGTTTCTTACAAAAATGTATGAATTCATAATGTCATTCATTACATCGAAATGTTGTCATCCTAGACATGCAGTTTCATTCTTAATTATGCCGAAATAACATCATTTCACGCAGTTCATTTATAAAATGACATCATTGTATAGCATATGACTCATCTGGCACCCCCATGCCAAATGAAATTTCTAGCATGGGTAAAAGTAAGGTAAACGCCAGTTTGATATGCTTGAAAATTAAAGACATTATGGTGGTTCAAACTTTTTGTCAGCTGTTCAGATATAATGTGCAGAAAGGAATCAAAGGGGAGTATTCTGGAGCTGTTCTTTAATCAGTTAACCTGGGAAATTATATTATCATTATAGTATCATTATAACTAAAGTTTCAACCCCATAGGGAAATAAAAATTCAAGTTAAAATGTTGTTTTTTATTAATAAAACAAAACCAACAAATTACATATATTCAGTAACAAGGTAGGTCACTGATTTTAAGAAATTTGAATTTTATATTTTATAGATGAACTTCATGAATTCCTGGATAATTTGAAGTCATTGATTGAGGAGACATACTATAAGAACAACAACAAGAAGGTGGTTCTTCTAGGTCACAGTATGGGTAACCCAGTCACCTTGTATCTATTAAACCACATGACCAAAGCATGGAAGAGTAAATTCATCAAAAGTTTTATTTCCTTGGCTGGAGTTTGGGGTGGTGCTGCCAAACCTATAAGACTTATGATATCAGGTAAGAACCAGGTTAAGTCTTAGAATTGGTCCTTGTTCATAGAAATAGAGGAGGTCCTACCTTCACTTAAAACATTATTGGTTTACAGAATATTACTGTAAAATCATTATTATTCGTGGGGTTCGAATTTTCGTGGTTTTCGTGGGTAGGTCAATCCACGAATTTAACATCCGACAAAATTTTATCCCAACAAACACTTCTTGCCATGTCTCTATTCTATATATTACAAACATGCATCGGTGCTTTCCGCCAATTTTTGTGTAATGAATGCCCAGAGGCAAGGATTAAATTTATTGACACGTAAAGGTATGGACATGCGGTAAGTAAAATGAGCGGCGATTATGTGTAAGATTACTTTGCATTAGGTTATTTATTTAAATTTTTTTACAAGAAATTGAAAATCCACGAATTTAAGAACCAACGAAAATGCCCGTTTTGATAAAACCACGAAATTTCATGCCCACGAATATCAGTGAATTTGCAGTATACTGAGGTAAAACATTATTGGTTTACAGATTATTGAGGTAAAACATTATTGGTTTACAGATTATTATGGTAAAACATTATTGGTTTACAGATTATTGGGGTAAAACATTATTGGTTTACAGTAATTATGGTAAAACATTATTGGTTTACAGATTATTATGGTAAAACATTATTGGTTTACAGATTATTGGGGTAAAACATTATTGGTTTACAGATTATTGAGGTAAAACATTATTGGTTTACAGATTATTGGGGTAAAACATTATTGGTTTACAGATTATTGGGGTAAAACATTATTGGTTTACAGATTATTGGGGTAAAACATTATTGGTTTACAGATTATTATGGTAAAACATTATTGGTTTACAGATTATTGAGGTAAAACATTATTGGTTTACAGATTATTATGGTAAAACATTATTGTTTTACAGATTATTGGGGTAAAACATTATTGGTTTACAGATTATTGTGGTAAAACATTATTGTTTTACAGATTATTAGATAACTGTGGCCATGTATCAGAATATGTAAAGATAGTTCTAAATATAAGTTGCATTTATGTAGAAGACATTAAGCTTAGTAAGAAGATTTTGAAAGCACAGATTAAGATCATTAAAGTTAAGATGCTTAATTAAGTAGGCTGTTAAACATTTGTATGTATTTTAATTATTAAGGTGACAATCTAAATGTTCCAATTGTGAAGTCGATTGCTGTACGACGTGAGCAGAGAAGCATGCCAAGTACCGCTTGGTTGATGCCATCAGATCAGTTCTGGGGACCAGACGAGGTGCTTGTAGTCGCTCCCACCAGGAATTATACTGTGAAAGATTACAAACAGCTCTTCAAGGACATTGACTATGAAACTGGTAGGATTGTAATTTTTACTATCTGTAAACATTGAAAAAGAAATATCCTTATAAAACTGATGATTATTTCTATGTTATTGCAGTTTAAAGCTCTGGCAAATCTAAACATCTTACAACCTGACTATGTACTATTGGCTACCTTCCATATGCTATCATATGTCCATTTCATTAATAAGTCAATGGTATATTTTTATTAGGCAAAAATGGGATTTTTCCTTTGACCTTTACAACTTATAACCTTGCTCTGTACTGTTGGCTACCAGTACTTGATCAGTACATTAAATACTTTAATATTTAAAAACGGAACAAGTTATTTATTTTTGTGTTGATAAAAATGTTAATGTTATATCTCTAATAAGGTTGAAATTTTATAAATGAAACTATTAATACATGTTTATGTAGGTTATATGATGTGGGAAGACACGCATAAACTAATTAATCCACTGACCGCCCCTGGTGTAGAAATGCATTGCCTACATGGTGTTAACGTCACTACTCCCGGAGTATTTGTATACACCAATAAAACATGGCAGCAGAGTTACCCGAAAACAATACCGGACAACGGAGACGGAACTGTCAACATGCGAAGCCTTCTCGGGTGTCTACGATTTGCTAAAGGCCAGTCTCAACCAGTCTATCATAAAACTTTCGACAAAGCTGAACATATGCAAATTTTAAATCGTAAAGATGTGATACAGGAGTTAGAAAAAATATTGCTACCATCTGAGCCATTTATAAACAAACATTCCGGCTTTAAAGATAGTTTGAATTAATTCTTGTTCTTTTTCTCTCAAACTTACGTGATAAGATTTATTAATAAACTTGTATTATAAGGAATTATCTCCACAATGCAATTAAATTGATATTTTTTTTCTACAAAATTGTTTGGAAAATTGTTTTTAATGACACATAATTCCTTATAGATATTTTTTTTTTGAAATTTAAGTTTATATTCTTATGTGTATACTGTAAACGTACAATGTAGGTTAAAAAACATTCTCTTGATTAGATTGTTTTGATTTTTTAAGCAGGACCATTGTCTTCCAGAATAGATCTGCCATTATTTATTTTTTCTATATGCCAAGTTTTCAGCTCAACACTGTAACATGATTGTAATTGTGTTATATTTATGGCATTTATCATGTTCTCAGTTAATGTAGGTCATTTTGTAGCTACAATTACTTACAGGGACTTAACACAGTGTTGGGATAGAGTAAAAAGTAATTCTAGAAAAAACATATATACTGTATATATAATATATAGACAAGGGGTTGAACACATCAAATGGTCCAAATGGCACTAGTCCAGTATAAGTCCAAATTGCAAAGTCATTCTTACGTAAATCATATAAAGCTGTATATCAAATTGCAGCTAAATGACATCACTAGACGTTGACAATAACATTATTGTCCACTTTTAAACTGTTTGCCAGTGGTTAGTTGTTTCTTTGAACGTGTTTTATTGATTTATTGTGGGTTGTTTCACTGGCATCATTTGGAACTGTGTTTTTAAACGTAGAAAATCAATTGAGGTTGAGTTGCGGGGTTGAGTTCGACCTAGCAAAAATACGATATTTCATCCGAAATGACTTTTTGTTGTTCAAAAACGCTGGGTCGAGTCCCAGTGCAATCATTTGCTGGAGTGGTTAATAACATACACGTTAATGATACAGTATGAGAAAATATCACAATATTTAATGTTCATGCTCAAAATTATTTTTCGTTCCAACACAGACTTTGTTACTTGATGTAAGGACGTTTTTTTTGAGTGGTGCACATAGCCAGCTACTTAAGTTATGGTACATGCTGAATATTGTTCTAGATGTAGTTCAATATCATCTTCCTTGTTTAATTGTTTGAAAAAAAAACAACAACAGAGCATGCTTTAATACATGTAGTGTGCACAATAATACATCACCAGACATTGGCAAACTAATACATGCAATGTGTGACCAATAAAAATAAATCAACAAGTAATTTAAGAAGAGGAAAAAATCTGTACATTCACCTTGTTTCCATATTCTTAGGTTTGGAAAGAGCTGAAATAAAAAGTGTTTCTGTTATTGCATATTTAATATATGTTATCTGACAAATATATATATTAAATTTTTGTATTAAAGCAGCATGCCTCCAGATTCATGCTAATTTTCATGAAATTTTGAAAATGTATTTAAATATATAATATTATGAAGTACCCTAAAGGAAGCAATTTACACATTATTGATGGCACTTGAAACCTACGTTAATTACCAAAAAGATGTCAAAATTTGCAAAAATAACCCTTACTGCGTTAGTAACACAGTAGAAATATAGTTATAAATTCTGAAAATTCAGTCATTAATCGCATATAACATGTAAATCTTGAATCTTTTTACTTTTCTAAAATCTTAGTGGATTTTTTCTCAACATTGTTTTTATTGAAATAGTTTGGCTTACCTGGAGACATATAGCTTTAAGATTTTCATTTTTTCTATCATATAAATATCCAATAATGTACATTAACTTCATATGTAATAAATGTTTAACTTAACATTATCTTACTGGTAAATTATTTGTATGTTGACTGAGTTAAGATAAAGTTACTTTGATCTGGACAAGAGGTTATTAAATTATTTGGTTTGAGGATGTTACTAGAGAATGTTAATCTGTTGCTTTGCTTTCTTTGGCAAAAATATCATGATGTGTAAAAACATGAATCATTCCAGTGGCGATATTTTGTGGCATTTAACAATTTTTGTTGCTTGTATTTTAAGGGGAGGGGCATTGGTTTCATGGTTACTTCAGGGGAAAGGCATTGGCTTGATAGTTTTTTAAGAGGTTGGTACATTGGCTTAGTGGTTAATACATCTGCATTATAATACAGTGAATGCGGGTTCAAGCAATATGATTTAAATGTAACATTTTACAAAGTTCGAAATCCAATATAGAAAGCTCATCTACAGAATTGTGCGTGTTAATTACTGTAAGTTTAATTAAGGTAGTACACAGTTTTGAAAATATGCATAATCTATTATGTTTGCAATATTTTGGCTGATTCTGTTTTTTTTTTTAACCAGGTTTTCCGAAGGAAAAAACTGGTTATTAGATTGAGGTATGTCGGCGGGCGGATGGGCGGGCGGGCGGGCGGGCGTAAACAATTTCTTCTGTGCGCAACTCCTCCTACATTTCTCAACGGATTTTGACCAAACTTTCACAGAAGCTTTGTCATCAAGTGCCCTGGCGCATATTGTCGGGGTTTTGCCATTGGATAATATTTGACCTAATTACGGCCCTTTGTTGTTTTTCCTTATATAGAATATATAGTGAACAATTTCTTCTGTGCGCAACTCCTCCTACATTTATCAACAGATTTTGACCAAACTTTTACAGAAGCTTTGTCATCAAGTGCCCTGGCACATATTATCGGGGTTTTGCGATTGGATAATATTTGACCTAATTATGGCCCTTTGTTTTTTTTCCTTATATAGAATGTATAGTGAACAATTTCTGCTGTGCGCAACTCCTCCTACATTTCTCAACGGATTTTGACCAAACTTTCACAGAAGCTTTGTCATCAAGTGCTCTGGCACATATTGTCCGGGTTTTGCGATTGGATAATATTTGACCTAATTATGGCCCTTTGTTTTTTTTCCTTATAAAGAATATATAGTGAACAATTTCTTCTGTGCGCGACTCCTCTTACATTTTTCAACGGATTTTGACCAAACTTTCTCAGAAGCTTTGTTATCAAGTGCCCTGGAACATATTATCGGGGTTTTGTGATTGGATAATATTTGACCTAATTATGACCCTTTGTTTTTTTTCCTTATACAGAATATATAGTGAACAATTTCTACAGTGCGCAACTTCTCCTACATTTCTCAACAGATTTTGATCAAACTTTCACAGAAGCTTTGTTATCAAGTGCCCTGGCGCATATTGTCGGGGTTTTGTGATTTGATAATATTTGACCTAATTATGCCCCTTTTTTTTTCCTCAATATATAATGATCAAATTCTTCTGTGCTGAACTAGTCCTACATTTCTCAACAGATTTTGTTCAAACTTTCACAGAAGCCATATCATCAAGTGCCCTGGCGCATATTGTAGAGGTTTTGTGATTTGATAATTTTTGACCTAATTACTGCCCTTTGTTTTTTTTTCCTTATACAGAATATATTTTTTCCTTATACAGAATATATAGTGAACACTTCTTCTGTGGCAATTCCTCCTACATTATTCATGTTTTACATTGCACATAGTTACATTGTTTATTGCTTGTATTTGTATTTCAAATACAACATATTTATCTACAATGGAGATAATTGAAAACCTGGTTTCGTGGCATTGCCATGTTTCTTGTTTTTTTTTTTTTTAAATAAAATGCAAGAATGAGGTCTGATGTCAAAGCTTATATTATGTCTCAACTTATTATTAATGTGCTTAATATTAATGTATCGATAAAATCATTAACTGAGGTATGCAATTGCTGTGAAAGTGTTCAAAGTTTAGAAGTAAACTTAATCTATACATTTTCTATCATTTTAATATTAGTTCATTACAATCTCATATTTATGTAACTGAAAGGAACATTATGCCTCAGAAGTTAATAAATATTTCATTCTTCAGAAAGGAAAAACATGAATTTTATAACTTTTAAATAATGGTTTTAGCTAATGTTAGATGCTTATCACCTGAAAAAAGTAGCACTGAATTTGAAATTGTGTGTCATCAAGAAGAAAAATGTAAACAAAGTTGTATTTTGACTTCCATACAAATCACTTTAATACACAGTGTACTAACATCCAACAGGCAACGGAAGTAAAACTATAGTTAAGGTTTTGGTTGATGATCAAAGCTTTTGAGAAATAAAAATAAAGGCGTTTCTGTGGTAAAGCAGGCCTTCAAGTTGGTCCTATCAACCAAAAAAGTCCCAGAAATTGAGAAAATTTTAACTTGTTCTTTTGAGTTTGCTCTTGCATTGATTATTTTGTTGACATTGTAAGAAATGTACTAGATAAGATAATTGAAGAATTCTCAGGCATGAATTGCATTGTAGTTGCACATTCTAAGGACAAAATCATTTCCACTTAAGGATGGTAGTAAAATCCTTTTTATCTTATACACTTAGACATAGTTGATTAATAAAAAAAGAATATTTTCCTTTTGGAAATATGTGAACAATTGTCATAGAGCAATTTATTTTCTGGAAATAATCTACCTCTGCTGTGAAAGACAAGTATTGGAAAATGTTCTTTCCTTGATTTTAAGGTTATTTACTAATGACACTTTTAAAACAAAAATTAAATGCTGCTTTTTAATACTCCTCATGAACAAAGTAACAAAATAAACTTGATCAAATATGTAAGAGATTTTTACTTATGGCTAAGTCATGTTATTTCAGGAATTAGTAATGGAAACTTTTTTTTATAATTATGGCTAAGGTCATCTTTTTTGTTTTGCACTTTAAGCTAAATCAATTATACATTTGTTTTGTTGTTTTCTTAATTTACTAAGTATTGTTGGTGCATTGAACATATGTTTCTGTTCAAAGAATCTCAAACATGATGTCTATTTGTACTATAAAATTTGTTTACTGCTATATGGAATAATAATGATTTGAGGGCATGATATGAAGATGTTGTTGGTAATTTGAAAGTAAGAATATACTGTCTTTTTCAACCCAAGCATTCTGTATGTTTATAGTACATGTAATTGTAAAAACCCATTACTTTGGAGCATGAAAACCATTTTCATGTCTTCTCTTATTTAATCTAAAAACTATAAAGTATGGATGTTTTATATTTGTACTTAGCTGATAAAATAGTTCATGTGTATATTGTACCCTTGTCTGGTTTGAATGTATGTTCTTTAAGTCCATGTGTAAGATTTGATAACTTTGAGCTTTCACATTTTATATATTTACCTATCCGATCTGAGAAGTTGTCACATGTATATATTATACTAAATATTTTTTCATCATATGTGTATTTATTCTAATATGTACGATTCATTTTTCTTATTCAGTCCATCTTAATAGCAGTCAAAAGTGCTTAACCATTTAACTAGTCAATGTTGATTATTATGATATTTCATCTTAGAGTAACATGCCTCCAACTAAATATTACATTTACATGGCAATATTATTTCAATAAGTAAAAGAAAACTGTATGTTTGATATACTTGATGTTATTTAATAAAGTTCAGAATCGGCACTGCCTAAAAATGTGTAAATAGTATACCTACCTGTTATCGAAATTCAGTCGCATAAAAAAATTGTGAAAAATGTATACATGTACATGAAAGAGTCTGTAATACATGTATATGGTAAACAATCTTTACAATTCAATTTTATAGCTTTGGACTTTATATTTATTGATTTTTATAGAAGTTTGGGAATTGTTTATGATTTGCTTGTTAGTCCCCTACCGGTTTAACCGGAGGGGACTTTAGGTTTACCCTCCGTCCGTCTGTCTGTCCGTCTGTCAGTCCGTCCGTCCGTTCACAAAACTGGATCCCGCAATAACGCAAAAAGTACTGAAAATATTTTTATGAAACTTGATATATGGATAATATTAAATTTGTTTACTGCTATATGGAATAATAATGATTCAAGGGCATGATATGAAGATGTTGTTGCTAATTTGAAAGTAAGAAATATACTGTCTTTTTTCAACCCAAGCATTCTGTATGTTTATAGTACATGTAATTGTAAAAAACCCATTACTTTGGAGCATGAAAACCATTTTCATGTCTTCTCTTATTTAATCTAAAAACTATAAAGTATGGATGTTTTATATTTGTACTTAGCTGATAAAATAGTTCATGTGTATATTGTACCCTTGTCTGGTTTGAATGTATGTTTCTTTAAGTCCATGTGTAAGATTTGATAACTTTGAGCTTTCACATTTTATATATTTACCTATCCGATCTGAGAAGTTGTCACATGTATATATTATACTAAATATTTTTTTCATCATATGTGTATTTATTCTAATATGTACGATTCATTTTTCTTATTCAGTCCATCTTAATAGCAGTCAAAAGTGCTTAACCATTTAACTAGTCAATGTTGATTATTATGATATTTCATCTTAGAGTAACATGCCTCCAACTAAATATTACATTTACATGGCAATATTATTTCAATAAGTAAAAGAAAACTGTAAGTTTGATATACTTGATGTTATTTAATAAAGTTCAGAATCGGCACTGCCTAAAAATGTGTAAATAGTATACCTACCTGTTATCAAAAGTCAGTCGCATAAAAAAATTATGAAAAATGTATACATGTACATGAAAGAGTCTGTAATACATGTATATGGTAAACAATCTTTACAATTCAATTTTATAGCTTTGGACTTTATATTTATTGATTTTTATAGAAGTTTGGGAATTGTTTATGATTTGCTTGTTTTGATATATTTTTCACAGCATCTGGAGGTATGGAACTTAAACATTATAATTCATAGTTTTCGTAGTGAGTCATAATAAATAGAAACCTTGTTTTACCTCAAGTTATAGTTCACAGATAAATTTTTAAGACAGGTTTATGTTCGTTAAGTGTTATGTCAGTGAATTGAAAATGAAAATTTTGATCAACAATCCAGTTGCAATTTGTTACTGTATAAACTTATTGTTTAATTAACTGATTTTTGTTGACTGGACAATTCGTAAAGTTAAAGCAGTTTATTTCACATTCCTTTTTTGGGGGCATAAAGACAATAAGATGTACATTTATTTACTACATTATTCAATATAATAATGGCACAAAAATTATTTCCTTTCTGAATAGCTTTCCTTAAACATATATGTTTGTCCAAATTATTGTCTATTGCACCTGTCTGAAGTGTTTGGATGTCTTTTTAATCATTTTTATGAAGAAGGAAAGTTTTTGTCTGTGTCTTGCTTATTTTATTGTAATTGCTTTTCAATGTTTAAAAGTCTCATCTGCTTATAAACTGTCATATGTCAGCTGAAATATCTATTCTCTAAATAAAAGCAAGTTTGGGGTTACTGGTAATGTTTGTTGTAACAATTCAATATATGAAGATCTTAAGTGGAAGACAATAAAGGAGATCAATTAAAATTTACTACAATTGAGCCGCGTCACAACAAAACCAACATAGTGCATTGCAACCAGCATGGATCCAGACCAGCCTGTGCATCCGCGCAGTCTGATCAGGATCCATGCTGTTTGCTTACAAACCCTATAACAAGTAGAGAAACTGATAGCGTTACAGAGGTAGGTAGAAAATGTTATATAACCTAAACATTTACATGTATAGAAAACATTTTTGTCACTGGGGAAAAAAGAAGAAGCATGCTTAATCAAATGGCTTTATATTCTGTATGTGTACTATATTTCTGTTCAAGGATTTTGTTTTTGGGACAATTGTATGATGATGTTATGTTTTTGATCAAATAAAATGACTGTATAATGATGATGATGTCTTTGTTATAATTGTTTTCTATGATACAGTGATATTTATGTTCACAATATCCAAGATATAGACATATAAATGTATATAGTATTTTATGCTTCAGATGAGGTTTTTGTGATGCCTCTTGTCTGGCGTTATCCTTCCATTGTTAACAATTTCACTTGAAATTTAAATCATTTGACTGATAGTGATGAAACTATACAGGCATGATCCTTGGTTGGTGGTTGGTCATCTATAAATTGCTCAAATAGTTTGTCAAATGAGATTGCCATCAGAGCTAAAAATAGAAAAACCTTCTGCTCAACCACTTAGCCGAATTTTTATGAAACTTTACAACAACAATTATTAGTCAATCTTTTACCGGATAGCTTCCTCACATGAAAGAATCCAAAGTCCTGTCCGGATTCGACCCTCAGTGATGAGGGGCAAATGGTTTGAAGGCAACAGCCTTAACCACTTGGCAACAGATGCCCCAATTAATGGTACACGTTCAGGTCATATTCTTTGTGAACATAACCGGAGAAAGGTAGACACAGATAATTGCTGAAAAATTGACCAAACATTAAATTTTTTCAAAAGTTTGAACCTAACAAACAAAATTAATAATGGCAAAATACAAATATTATATACAGGATAGATGATGCAAAACTGATTTACTGTACCCAAGAATTTTCAAGTTCACAAAAGGGCCATAATTTCAGGCTAAAAATCCATGCTTCATTTAGCAATACTGACTTTGAAAAGTGATCTTCAATTATGATCTTAAGGAAATGTTTAAGAGCAAATCTCTTATGTGGTTGATGAGATATGATGTTGTACAAGAAGTTGCACATAATACATGCTATGCCAACACTGATTTTGTTGCCTAGGTGAGTTAGCACAGTATTCTAAGAAGTCAAGCTAAAAAATAAAAAGAAAACAACACACAATGTTTCAGTTTCAATTTTATTCATTGCATAATAGTCTAATGTGTGGTTCTGTTGAGCCAAATATGAAATACCCTTAACAAGGACAAAATGGATAAATTTCTATATATCTAATGTTACCTTGGTAACAAAAATGTCTGATTAAAGTTTAGATTTTCAGTTAAAAATGTTTACTTCCGCATTTATGTTTCAAAAGTTTTATACTTTCAAATTTTTTTAAATAGTTCATAATCTTCATTTCTAGTTTTTAATTCCTTCTTCTTTTTTAATTTTTGTTATTTTGTTATCTACTAAATGCACAGTAATGTAAAATTTTAGCGTATATAAAGCAAATAGGACAGCCCTTTTCGTGGTATATATTAATGCTAATGTTATAACAGTAAAGATATCTAAAATCCTATAATACATACATTTGGATTATATTGTTGTATTTTTTGTTGCCATGGTAACATTTCTATAAAATGGCTCTATAACACAACAGTAAATCAAAGAATATATATAAAACATCTATTTATAAACACAAATTTCATAAACCTATTTATATACAAAACAATAACCCTCAAATAAACTTTTATTTCATCAGTAATATTGCACAATGTAGTTTCCATGGCTACCCAGAGACGTTTCTTGTTTAAATATTTTTCAATAAAAAATCTGTCTCCCTTTTGCCATAAAATTTATGAATTACCTACTTTTCCTTTACATAACTTCTTTCTGCAAATATTTACTTTTTTTTCATAATACTTTCTTGTAATGGAACAAACACAGAGAAAATATATTTGTGACAATATCTAAAGGTATTACAGAATACACCTGTATAACATGGGATGACATATTTCAGGCTGTAATTCTACAAACAGCCAATTTATCATGTAAACATATAAACATTGGATAACTTAATTTTCCAATAAAGACATATATGTTCTGTCTGAGACATGAATAAGTTAATACTATATAAACCAAGAACCGAAGTAACAAAAATATTGCCTTATATGAATTTTATTCTTAATTCCATTTAAAATCCGAAGTATATTGTACGTAATAATCAACCAATAAAGTTACTTGTAAATATTTTTTTAAAGTCCCTCAAGTTTCATATGAATATGATAAGCAAAGAAGTTACATCAAAAAACGGTACATTTGCGGTAAAACAATTCCAAAAGGTGGCGTTGGAAAAAAAAATTGTTATAATTAAATTAAAGGTGTAAAGCAATTTGTTGTTAAGGCGACAATTAGGACAAGAAACTTGACCAGATTTGAAATTATGTTCAAGCTAGGACCTAGAATGCTGTTTAGCGATAGTGATTTAGCTAGATACACTCTACCTTAGAAATAACGAGTTACAACAATGGTACATGTTAATATACTTGAAAAAATTATAAACCAAACCCATTTAAGGGCAAGAATTTTCAGCCACCTATATTATTATCATGAATGACAACATGATTTAACAGTTATCCGGCAAAGTCTTTTTTTAGAATTATTTAAGTACCTAAGTATCATAACAAAAATAAATGTCATAAGCAAGGCAAAATTTAGTCTCTAGCAAACGTCTTTCATTTATTTGGAAAATCGTACATCATTCTACAGTAAAAGTAGGTCTATCCTGACATGTACTGCCTGATGAAATCTTTATATACAACTGAAAATGACACACCTTTTTCTTCTTTATTATAAAAAAATGAAATTCGCTTTTTATCTTTATTGTAACCATAACATTCATATAAGGACGAAATCAGATATGAGCTGTGTCATGACAAAACCAACATAATGGTTTTGCGACCAGCATGGATCCAGACCAGCCTGCGCATCCGCGCAGTCTGATCAGGATCCATGCTGTTCGCTATCAGTTTCTCTACTAGTTATAGGGTTTGTTATAGGGCTGCGTTCATTGAATGCCGCCTTTCCTTGTCCATCATGTTTATCATATTGTAAGCAAACAGCATGGATCCTGATCAGACTGCATGAATGTGCAGGCTGGTCTGCATCCATGCTGGTCGCAAACCCATTATGTTGGTTTTGTCATGACACGGCTCATTATTATATTGAAACATCATTTATACTCAAATCAATCCCTGCATATTACAAGGTACATAAGCAGGAGAATAAGAGGAAACAAAAAGCTCCTAATAATGCGTTTTTAACATTAAACAATGGCCTAAAATAATTTGGAGAAAAATGTTCTCAAGATAATATTCCATGAATATGTAAAGAAGCTTGAAAAAGCAGTCAAAACTGATCCTTTTACAATGACAACTAATCCTCCAAAAAGTATAAATATAGGATAAATATCACTGAAATATATACATAATCTCATTTCAATGATATGTTTAAACATGGGATTTCTTCCCGACTAATACAAAAGCCATTCGCAGGTATTGCATATAAGCATTTTCATAGGTATCTGTGTAACGTTAACCCTCAAACTGTTTTTATCATTTTTTAGCACAATATATTATATTATTCTCTCACAACACAAAACACTTAATAATCACTGATGAGTTACTGTCACAGGTTGGCAAGGTAAAAATATCCATCACTTGTATTTGGTATTTCCTTCCGAACTGGGTCATCTCAATTTTAACATTAAGTGAAAATTGTGCCTGCAAATATGTCAGTATTTGTCACTTTATTCTGTACAAACATTTCACCTAGCAGTGTTAACCTCTTCCTGAGAGAATGTCTGTGTTGTTCCGGGTTTTATCCAAGATAAACCATTCTTTTTATGAGGTTCTGTTTCAAGGTCACTTCGGTTTTTCTGAAATTATAATAAAGAAAAATTGTAACAATTCATTTATTCACAAGAAATGTAAAATATACATATGTTGAAGTGTATAAAGCTATATTTATGAAATTTATGAATAGAAAAATGAGCTGCGCCATGACGAAACCAACATAATGGGTTTGCGACCAGCATAGATCCAGACCAGCCTGCGCATCCGCGCAGTCTGATCAAGATCCATGCTGTTCACTTACAAACCCTATTACAAGTAGAGAAACTGATAGCTAACAGCATGGATCCTGATCGACTGCTCAGGCTGGTCTGAATCAATGCTGGTTGCAAACCCCCTATGTTGGTTTTGTCATGACACAGCTCAAATATTTCATAAAGCTGCTGTTTTAAGTAGGGTCAATGATTTGTAAATATGCAATTACCTTATAAGGAAATATGATTTGAATTAAAAAGCAGTATACTTATAGTATCTAGCGCTTTATGGATAATCCAAAATTGTGAAATATACTTAAAAGTGCTTTTTTTATGATATTTAAATAAAATTATTTTATTAATATAACAGAACCCAAAAATAACCGCTGCAATAAAATTAGAATAAAAATTTATTTTGTAAAAAAAGGTAATACATTTAACACCAAGTTCACATATATGTTCTATTAATCCAAAATTCTTCATGCAGCCAAAAAATCTAATAAATTTCAAAATACAACAAAATTAAAATGATATGTGCAGGCAAATTTAAGAATTGCTACAAAAAGGATCAGTATAAAATGACATATATGTCAGGGAAGTGCTAAGGACATTAATACATCAAGTTTGTCAATATTGTGGTATAATATGCTACAGTGTAAACAGTGTCAAGTAACCATGGGTTATAAAACCAAAAACGACAGAGTTACCTGACTTAGATACAGACGACGACTTTACCTTGCGAGTTAGCATATCTGACTTTGCCTCCTCATGTATACCACTGTCCCATGGTGAAAATCTGGAACATTGCAGAATAATAGTAAATATACATATATTGGCAAGAGCTTTAAATGAACAAGAAAATTTTTCAACACTTAATATAGTGGCAAGAGCTTATGAACAATAAAGTTTCAATTTCAACACTTAGAAAAACTATCATTTAATATGATTAATAAATAATTTACATTTAAATAGAAACGCTGTCATGTGGTTCAGTTTATTTTTGTTTTCTATTATTACTTCTTGTCGGAGAGTAGTTTGCTTTATGATCTTAAACCATTCGTGTAACACATAATATAAGTTCCCAACATTCTCAAGTTAACTTTAAAACATTATATATTGAAGTTCAATATGACGTTTCAGGCTGCAAAAATTGGTGTCATAACAGGGCTTTTTTCAGGCAAAATAATGACAAAAAATATTAAAATGATTTTATGTACTCAAATCACTCTAAAATGGCATTTCTCAAAATTTCAGCATGGATTTCTGTTAAAATTCTTTATATTTTGGGTTTTAAGCGTAAATATATCTATATATGTTGAACAAAATTTAGACGCCAGTCACGTGACTTGAACAAACACTTGAAGTTACAATAACAGATATTGTGGTTATTGTATGATTGAAACAAGTCTAAGTCATTCATTTGGCATGTTCTTTAACGTTTACAATGTTCACTGTGACAACTATTGTGAAATCCTAGTGCTCTAACCTGACCCACGCGGGTCAAGTTAGGAAACCGCTATTTTATTCTTTATATGGAGAAAAGTTTTGTTCCTTTGACTGTCTAATATATTCATTTTGAGGGCATTTACAGAATAATGAATGAAGAATTCAAAACTAAGAAATGAAAATTTTGCCTGTATCTCCCTTTAATGGAAATTCCATTAAACCATTCAGTTTCAATTTACATCAAGTTTTCTCTTCCTATTTTTGAAATATATTGTTATTTTCCCAAAATTTAAAGACTCAATTCCTTACTTTTGATAAAAGCTCTGCCTACATATATGGAAACAACAGCTAACCTTAACAACTAGGCCACTGCTCCTAGTATATTATGATCTTAGTCTATTGGCTTGCATACAGCACAGTAATGTTGATAACGAATATAAAATATTTACTATTTTTAGTTATCTCACCTTATCATATGAGCATCATTTGATTCTATTGGGTTATAAAGCACTTCTTTACTTGAGCTAACACATTCTTCTATCCTCTTTCTAAACTCTTCCATACTGTGTTCATATCTAAAAATATAATGATATATATCATATACTAAATGTTTTAAAATATGCTCTCATCATAAATAATAAATAAAAAAAAATCTGCTTGTTGTTTTATGTACTAATTTCATTGGTGTTTTATGTAATGTTATAATTGGTGCTTCAGAAAGATTTTTTTGGGTCAGTTACTGATTATACAACTCTTTCCAGCATTTTTTATCAAATTCAGAAGATTCTCTGCAGAATGGAACAATTACTCAGATACAATCACTGATGTTTTTTTTCAATAACTAGATGTATTTCCTAGGGTAAGAGTTAAATTCCAACGCTGAACAAAGATTGGAGCCCATAGTGATGGTGGACAACTGCCTCAAACAACTAAAATAAAGACATAGCCTCTTGATATAATGATATACTTACAATTCTGCTGCCTCTGTATTTAAAGGACACTTGGGATCTATTTTAAAGAATACTCTTCTTACATACAAAAGTACCTGCCACAGGAAATTGGCATTTCGTCTGAAAATAAAAGAAAAATTGCATAGATGATATACAAATTGTTTTGTGTTTTTAATAATTACAATTATTACTGCTTTATATCAATTAACAGGGGATTACCATGCAAAACTATAGACCAAAATGTTGAACATATCTAATATTTTAAATGATGAAAAATATTGATGATTGAACTGAAAGCTATATCACATCATGGAAACATACTCCATTTTCAAACAATTTACACCAACTTGCAAGTGGCCAATCTGACTATTCCATGCATTTATATGCTTTTTTCTTGTGAACACTTACTTCATTCTATAAATTTGTTTAGAACAACAAAAAATTAAAACTTACCGCCACTTTTTAAATTCTCTTTTCACATCAAGTTCAAATGTTTTAGGATCAACCAATGGATGGAAGACTGGAAACTCAAAGAATACTCTCTGAAGTATAGATAGCATACATTGATAATATTATTATATACATGATAACACATATTGATAACATAATAATATTCATTGTTAACACAGATATTACTAAAGATACAATGAGGGGTCCCTTTCTATTAGAAAAGCAAGAGATTGTTATCTTGCCTTCATCAGCTAGTAATCAATGATAAGTAATGGCTTATTAGTGTCAATTATATAGTACAATGGCATATCATACAAATTTCATGGCAGAATATATAATTTCTTCCAGTTGTTAAAGAAACGTCTCATTTTAATATTATTCCTATATTGAATTGGAAAATTTTCAGATCTCTTTATTGTATGTAAAAGAGTAATATGTTAATTTAATTAATGATTATTTCAAAGAAGAGAGAATATAATTGAGCCGCGTCATGACAAAACCAACATAATGGGTTTTACGACCAGCATGGATCCAGACCAGTCTGCGCATCCATGCAGTCTGATCAGGATCCATGCTTACATATTCTATAACAAGTAGAGAAACTGATAGCGAACAGCATGGATCCTGATCGGACTGCGCAGATGCACAGGCTGGTCTGGATCCATGCTGGTCGCAAACCCATTATGTTGGTTTTGTCGTGACGCTGCTCAATTATCATTATTACAATTTTATTACATAAACATGTAGTTGCTTAAGGTTTTCAAGTTAAAAAATATTGATCTAAAACAAAAGGTATTCTCAACTTAAAGTGGGTGGCTGAAGCCCATGGGGCCATTATTCATTTTGCAGGCCATTTATAACCTTCCTGCCCTAATTTGTTGTGTATTAATCTTTTATTAATAATCAAAACATGGTTTTTACTTACAGGGCAATCACCATTTGGGTAGTTCTCAGGAATGTTGAGGTTAAATCTGAACACAGCTTCCTGGTAGAGACCTTGTCGGATAAATATCACACCATTCCATACTGTAAACAGTGATAAATACCATATATATATCTCACTGACAATTCAATCCAGAAATATGACACCAAAAGATTGCTTTTAGCATTCAATTAATTCATAAAGTTCACCCAATCTATGTAAGATTTAAACAATTCTGTTAGATTTTAATATTGTCACTAATTCATTGTCTATTTCCAGTCGTCTTTAACTATCATAAATAAAAGTATTTCATACTTTTTACTGCAACATATGCCACATTGATTACAATCAAAATAAACAGAACAAAATGCAATGAACATTATTTTTGAAATACTTCAATAAGGATATGCCTCTGATAAGCCTGATCTGAATGTTAAGTAGATTGGTGACAATAACCATGTTTTGAAATGTTCATTAATTCTGAGTTACATATGCTTGTTACACAAAAACCTTCAAAAATAGTTAACACATATCTGTTCAATTCTGTTGTACAGGTTTACTGACACAAAACATCAACTTACTAAAGGGAGACAATGCTGAAGGTATCACATATATCCCTGGTAGTTTCTGTTTGTGTAACATGTTACTGTAAGAAAAAACATTATCATTTATAAAATAGACACATTTTTTGTTTTCCATACAAAATGTTTTGCTAACAGTTACTTAGTAACATGACTTTCCCGCTGCATGTTTCATTTTAACAACAATGTTTTCATTGTAGCACAATGTAGAACAAGATTTACAATTACTTTCTATTTTTCTATTTTCTATTTTGGAGGCAAACATAAGCTTCCAACATTTTACAACACTTGATTATTCCTACATTAAACAAGCCTAAGTCATCAATGTCAAATTATCAGGTGTACAAATTAAAATTAAACATTACATCTAGATGCATGCCCATGTGAACTTATAATATTGTTTATACTGTTGACACAAATTTTGATTCATAGAGTTTTTTTGGGATTTGAAACAAAATAGTGAACACATTGTTTGTTATCTTGGAGTGCTAGGTTATATTTAACCATGGTGGCTAACTGTGTTGTTTGCCTGATTTGGTTCTACATCACACTGACACAGTATAAGTCATATGGCTATGTACAAGCTTTACTGGTGGCAGAATACCTCAGGTGCCCTTCTGTGCATTATTTCAGGCATGAACAGCCACCTGAGTAGAACCACCAATGTTCTGTAATTCTTGTAATACAAGGACAGTAAACCTGCTTAATTATATTCAGTAGCATGTTCTATAATGGACATAGATAACAAATGCACTTACTATTCATTCATGAGAATATATTCCAGTTTAAACTGGCCATTTCCACCACCACCACCACCGGTCATTATGCTGTTTTTATTAACAACGCTGGCTGACATCTCAGCCTCTGTCTCACTGTCAGGGATAGGGGGCAGCACCTGATAAAATAAATAATACCTTATTAATTCCAGTACTTCTTTAAATCAAACATTTATGACTAGAAATTTATCTAACACACAGTCATGACAATAACATATTGATGAATAATGTTACAAACTAAAGTTCAAACATCTGAAAACTATAAACTGCCAGATTTTTTTATGTGAAACAGTTAGTTCAATTCATCATATCTGAAACAAAGTCTTTAACTTAAACAATGTCTTCTACATGTAAGAATATATTTACGAGAATAAACATCATTTTGTTATTTACCAGGTCAAAACTTTGAAATGCTCGTCATTGACTAGTAGTCAAAATATCAAACTTACTTTACGCCCTTCCCTTTTTCCTGTGACTGGCTTTGAGGGATTCTCGGATGTAACCAATGTCTCTGTCACTGAAGTGGGTGGAGTGTCTTCACATATAGTAGAATCAGTTTTCAAATTATTTTCTTCTGTTATACTCTGAGGTGATAATCCAGCAGTCTGGAAAGACATTATAACAATTAAATCACATTTTCTAGAATTTCTTTGAAAAATTTTTCACCTGTAAAGCATTATTAAACATTTTAGTTCATGTGGCATCTATGAACTGGTCTAAATTAAATAACTGGTACATTATGATTTAGATTATATACCTCAGACATAACAATCCAATATTCAGTCTAAAATGTTGACTCTCAGATGACATCCATTCTTCAACATAAAAGCATTAAACCCTTACAGGCCAGTTGATAAAAAGACCATCATCAGATTTTGCATTCAGTCTTCAAACAGGCTGACTAAAATCCTTGATTTATTCAATAGCTAAATTAACTTGTTCAGAAATAAGGCAATTTGTATTCATGGGCAAACAAAGATAGGTAATTTTGTTTCTCAGGATGATGAAATTTATCAATGATATCTAATGCTGATAATTAGAATGTCTCAAAATTCTATACTGTTAATTTTCAGTGTGCTGATAAAAGAATTTCCCCCATTTTTATATTATTAAACTGCATTTTTCAGGGTTTTAGTACATAATTGCTAAATATATTATAATTTTTCATTTGACATTATAAATCTAGTGTTGTACCCTTAGCTTTCATAAGAAAAGAATAGTTTTAAATTTAAGTGTTTGTAATTAAAAGTATGTCACTAAAATCTATAATATTATAAAAATAAATAATTCAATGCTTACAAATGAAGGAGAAGCCAGAGTAAATTTTTTCTGAGGAAAGTCAGGGTTAGATCCATTTGTATTTGACCACATTATATTCATTACAACTTTATCATGCATACCATGCACACGCCATGAAAAATTACGATTTTCCTTCAACACACCACTTAGAACATCAATCATAGTTTTAGGTAAACTTTCCATGTCACTTGCCTCATTTATTCATTATGTTCCTTTATCATTAGTCTTCCCCATCTTTAATATACAATCTGCACTGACCTCATGTATATATATATGTGTATAAACAATCTTGTATGAATGACTTGTAAAAAATACTGTTACAACTGCCTCATTCACACAAAAATATATATATTTACATGTACTTAAGTCTTATTGCTTGCCACTATGCTAAATCCTATTATCATAATTTCCCTTTTCTATTATCAGGTTTTCTTTCCAATACTTTAACACTGAATTCAATTTAATGAATAATTAAGATAACATTATCACAATTTAAACCATGTTATACTAAAAACGTGCACATTTTCAACAACTAAAATATAACAGTAACAACATTTTCAAGTCAGTTAAGGAGAACCTATCATATTACAAGCCTCCTACAATAATGAAAACAAAAGCCAAAACAATATAGTTCTCTTTGTCTTAAATAATGAACCTGAAACACCCCACCTATCTACAAAGACAGCATTGAATTAATTGTTTATTGTATTTGAGGACATGACTTCTGTTTGCCTATGAATTAATAAATAAGAAGTTTTGCCAAATGAACTTGTAAACAAATAATCAAAACATATCTGCGAAAAATGCACTCCACTTTTTCAGTGCCAGATAGTTTAATCACGGCAGCATAGAAAAGGGGGATCAAATTCAAAATGTTAAGCAGACTTACATGCCCTTGACAGTCAACAAATAATTAAAGTTTGAAGAGAATATGATTATAGTTATACCTGTAACAGTTTTTGAGAAAAAAGCAAATATTCTTAATCAAAAATCTGTATCTGGAAAACTATCAGAACCAGGACATATAAAATCAGGAGTTCCCCAAGGATCTGTACTTGGTCCACTTTTATTTCTAATATATATTAATGATCTTCCGAAGGAACTAAAAGAAATTTTACAGATATATTTGCTGATGATACAACTATTTCTGCAGTTGGAACAACTTATCTGGAAGTACAAACTAAATTACAAACTGCATTAGATAATGTAAATTTTTGGTGTCAAATGAACTCTATGTCACTAAATGCAAAGAAATCAAAGGCAATGGCAATTTGTCCATCAAACAAAACAGACTCCAAATTATTAAACATGCTACATTTAGACTATAATTTAATAGAATGTTCCAACTCTGAGAAACTTCTCGGTGTCCATGTTGACAGCAAATTAAACTGGAAAAACCATATTTTTCATGTGTTAAAAAAGTGCAATTCCAAATTGTACCTACTGCAAAGAATTAAATATTTCATAGACATTCCCATTAGATAACTATTTTTTAACTCCTACATACTACCTCACTTAGACTATTGTTGCTCTATCTGGGGAAATTGTAATTTGGAACAAATACAATCCATAGTTCGATTTCAAAAACGAGCAGCTAGGATTATACTAGATCAACCATATGATGCCCCGTCTGAAGATCTATTCATTTTATTAAACTGGATGAAATTCCCAGACCGAGTATAAATAAGCAATTATGGTTTATAAGTCAATTAACAATATTTGCCCTGAGTACTTAAAACAAAAATTTACCTTCAACCATACTATTCATTCTCGCACCCTACGTTCAACAGATTCAAAACTTAACATTTACCAACCAAAACCAAAAGTAGAATTTTTCAGAAAAAGTTTTAACTATTCAGGGTCAAACATCTGGAATGAAATACCAATCAGCATACGCTCTGCACAATCACTTCAAAACTTTAAACATAAATACATAGAAAATTGGAAAAAGACAAATCAAATATAAAATTATGAGAAAAACACTGCTCTTGTTGAAATATTGTTATTGTCAAAGGTTTATTTGTAATTTTGAAATGCCTTGTTTCACTGTATTTTTTTCATGCATTTTATATAATTATTGTCATTTTCTATTGCAATATCAAAATAATTATGTTAATGTTTCTGCATAATATTTCATGTTATTCACAACTATATGATTGTAAATATGTACATTTTGTGAGGCACACAGGGTAGATTGCCTTTGTTGCAACTGTGTAGCCTCTTTAAATAAAGACTTTATTATTATTATTATTATTATTATTATTATTAAAAAAAGGATTTCAGGTTTATCTGCTGCTTAGAAACACATTTTTTATTTTTACTACAAGATGAAAGTAAATTTTTATAGTCTCAGGTGCCAGTGAATTAGTACTTGAATGAGATAGAACCTTTAATGCAATTTCTATACATGCAGTGCTATTTTACTACCAAAAAAATCTTTATTTGCCATATTTTCAGGATACCGACAATGTGGACTGTATAAGTTCATAATATTATTTATTATTATATACATGCAAATGCAATCAAATACATATGAAAAATAAAAATACATATGCAAAATAAATATATTAAGTTTAAATGACATCAGTGCGCAACATTGGTCTATGAGATTTTACTATTTATATTTGATCAACAAAAATATACTGTGCTTTTTAAACGACCATTAATAATTACAAGTACAATATAAATATGAATCTTGAAAAGTTTTGAAAGATGGGTTTGATATCACTGTCAATTTACAGGGGTCAAATGGACGCAAGTCCACTTATACAGGGGATCTAATCAATCATTCATCATGGTGTCCAACAACAAATTGCAGCAGTTCAAATGAAATCCTTTCCAAACAAGTTCATTATTACCAATACCTTTAGCCCTTAGTAAAGTATAATAACGTCTACTAAGTTCGACTAATGTTACAGTATTAAAATAAAAGCCACATTCAATGGTATTTTATAAATTACTTCTCAATAGATTTATCAATGCAACTTCTCCTCTTATCATTATCAATATCTTTTATCAGAGCATGTTATTTTAACTGATTAACATTAATACTAAGTAACCATAAACACTCAATACATGAATCCACTCAAGGGTCTTTCAAATAGCCCAATGAATCATATCATAGTTGTCAAAATACTCTTTAAAGGAATTTCTAAGAAAGGAAAAGAACATTATTTCATGCAGCCATTTTGTGTCAAAAGTTTGATGCCGGCATTTATTTCTTATTTTCTTTTAAAATGCTATTTTCAACAAATTATCATCATTATCCACATTTCAAAATATTCCTTACATGTTTCATTTGATTTTCAATATAAATGTAGCACCCTGATTTATAGCAAATTGCATTTCTGAAATTTTCAGATGTTTATATAATATATACAATTTATGTTATGTCTTTGATTATGATTTAGTTTTGTAGATTCTAGCAATTATGTATACAGTATATTTTCAGAAATGTTTTGCCTTGTCATAAATTTATATAAATCATTACTGAATTCCAGGAGAAACAAAAATAGTTCCTTCACACGCTATGACTAGTACGCGCCAGTACATGGAAAGGGCCAATTTGAACAATTAAATGTCTTAATTCGAGAATGCTTCTCATTTTTTCAGATGAAATTCTGCATCACTTCAAAACTGTGGTTTGAATGTTTGAACAAAAATATGTCTATTTTTTTTCCAAACTATGGTATCAGCATTCTTGGAAAAGAAAATTGTACACTTTCCATTGCTTCAATACATTTTAAAATTGGTTGTGAAAAAAAATAGAAAACCTGGAAAATATGCATTTGTTTCAATTTGTTTATGTGTGCTGCCTTCAAACTTCAAACTCCATATTATTTCTGATGGCCTCGTGGTTAAGGTGTCTGCCTCTCAATCCAGAAATTGTGGGGTTCCAGTCCTTCTCTGGTTAGACCATATTCCCTCATATGACACCAGTACTGGCTAGCTAGTTTCGACATGTGAATATACTAACCAATTTAAATTGTTATTCAGCTTTTCAAGCAGACTAGCGTGAGCAATAAGTTCAATAATATTTTATATATGTACAATACCATGAGACCAAAAAACTTTATTAAGGATTTGCAGAGCCCATTGACTTCTAACATGTAAAAATTATTGTAAGCATAAGTGATAAAGTCACAATATAACCTTTAAATATAAAATGTATAAAATGTTAGTGCAACATGTCCCTGAACAGTTGAGGAGCCTCTCTTGTCTTCCATGGAACCTGTTTTGGAGCAGTCATTATACTGTAAGCTGTTTATATGAATTATTTCAGCATTTTATATTCTGTATAATCATGACTCTACCAAAATACTTTCATTTCAGCATTTCATATTGAAGTCCCTATGGAAATTCTATTATTTCAGCATTTCATATTGAAGTCCCTATGGAAATTCTATTACGGTATTTCAGCATTTCATATTGAAGTCCCTATGGAAATTCTATTACATTTGTATTTCAGCTTTTCACTATTATTTCAGCTTTTATATTGAAGTCCCTATGGAAATTCTATTATTTTGGCATTTAAATATTAAAATCCCTACGGAACTTCTATAATTTGGTCATTTTAATATTGAAGTCTTTTAATATATTGATGTCCCCACCAAAATGCTGACAGCGTTTCTTGTTTAAATGAAGAAAACAATATATACACTTAGCAATTACCAAGAGATATATAACTCAATATAAGTTGACATACAAAATTAATTCAATATGAAACCACTTTAAGCATACGTTATTTAACTTATTACCTTCTTGTCAGACTGGTTGCTTCTTCTTATCAAGGAAACTCCAATCAAGAAAAACACACAAGTTACATCTAGAACCAGTACCGAGATCGACCATGTCAACCCAGTTACTTTACTTAGTACTCCAATCACTGATAAGCCACCTTGGCTTTTTTGTTCATTCACATGTTCAGAAGACATCACAGGTCCGCATTTAGAAATAGCACACATTGTTTTATTGTTTCTTTAGTTACATTTAATAAGGAATGTACTTTAGATAAACAGTGTAAAACTACACAATTAGTTTTTTAAATTCAAAATTGCTTTTCCAGCACACAGCGCATACAATTATAATGTTGTTGTTATATTTTTAAACCAAGCAAAAGTCCTACAGAATAGCACATAAACAAATCCAACTAGCACATAAGATTATCTAGCACAAAATAATGATAAGAAAAATATAACAAGAGTATTTATGTAGATAAAAATCTACCCAAGAAATACATCTGTCTGGCCAATTATCAGGAGATTTGTCACACAGTGTATCACCACAATACCTAACAGGCAATTACCACAGGCAGTTACCTATTGTCAACTTAACATCTGCTAATAATGTTACATAACCAATCAACAATAAGTTGTCTCTCCCAACAATAACCCCAAAAAGAGGTGTTAATGTCAAACACTAGAGTCCTGAAAGCAATCCATTCCACATCAAACAATTAAAGATCAATTTATCACACACTTCTTTTGTTAATGTACTTAATGGTACTTTGTGAATCCTTCAGGAGAAATTGATATCTTTAGATAGCTTTAATCACATATTTAAATATCAGTTTGCCAAATAACAGTTCTTTATGTAACAAAAGGTGTAAACAGCAAACATATTCCTGTTTGAAGTTCAATGGAACAAAGAAACTCGTAGTGATCCCTTTACAATATCATGATCTTGTTCAAGCTACAAAATCAACAGTTTCCACCAAATTGTTAAGTATAAATGTATCAAAATTTGCAGCTTTTTTGTCTACTACTTTTGCCTATCAAATAAATAATATCATTGAATAAGAACCTTTCAATATCTCTCAACAGTTTCTATCCTACAGGACTTTTTTCACATGGCATTGACCATTTTTATTTTACCTGAAAGTTTATCTGACACCAAAGTTTGTGTAAAAACTATTCTATTCTAATATTTCTCTATATCAAGGATTTGGCCAGTGATTATCTTAAATGAAAGTTACTTATAACAAGACTTCATTTCCTTTAGCAATAATGCCCATTAAAAATATCACCTAGGTTTTGTTGATAATTTTTTCCATTTCATTCACATCCTGCTATTTGCACCTTTTTACTAATTTCTGCACTGCCCTTTCCTTTTTCTTTGTAAAGGTTATCAAAACATAAAATCTTGCGTAACTTTCACACTGCAGATGCCCAATTTAACAAAAATGTGATAAAAATCTGCCCATTACTAAGCAGGTGGCCATTAAAGTGTGCAAGATGTCAAAAAGTCAACTTTTATTTCTTTGTTAGGTTTTTTAACCAAACCGTAGGAAGTCCTGCCAGTTAGAAATAAAGCTTACAAGAACTACCAGTATGTGTGCAGACCTATTAAAAGATTTTTTACCGGGAGATAAATAAACTGAAAAATTTTCGTTAATAAATTTTTTTTTTTTTTGGAAAATGTGGGAAAAAAAGAATATTTTGTTTACTTCTACAATATAGTACAGTAGTTTTTGTTGGCCTCTTCAAATCTGTGAAGGAAGTTTTGTCCGCTTTTCCACACAAACATGGTTTGTCTTCCACAAAAAAATTTGGGCCAATAACTTTTTACAAGAGAGGAATCTGTATGCATGGTTGATGTTTGGTTTTGTCCTGTTTCCTCCAGTATTTATCTTTTGATGAAAATGCTGTATGTTCTTGTATTGCCTTTAGATGAAATACATTGTCACCAGGTTCTTGTAAATTAAACCATTATACATTAACATGTGTCTATGACAGTTGGTCACTACGACAGTTGGTCAAAGGACACTTGACAGAATACAAAAGTTAAAAGATAGACTTCTGGTTGAATAACCAATAGATCAAATACAACACCTAAGGTTCGAACAATATTTATGACCGAATGATAATATTTGGGTGTTTCAACTTAGTTATATCTGATTTATTAGCCATGATTACTTTTTTACCTGTCTCCTGTTGATATTACATTTTGTAGATTAAAATAAGCATTGTTATAATTTTGATCCCATTATCATCAATCAAGTTCAACTTCTGTTACTTCTAGTATACATCAACTGAGTTTTCCATTCCTCCAAAATTTTCAACAAAATTCACCAGAAATACATTTCTATCAATTGTCCTTTCTTTGCATTACACCAGCTGTGTATTCTTCCTATTTTCATATTCTGTCCAGTATCTTCCAATGAATTGTTGTGCATTGAATTAACATATTGTCTTACATCTGGTTTAGGCTATTCGTAATCACTTAATTCATACCAAGTGATTTCAAATTTCCTTCATACAAACACAACATGTTATTATGTAAAATTATATGAGAAAGAATATAGAACTTATATGACCAATGGTAATATGTAGTCACAGATTTGATTGTATCTATGTAATACATTCAGTATCATAATGGTTAAATAAATACTATTAGGAAGGTAAGAGGATTAGCAAGCAATTCAATCTAAGATATTAACTTAACTTCAAGTGTGTAACTTGGTTTATCTTTTTCTCCAAGGGAAAACCAGTGACCTGTTTTAGAATTTTGAACAGTCCCTAGTCACTCCAAGCATTTAATATTGTCAGGCAATAGTAAATAGTCTGGTCACATGTCTAACAGTAACCTCAGCAGAACTATGACCATTCATCAACCTGCTGGAAGATTTCTGACAAAATAACATTCATGGGGTCAAGATTTGTATGTAATATGAGTAAAAAGCAGAGATACTGAAATGTAAGAGTAAAAACATATTTTGTTTAACGGAGTAGTTTTGTCAAACAAAATATTGTGCCATAATTTACCTGTTTACCATTCACTATAGGATCTGTCATTCCACATATGATAGAGTTTACATGTCAAACCAAGGGTATAATACTGCCCTCTCCTCACATGGTAACAACTTATTCTACCAAATCTTTAACATCAAATCTGAAATAGAAAAAGATGCTTGTTACAAAAGAACATTCTAAAGGTACATACAAAAACTTCTAAGGGAAAACAATGTCAGTTATACGATGGATGCTTTAATAAATTTGAAACCAATCATGATTTCAATTTGTCATTATAATAAAGAAGAAAAGGTGAGCCAATCAATCCCAAACCAACCTTCAAATGGAAGTGCAACAGCAGCATGTAAATTATCTGTACAAAATGTTTATGTTGGTAAATAAATGAAGGTGCTATGATAAACCAGTCACAACTTGCATTGAAGCACACAAATTCAGGGATAATGAAACACAAAGAAGATGACCCAATATATACTTACATTTGTATTTTGTAAATATCACAAGACTAAAGAAAGAAGAAACTTTACAGGAATGTTGATCAGCATGTGTAGTTGTGCACCTGGGTATTTTCGTATGGATATTTTTAGCATTTTTAGAGTTATTGCCCTTGACTTAGTAAAATTTTGCAATTTTCAGCTTGTGCCGCATGTAACTCAAAAAGTATTTGACCTAGAGTCATGAAACTTTACAGGAATGTTGATCAGCATGTGTACTTGTGCACCTGGGTATTTTCGTCAGGATTTATTTAGTATTTTTAGAGTTATTTCCCTTGACTTAGTAAAATTTTGCAATTTTCAACTTGTGTCTCATGTAACTCAAAAAGGATTTGACATAGAGTCATGAAACTTTACAGGAATATTGATCAGCATGTGTAGTTGTGCACTTTGGCATTTTCATCTGGATTTATTTAGTATTTTTAGAGTTATTGCCCTTGACTTAGAAAATTTTTGCAATTTTCAACTTGTGTCGCATGTAACTCAAAAAGGATTTGACATAGAGTCATTAAACCTTACGGGAAGGTTGCTCAGCATATTTAGTTTTGCACCTGGGGTTTCGCTTGTGGATTTATCCAGTATTTGTAGAGTTATTTCCCTTGACTTAGTAAAAACCGTTTCATTATGTTGTTATTTGTTCCTTGAGTGCTTGAGTTAGAATCAACCAACTTTACAGGAATAATGATCAACATCACTGTGAAGCTATGCACCTGGGACTTTGCATGTGGATTTTTTTCAGTTTTGTTAGAGTTATTGCCCTTGACTTACAGTAGTATAAATTTGCAATTTTCAACTTGTTCATGCATAGCTCAAAAAGTATTTCACTTATAGGCCTGAAAGTTTACAAGAATGTTGGTCAGCATGTGTACTTATGCACCTTGGGGTTTGCTTGTGGCTTTATTCAGTATCTGTAAAGTTCTTGCCCTTTACTTAGTAAAAGGTTTTTTGTTTTCAAAAATTATTTGACCTAGAGTCATAAGATTGACAGAACAGTGGCGCGGTGGGGGCACCCGTGTCCTATGGACACATTTCTAGTTTTTGTTTTTTTGTTTTTGCTATAGATAAATTGACAAAATGATTTCTACTTAAAATAAAAATACACACTACTCAACATTCTCAAAAGCTAAATTTTGTACAAAATATATAAATACCTGATTTTTTTTAATCAATGCATAATTCCAAAATACAAAGTTTAAAAAGAATGTTTCAGTTAAACATAAATCCATGAAATGTCATTCTCATATGTTACTTTTGTTCGTTGTGTTTAACATTTGTTATGTCCACCTAAAAATGTGAAGTAATTCAACATAAAATATTTGAGTAATTTTGACACATTGTTAGCCTCAGGTAAGATTCACTATATAAAAACATATACATCCTCTCACCTAATTGAATTAATGGACAGATAAGGTAGTAAATAGTGTTTATCTATTAATTTCATCTTGTTAACCTATATCAAATAAAATGTTCTCCTTTTGACTGTACTGCAATTATACCCACATTGCAATCACCTTACAATCACAAATATCACATTGTAATCACAAAATAAATACACTGTGTATTAAAAGACTTTCCGATACTTCATCTCTGCCGTCCCATCAAATTATACTGTATATTGGATCTGCTTAATTTTTGCTGTATTATTATGTAATAATTGTATTTAAACAAAAATGGACATAAATAAAAATTTGTAATTTAAGGGTAATTTAGATAGTCTAACAGTAACATTGCATGATTTTTCACTTGAAACTAAGAAAATTTAGAAACAGGCATCCATTGTTTTATCATTGAAATAACAATCTAATGACTAATATTCCTTGCAACATTGTACAAAATTCTGCTTTATTTCGAACATGAATGATTGCATGTTGCACACAAGTTTTAAAACCCTATTTATCAGCTGTACACACATACCAAGGCTTTGGTTACAGTGAAAATTTCTAATGAAACGTAAACTTCATGACATCAAAACAAAGGGTTCTTTCTTCATACAATATGTTTGATTTCCTATATAAGTCAAACATCTTATCTAACAAATGTGTATCCAATTACAACCTTTAACATAAAACTACCTTGACTGGTATGAGAGAAATAAAACACTTAATCAAGTAATCTCTCTACCAACCATGAACAAATTGAACAGTAAATAATTTACTTACTCATTGTATCCAATTAACCCAACTATTTAGAAATACAGGATCAAAATATCAGCACTATCATTTGTAATAATCGTTCTTATTTAAACCACAAAGAAGACCTACTAAGTAAATGTCAACTTCTTTTAACATTAAAGACCAACTTCAACCTAATTTTTGCTTGTGTACAATCTTCCTAAAATTACATATTAAGTACATGTATTAACTTATCTTAGATCACAGTACTTTTCTTCACTTTACAGATAATATTCAGAGGGTAAGTTGCTTTGTGGAGGGGAAAATTTATGAGAATAGAGAAAACAGTCCATTGATAGAACAACACCATCATCATTTCTAACTATTATAAAGAAATGTCACTCCCATTTGATACAATTAGAATTCTAAACAAAAGGGCCATGATGGCCCTGAAGTCGCTCACCTGTATATAGGCCCAGGAGCGGGGCCAGTTTAAACCCCAGGGCTTTTATTTGAACAAACTTGGTAGACACCCATTAGAAGATATTTCATGCTTAACATCTAAGGTCTAGCTGGTCAAGTTTTTTTCCTTACACATATAGTTAAAAAACAATGACACACCTGGGGCAGGGCCAGTTTTGACCCAAGGGCTTTTTTTTAACAATCTTTGTAGACACTTACAAGAAAATGTTTCATGCTTAATATCTAAACTCTAGCTATTCGGGTTTTTTCAAAGAAGACTTTTAAGTTTTTGCTATACACATATAAGGAAAATCAATGTCAGCCCGGGTGGGGCCAATTTTGACCCCAGGGCTTTTATTCGAACAATCTTGGTAGACACTCATTAGAAGATGTTTCATGCTTAATATCTTAGCTCTAGCTCTTTGGGTTCTTTAAAAGATGATTTTTTAAAGTTTTTACTATATTTGCCTTTAGGGAAAATCAATGACCCCCCTGGGGCGGGCCAATTTTGACCCCAGGGCTTTTATTTGAACAAACTTGGTAGACATCCATTAGAACATGTTTCATGCCAAATATCTAAGCTCTAGCTCTTTGGGTTTTTTAGAAGAAGATTTTTTAAGTTTTTACAATATGCATATAGGGAAAATCAATGACCCCCTGGGGCGGGGCCAATTTTGACCCCAGGGCTTTTATTGGTAGACACCCATTAGAAGATGTTTCATGCTTAATATCTTAGCTCTAGCTCTTTGGGTTCTTTAAAAGAATTTTTTTTAAGTTTTTACTATATGCATATAGGGAAAATCAATGACCCCCTGGGGCGGGGCCAATATTGACCCCAGGGCTTTTATTTGAACAAACTTGGTAGACACTCATTAGAAGATGTTTCATGGTTAATATCTTAGCTCTGGCTCTTTGGGTTCTTTAAAAGAAGATTTTTTTAAGTTTTTACTATATGCATATAGGGAAAATCAATGACCCCCTGGGGCGGGGCCAATTTTGACCCCAGGGCTTTTATTTGAACAATCTTGGTAGACACCGATTAGAAGATGTTTCATGCTAAATATCTTAGCTCTAGCTCTTTGGGTTCTTTAAAAGAAAATTTTTTAAGTTTTTACTAAATGCATATAGGGAAAATCAATGACCCCCTGGGGCGGGGCCAGTTTTGACCCCAGGGCTTTTATTTGAACAAACTTGGTAGACATCCATTAGAACATGTTTCATGCCAAATATCTAAGCTCTAGCTCTTTGGGTTTTTTAGAAGAAGATTTTTTAAGTTTTTACTATATGCATATAGGGAAAATCAATGACCCCCTGGGGCGGGGCCAATTTTGACCCCAGGGCTTTTATTTGAACAATCTTGGTAGACACTCATTAGAAGATGTTTCATGCTTAATATCTTAGCTCTAGCTCTTTGGCTTCTTTAAAAGAAGATTTTTTTAAGTTTTTACTATATGCATATAGGGAAAATCAATGACCCCCTGGGGCGGAGCCAATTTTGACCCCAGGGCTTTTATTTGAACAATCTTGGTAGACACTCATTAGAAGATGTTTCATGCTTAATATCTTAGCTCTAGCTCTTTGGCTTCTTTAAAAGAAGATTTTTTTAAGTTTTTACTATATGCATTTAGGGAAAATCAATGACCCCCTGGGGCGGAGCCAATTTTGACCCCAGGGCTTTTATTTGAACAATCTTGGTAGACACTCACTAGAAGATGTTTCATGCCAAATATCTAAGCTCTAGCTCTTTGGGATTTTAGAAGAAGATGTTTAAAGTTTTTTCTTTTGGTTGCCATGGCAACCAGAGTTCTGCATGGAATGGAATTCTTTGAACAACTTTGTTAAGGCTTCACACAAGGAACATCCCTGTACAGTTTCATTATGATCTGCCTTATGGTTTCAGAGGAGATGTCGTTTGAAAAGTGTGAACGAACAACGGACGACGTACGACGGATGACAGACGACGGACGAAGAGTGATCCTAAAATCTTACCCTGAGCATATGCTCAGATGAGCTAAAAAAAACAAAAAAACTGGTTGAGAGATTCCTTTTTCAGAAATTGGGGGACAATACTTTTTGGAGAGAGGAAAGGGGCTGAATTTCAGCCCCAAATTAACCCCAAATCAAATTAATTAACCCCAAAAAAGCACTGTGTATACTTAAATATTACAGAGAGAACCTAAAGAACACAAAGAATTATGTATTTCTATAATTCAAATTGTAATTTAAAGAAGAATAAGACCTTTTTCACCAGTTTTGGAAAAAGGCACGCGAAGATTTATGTTCTAGTAAATTTTGAAATCTTAAAAAAGTTTTAAAACTATGTTGTACACTATGTTTAATTCATACATATGGCCATATTATCTGTCACCACTAATACAGTTCTAATTTCTCCGAGTTGTTTGGGAATATTTTTTTATTGGTATCTACTAGCACCATCAAAGTACATATCAAATGGCGACAACCTTCAAGCTTTCTTGCTGGAGGAAGATTTCTTTCAAATTGGATTTTTTTTTTTTAATTCGGGAAAAAAAGAAGTTATTTTGCATTGGGGATGAGTCTGTCCTTTGGCTCCCTGTTGATAGATTGAAAATGCCCTTAGGATATTACAGACTACAGGTCTAAAGTGGCAAGTCTTTAAATGTTTGCGAAAACACTAGACAGAAATATTTTAATTTCAAATCACCTTTCCACCAAATTAAATATTCATACCATGGAAACAGATATGACTGATATTTATATACTTTCTTTTACAAGCAACTCATAAAGCATGAATTTATAATATCTACACAGTGACATCAAATGGTCCTTCCTTAATAATAGATGTACTTCTTTAAAGTTTCTTTATATATCATATTTAGTATAACACTGTAAAATCTTGTACATGCTTTTTTTGCTCAAGGTAAATTAAAAGCTGGAACCACTGTATGTCAGAATTAAGTATAAAAGCAAAGTGACAGAAGAACTGCTTCAATACAATTATGGCAGGAATATTAATATAACAACAATATTATAGTCTCTATGGAGAAATTGTCCAGTCACTATAAATGCTACCATTAAATTAAATCATAATGAGTCACTTTTACCAACACTGACACTGACAGCCATAAAACGCCAAGACATTCATCCCGTCTGACAAAAATTTTAAGTGATAATTTGATTGATTTTGGTATATTTATAAAATTATGACATCAAAAAGAGCCCTTGACCTCAAAGTTCTGTTATGGATTTGCCCTCCATTAAGTTTGGAATAGTCCATTCAAATTAATAGGGATTTTAATATCAAAATACAAAGATTGAGCAACATCATTTAACGATTTTTTTAACCGAAATCTGTCACCATTCCATTTTTTTTGTAAATCCCTCTCAAAATTCCTTTTAAAGTTTACCTGCATATATCTGCCAAAAGCAGAAGACACTGAACAATATCCAATTGTAAATGTAAATAAAATATATAATATTGTCATAAATTAAAGTGGAAATTGACTACACAGTTTTTCTTCAACCTTTTTTTTTTTACTTATAGAATGTTCACTCTCACATAAGGAGTAATAACCATTTCTGTAGTAAATTTCAAATAGCCCCTTGAAAAGAACAAAGCACGGACAAGCACACAACAAAGATCAATATTTTTCTATTAGATTTTTACAGAATAAAGAACCATTAGCTCAATAGATTCCTTTGATACCTATAGATTTTATAATCACAGAATACTTGGAAAACGCTGGTCACACACCTTTTATTTGTGTTCATAATGAGTTTGAATAATTTGGCCAGCAGAGATGTATTATTTAATCAAAATACAATAATATGTTATAATATTTTAAAAGTACATGTATGTGGAAACTAAGAAGTACTTCAAGAATGTTACTAGTTACAATAAGAACCGGTTGAACCGGGTGATGCTCCCCGAGTAGGTTTTAGACAGAGAAAAGTATGAAAAAATAAACAAAGGGCAAAAACTCCAAACTTAGGCAAAACAGAGAACTTTATGGTTCTTTGCACTACACTTTCTATTCACCTATAAAGTTTTGTGTTGATATCTCTTATAGTTTCAGAGTTATGTTGCGGGTAAAGTAAAAATTTTAAAGTGTAAAAATTAACAAAGGACAATAACTCAAATATAAGGCAAGGCAGAGTTACGGTTTTTGAGGACTGCACATCTACTCAATGAGATCTATCTACCTACAGAGTTTCATGTTGATATCTCTCATAGTTTTAGAGTTATGTCCCGGACAAAGTTCAAAGTGTAAAAATAAAACAAAGGGCAATAATTCAAAAATTAGGCAAGGCAGTGTTACGGTTCTTGTGCACTGCACATCTACTCAATGACAACTATCTACCTACAGAGTTTCGTGTTGATATCTCTCATAGTTTTAGAGTTATTTACCGGACAAAGATCAAAGTGTAAAAATAAACAAAGAGCAATAATTAAAAAAATTAGGCAAGGCAGAGTTACGGTTCTTGTGCACTGCAAATCTACTCAATGACATCTATCTACCTACAAAGTTTCATGTTTTTACCTGTTGTTGTTTCAAAGTTATGTCCTAGACAAGAATAGCGGATGGACGGACGGACAAGGCGGCGCCTATATGCTCACCCTTAGGGAAGCATAAACATCCAATAACTAATCGAAATTACTTTTTGTTTTTGTGGTTCCATCTCCAGACACACTAGACTATAAGTCATAAATGAGAATTTAACTGTTCTACAAACTTGACTATACAATACACTTGAGACACATGATATTAATGGGACAAACAACTACAAACCAGCTAAACCAGTCTTATATTGGTGTTGAAATTGAAAGCAGACCAATCGATCAACATTGCATTTTAATCGTTTAATTACGTATATATGCTGTTAATTGATAAATATTCATAACATCATACTAAGATAATTTAAATACAAAACAACTGTTAAAATCTTATATAAGTGGGCTCATATTTCTTTACTTTATACAGTTTACTAAATACCTTTCGACAAAATGTGGCAGCACTTATTCTCAAATGCTTGTCCCATTATATAACATGCCAGATTATACAGAACTATATCACATATAATATTTGTGTATGTTCTTGATATCAGGTGTATTTTTGATACATTCCTTTCTGTTTATATGTAAATGTTGGATAATTATACTGTAAATTAACACTCATTAGTGTAATGTAAATGATGTACATAATATATTATGTAAACAATAAATTTACCTGCAAGTAAAATCACCAAAGTTTGAGAAACTCAGACCCTCAGAAATGTCTTCAAGGCAGACATATTATCACCTTAGTGCACTAATAGGTTATCTCCTATAAAATTATATGAAGAGTTAACCCCTCATTGCACAAAGGTGACAATGTATTGATAAGAAATATAATAACCATCATATAATAAGGTTATGTACAGAAATTACAGAAATTTGATCTCTTACTCCATGTCACAGCAAATTACTTATTAAGTGCCTCGTAACCATAGTAACTTGCCATGATAACACAAACATACATTTATTTTAAACTAAACCTTAATATCTTGTGGTGATAAATCTAAATGCTGACATCACGAAATATTTCAATTTCTGTTGATAAAATCATATCGTATTCTGACAGATAGAAATACAGGAGACGTCCTTCTGCTTTCTTAACTAACTAGTAATAAGCAAATTTATTCTTTAAGATTCCTAATATCAAAACATCATCATCGTCAAACCATTTACATCTATTACTTGTATCATAGTCACATGGGGACCTTTCTGTTGAAAATGTGTCACAGTTAAATCGTATACATATACATGCACAGTGCGTTAACTGGAGTGCAGGTATTAGTTACCCACACTCAAGAGCATGCCCATCAATTGGCTCATTTTTGCTGGGGTTTACTTACTGTGACACCAGAGAAAGGGAAAGCAACAGAAATATCATATTCAGATGTTCGTTCATTGGTTCCTTTTTGCCGGGGTTTCATATTGTGACAACAGGGAACATGTTTTTATGTTTGACTATGATACAAAAGAGAAAGATCATCAAAACACTTGGCAATCTGATTAATACTCGGGGGCTATGCCCCCTCACACAAATCACATATTAATGTATCAAACGTGGGTATCTGACGATGAACCTAATAGAAAGTCTGAAAACTCTGTAATTTTTAATTCTGTACAGATGAATATGATGTATGCATCTTATATATTTTAGAATTTTAAAAGCATATTACAAGATTTAAAGCTTTTAAGCTACCATAAATGATAAAACATAAGAAAGATATGGAAACATTAATCAAGGATATGGAAACATTAATCAAGGATATGGAAACATTAATCAAGGATATGGAAACATTAATCAAGGATATGGAAACATAAATCAAGGACATGGAAACATTAATCAAGGATATGGAAACATTAATCAAGGATATGGAAACATTAATCAAGGATATGGAAACATTAACCAAGGATATGGAAACATCAATCAAGGATATGGAAACATTAATCAAGGATATGGAAACATTAATTAAGGACATGGAAACATTAATCAAGGATATGGAAACATTAATCAAGGATATGGAAACATTAACCAAGGATATGGAAACATTAACCAAGAATATGGAAACATCAATCAAGGATATGGAAACATTAATCAAGGATATGGAAACATTAATCAAGGATATGGAAACATTAATCAATGACATGGAAACATTAATCAAGGATATGGAAACATTAACCAAGAATATGGAAACATTTATCAAGGACATGGAAACATTAATCAAGGATATGGAAACATTGATCAAGGATATGGAAACATTAATCAAGGATATGGAAACATTAATCAAGGATATGGAAACATTGATCAAGGATATGGAAACATTAATCAAGAACATGGAAACATTAACCAAGGATATGGAAACATTAACCAAGAATATGGAAACATCAATCAAGGATATGGAAACATTAATCAAGGATATGGAAACATTAACCAAGGATATGGAAACATTAACCAAGAATATGGAAACATCAATCAAGGATATGGAAACATTAATCAAGGATATGGAAACATTAACCAAGGATATGGAAACATTAACCAAGAATATGGAAACATCAATCAAGGATATGGAAACATTAATCAAGGATATGGAAACATTAACCAAGAATATGGAAATATTAATCAAGGATATGGAAACATTAATCAAGGACATGGAAACATTAATCAAGGATATGGAAACATTAACCAAGAATATGGAAACATTTATCAAGGACATGGAAACATTAATCAAGGATATGGAAACATTGATCAAGGATATGGAAACATTAATCAAGGATATGGAAACATTAATCAAGGATATGGAAACATTAACTTATTAAGCATATGGAAACATTAATTAAGCATATGGAAACATTAATTAAAATATGGAAACATTAATTAAGGATATGGAAACATTTATAAAAGAAGTAATGACAGATTCATTACTTGAAATCAAGCAATTTTTCAAATAGTTTGATGCCACAAATTGACAAATTCAAAATAGCAACTAGCTACAAGCAGAATTGCTTTTAAATAAAACAACGTTTTATTATGCATAAAGACAAGATTTTCCTTCTCATAGCTTTAAATGGCCCTTCAGTATTAAACATTTGACCCCTTGAGTGCACAGGTGTTCGGCACATTTGCCGTGCTGGATAGTAATTGTTGTTCTTGATGATCAAGGGGTGATTATTTTATAATAATTTGACCATTACTGGCATGGCAAATGTGCCAAACGCCTGTGCTTGAGTGCCAGGACCACCAGTATAAAGCCAGGGTAAACTATACATACTGTACATTGTGACAAGACCAATGATACTGTTGCTTCTTTCAGTGATAAAATTCTTTTAATTGAAGTCATTTAAAATGATAATTAAGACAAAGAGTAAACTTTCAGGCAGTTAAGTACATAAAACAGCTGGGTAAACAATATATCTGTATCTGGAACTCAGCAAATGTGGGTTTTCCCCAGCTAATCTGTAGATATAAACAAACTTTTACCTTAATATAGCTTCAAGGTGTAATACCCGTCATAATAGATTACTCAACCTGTTGTGCTTATTTTGGAAGCTGTAGCTGTAAAAGTTTGTTTGTACTAACGGAGGAAAAACCCAAATATTCTTAATTTCGGAGAAGTCTTTTTCATCATTTCCCTTGCTACCATATTATTCAACCATTATAAACCATTTATACATTTTCATAATTGAAAAACTAAATGAGTTGCATACAAACCTAGAAATTTCACAATTAGTATCCTTCATGCTTCAGAAATATTTCACATCAAATATCAATCAACATGATGTTTATCAAAATTTAAAACCTCTTAGTTTTGTTCTGAATCAGATTAACAATTATGTCTCTCACACTGCCACATTCTCTTACAATATGTATCAAATATAATCATCCTCCCAGTGTCAATAGATTGTAATTATTTCTGGATAATTCCAACTTTTTTAACACATCCGTTAATACAGAATCCCTGTATTGTCAATCATCCTTCAATTCATTTTGATTAAAACGCAATTACATTGTTGATATCTTTACATTCTTCTATCAGAAAAATTGATCTAAGTACACAGTATTGGATTGTTAAATACAGATTTTCCGCACAATCTTGTTTACTTTGTACCATCAAATAATTCGATTTATTACAAATGAGAAATATTTTATCATATGGGCAGTTTGAACCTGAAGTGGTGTATTTCACCGATTTCTAGTTTACTTATCTACTTTATGTTAGCTACACGGAATAATGCCTATTCATTAATGTGACAAACAGCTTGAAGCCTTTATTATTTCTGGGTGATTTACGCTACATTATATTGAATGCAATACACCGTAAATATTACGTTCAAATGTTTTGAATACCATTATAATATATTGACATGCTTCTCTACCTATATATTATAATCTAGGCCACAATGGTATTCAATTTCTTATCATTAAAACTTGTGATAAATTTTTAAGGCATTCTGATAACAATTTGATATTTGATTTCTACAAGGAGCCTTGACTTATTTATATGAAGAAAAAAAACTACACCAGCTGTAAATCCTAATGATAAGAAATATTAGTCCAACAATACACACTACGAAACAAAATCAAACAACTTGATAGTGAAATATATAAATAGGGATATGTAATATAGAAAAATGTTACAGAACTATTCTAGATTTAAGGGGTACAAGTTAAACACTTTTCATAGAAAGGCCCAATGCTATGAACAAATTATCTTAAGTTATGGACCATGTAATTCCAGATGAGATTTGTAAAATGAGTTAACTTATACATAAAGCAGCATTCAATCAGTCACAGAATAACATAAGGCTATGTTATGTATGGACAAACTGCCCTGTCTTTTGGTTCTGATAGATATATATAGCTGAAACATTCACTGATTTCTTGAGAATTGATTACCTTATATTCAGCAGTAATTTTGATGTGTTCTAGTCAATGAATGTCTGAAAGGAAATTCAGTTAATGTTGGCTAGTTTTGACACCTTGACCCTCAGGAAGCCACAAGATGTAAAACAATTGATCATACAAAATGATTTAAATTATTGCCCAAATGATTAGAAAGATTTACCAATCAAAAGATTGTGTCACCATTTCTTGTATTGCTTGACTATCTGGGGGTTGTTCTGCCGGTATTCTAGAACAGTTGATATTAACTTGACAATGAAGTTGCATAAAAATGTTATATTTGTTGCTGTAACAGAGATTATTTCAGGTTTATTCTTATCAGGACATAAAATCATCTCTTGGACACCTTCTTGACAATCATCAGATGTCAAAGACATCATGGCACAGTTTTATTATGATCCATATTTTTACATTATGAATGATAGTGATAGTTTATATCTCAATCATTATTTCTAAAGAAAATTTTAATATTTCATACCAAAATTTTTGCTTTTAAATGTAGATTTCAAAAATAATAGTTTTATTTTGGTAATTATAAAATATATATAAAATTTTAGTCAAAAATAGTATTTTTCACTTCAGTTTTATTTTATGTTAAGCTGTCTAACAAAGATTTGTTAAAGTAATTTCTATCCAGCTTTACAGCCAAGCTACAATAAGTGGCAATTAGAACTTAAACAAACGGCAATTAGAACTTAAACAAACAAGTCTTGATAAGCAGTCAGCTTTCTCCTTTCTTCTGAAGTATGCAGGTCAAACAAAAATAGTTACTTTTGCAGGAAATCATTCAAATGTTTTGTTCTTAGGATAATTTATACATTTATGTTTATTTACATATGGTTTAACAGAATTGAACAAAACTTCCAGCTTCAACTTCCAATGTACCATTCTAAATTGATTGAAAAAATATACTGGATTAAAATTAAAAGTGTTTACTATGTTATTCAAGGTATGTACTTTTATTATACTTCATAAATAATTATTTTAAATTGAAACAACTAATTCTATATGCAAACAGATATAACTTGTTAGGTACAATGTAATAGTACAGTGTATAATTATTTGAATTGTTAAAAATTTTAAATGGTAGTTTTCATGCAAAGTGAGTAATTTATAAACCTAATTTCCCAATATTTGTTAATTAAGATAACACTATTGTTAATTGAAATATTGTATTTTGAAAATGATTCATTTGATGAAATTATAACAATATTTTTATCATTCGAAATTGGACATTGAAGAGAAAATGGATTTTAATGTTATCCTAGGGTTCTGACTAAAAGAACTAAAACAGTCTGCAAATGATTAAAAATGTCAAAGGGACCACAAAAATTTTATTGGTTCTAAACTACTTATAAATGCCCACTCCAGTAAAAAGGGATGGGATAGTCTCCAAGGCAAATATTGTAGATTATGGGTTTTTTTGGATAGCTGTCAGTGCTTTTTTACAGCCCCAATTTGGGGCTGATTCTCCTCTCCAAAGAGTAAATTCTCCCCTTTTTCAAAAACAAGAGGGCCATGATGGCCCTGAGGTCGCTCACCTGTATATAGGCCCCCAGAACGGGGCCAGTTTAAATCCCAGGGCTTTTATTTGAACAAACTTGGAAGACAAACATTAGAAGATATTTCATGATGTTTAGTTTTTACTACACACATATAATGTAAAACAATGACCAGCCCCCCCCTCCCCCGCCAGGGCCAATTTTAACCCAAGGGCTTTTATTTGAACAAACTTGGTAGACAACCATAAGAAGATGTTTCATGCTAAATATCTAAGCTCTAGCTCATTGGGTTTTTTAAAAGAAGATTTTTATGTTTTTACTATACACATATAGTTAAAAACATTGACACCCCAGGGGCGGGGCCAGTTTTGACCCCAGGGCTTTTATTTGAACAACCTTTGTAGACACTTACTAGAAGAGGTTTCATGCTTAATATCTAAACTCTAGCTATTTGGATTTTTTCAAAGAAGATTTTTAAGTTTTTGCTATACACATATAAGGAAAATCAATGACCCCCGGGGCGGGGCCAATTTTGACCCAAGGCTTTTTATTTGAACAAACTTGATAGACACTCACTAGAAGATGTTTCATGCTTAATATCTAAACTCTAGCTATTTGGGCTTTTTCATAGAAGATTTTTGAAGTTTTTGCTATACACATATAAGGAAAATCAATGACCCCCGGGGCGGGGCCAATTTTGACCCCAGGGAATTTATTTGAACAAACTTGGTAGACACCCATTAGAACATGTTTCATGCTAAATATCTTAGCTCTAGCTCTTTGAGTTCTTTAAAAGAAGATTTTTTAAGTTTTTACTATATGCATATAGGGAAAATCAATAACCCCCTGGGGCGGGACCAATTTTGACCCCAGGGATTTTATTTGAACAAACTTGGTAGACACTTATTAGAAGATGTTTCATGCTTAATATCTTAGCTCTACCTCTTTGGGATCTTTAAAAGAAGATTTTTTAAGTTTTTACTATATGTATATAGGGAAAATCAATGACCCCCTGGGGCGGGGCCAATTTTGACCCCAGGGCTTTTATTTGAACAAACTTGGTAGACACTCATTAGAAGATGTTTCATGGTAAATAGCTTAGCTCTACCTCTTTGGGTTCTTTAAAAGAAGATTTTTTAAGTTTTTACTATATGTATATAGGGAAAATCAATGACCCCCTGGGGCGGGGCCAATTTTGACCCCAGGGCTTTTATTTGAACAAACTTGGTAGACACTCATTAGAAGATGTTTCATGGTAAATATCTTAGCTCTACCTCTTTGGGTTCTTTAAAAGAAGATTTTTTAAGTTTTTACTATATGTATATAGGGAAAATCAATGACCCCTGGGGTGGGGCCAATTTTGACCCCAGGGCTTTTATTTGAACAAACTTGGTAGACACTCACAAGAAGATGCTTCATGCCAAATATCTAAGCTCTAGCTCTCAGGGTTTTTTAAAAGAAGATATTTAAAGTTTTTTATTTCGGTTGCCATGGCAACCAGAGTTCTGCATGCAATTAAATTCTTTGAACAATTTTTAAAGGTGACCACCAAAGGATCATTCCTGTGAAGTTTGGATAAAATTGGCTTAGTGGTTTATGAGGAGATGTCTTTTAAAGTAAAAGTTTACGAACGGACGGACGATGGACGGCCGGACGAAAAGCGATCATAAAAGCTCACCCTGTCACTTTGTGACAGGTGAGCTAATAAAAATCCTCTACAACAGTAAAAAAACCTGAATTTTTTATTTTTTTTGGACATTCATTTTATCCCAACAGTGGGCCAAAGTCACTGTACAGTTGAACCCCAATAATGAAACCACTAGTCTTGTGTTCTAAAGAATAAGAATCAGCTAAAGCAAACAAATAAATGATTTAAAACAAATCTTTAAAAAGAAAATTGAAGAAAAAAAATAAGTTTTTCTTTTTTTTGTTTTTAATAGGTCTGTCACACTTTTCAAAAGAAAAGTCCAGCTAAAAATGGTCTTAATGGTGGGGTGGTCTTTAAAAATTTCGGATTGTCTCTAAAAGTAATGTTTGACATCAATGGAAAACTTGGGGCATGATGTAAGTATATGATAAATCCATTACCCTGAAACAACCATTTTTCAATCACAACCTATATTCGAACACATTTTTAATTCTGTGGCACTGATGTTATGTCAGACTACATTGCTTAAAGCCACACGTTGTACTGACTTCAACTCCTGCAGAAATGCCATACTTAATTCATTTGTCAGATATCAGAAAACTATATCAAAATAGGCAGCTGTTTTAAATAGTGTTAAAAAATTCCAAATAAGTGATTTTTTTTTTATAAAGCATCACTCAGCTGCTCAGTTTTCAACATTATTCTCAATCTTGGATGTATTTCAAAATAACTATTTAGGTGACCATGATAAATTCAAACACATTCTTAATTCTGTGGTGCTGATGTCATGTCTGACTAAATTGCATAAAGTCACATGTATTAACTTCAACACTTGCAGAAATGTCATACTTGATTGTCAGATGTTATCAGAAAAACAATAAGAAACTGTTTGTTTAAGTGACACAATATAAATTGTCCAACTTCAACTATATCAAATTTGTCACTTGTTTAAGATAGTGATAACTAGAAATGTGTCCATAGGACACGGATGCCCCCACACGTCACTGTTCTGTCAATCTTATGACTCTAGGTCAAATATTTTTTGGACAACATGTGCCACAAGTTGAAAACTAAAAATCAACAAAGGGCCATAATTCTGTTAAATTTGGTCGCAGCAAAAATTCCTTCCTTTACTACCATCTACACATTAAGGTTGTTAATCCCTGAAAGTTTAAGCAAAATCTGCCATCCGGTTTAAGAGGAGTTGCGTTCACAAAATTTCTACATAGTATATAATGAAAAAATCAACAAAGGGCCATAATTCTGTTAAATTTGGTTGCAGCAAAAATTCCTTCCTTTACTGCCATCTACACATTAAGGTTGTTCATCCCTGGAAGTTTAAGCAAAATCTGCCATCCGGTTTAGGAGGAGTTGCATTCACAAAATTTCTACATAGTATATACTAAGTGAAAAAATTAACAAAGGGCCATAATTCTGTTAAATTTGGTCGCAGCGAAAATTCCTTCCTTTACTACCATCTACACCTTAAGGTTGTTCATCCCTGTAAGTTTAAGCAAAATCTGCCATCCGGTTTAAGAGGAGTTGCGTTCACAAAATTTCTACATAGTATATAGTGAAAAAATCAACAAAGGGCCATAATTCTGTTAAATTTGGTTGCAGCAAAAATTCCTTCCTTTACTACCATCTACACATTAAGGTTGTTCATCCCTGTAAGTTTAAGCAAAATCTGCCATCCGTTTTAAGAGGAGTTGCGTTCACAAAATTTCTACATAGTATCTAGTGAAAAAATTAGAGTTGGGTACCGCCAGAAAGAAAATACCACGGTATACCACGGTTTTTTCCTAAAAACCACGGTATAAACCGCGGTATACCACGGATTTTCATTGTATGCTATAGGTCAATTTTTATCCCTAAAATAAGTATCAAGGTAGGCTGGTATAGAATTTCAAATATTAAATTTAAGCAGATCTATAAAATACAGATTAATCAAAGCATCATTTAACTTTTTTCAATCAGGTACTTTCGCATGTTGACAATCGTAAATTAATTGGGTCATGGATCAGTTCTTGTTTCTTTTTGTTTTTTTTATTAGATCTACATATTGGTCTCTTTCAACATTTAACAACTGTTATATAAATTGCATAGTACAAATGGAAAAATAAAATGTTTTTATTGCTTATTGATTAATAAAATAATAGGTCAAATGCACGTTAGCCGATGACAAATATTTATTTGTCGGTTAATTTTATAACGGAGTCCGAGCTGCTATTGTAATTTTTTTATTGCAAGGGCTAAGTATTTGATTAATCTGTGTCAAAAACCAAAACAAACATGTACCCAAAAAGCAAATTAAAATTATCACATAGAAAACAGATGACCATGTTACTGCTTAATTAATATTCATTAGTTGAACGAACATTACTTTTAATCCAGTTTCTACGCCGTTCTATAATTAGTTAATTGCCATGCGCATGCAGTAAGAGCGTGACGTGAGGAAAACCCCTAGCCTGATTGTCGCTATTTATATAAATACTTAAAATAGTAACACCCTAATTTTTGTTCGCCCATATGGTCTCTTTCCGGTGGCGAGGGTAAACAAACCCAAACACACACTCACCCTAATTTTATGCAAGGAATGCCCTCATGAATTATCAATCTTTACGATTAGTTTTCGTATCAAATAAGCGATATTTGGACAAGTAAATGTAAGTCGACAATTCTTGCTTCTTCAACTGAGATCATGCAAGTCGACAATTCTGGCTTACATGCGGTAATCGATAAAGCATTCAATTTTCGCGAATGATAATAGTCGGCAAAAAGGTTAACTCAAAGAAACAT